TGTTGGTGAACAGTATTTAGTCGTGTCGGGAAAAAATGGCTTCCCTCGAACATGAAATCGAACTGTTATTGTGTTTTCTGAAATTCAAGACAATGTCTTGAAATTTATATGACGCTGTCTCGAACCTATTTGCTGTTGTCTCGAACCTTGTGTAACTCGAAGTATCTACGTAGGTCCCTTCAACATTGCCACAATGGTGTTTTTATTTACAGTGAGTGAGTATTGTTTTACGCCGCTTTTAACAATATTCCAGCAATATCACGACGGGGGACACCAGAAATGGGCTTCACATATTGTACCCATGTGGGGAATCGAACCCGGGTCTTCGGCGTGACGAGCGAACGCTATACCCACTAGGCTATCCCACCGCCTCTCGTTTGTGCGATGCTCATGCTATTGATCACTTGATTGTCTGGTCCAGACTCGAGTATTTACAGACCGCCGCCATATAGCTGGAATAATGCTGAGTGCGGCGTAAAACTTAACTCACTCACTCATTGTATTTACAAGTCTTAAAAGAAGGCAAGTAGGGGTTCTAAACCATGACACCTGCAGATTATAGTCTTTTTCCATTCAACATCACTTTTGTTCTATTTCTATCAATACATTAATGAAAAGCGTGTGTTCGAGCTCAGTGAGCCGAATCTCACTCTAAAATCTCGAGTATTTAAATTAGTCTAAATGAATCGTGATGCACGAGAGGAACGGTGTAAGGACATTTTCATGCTTTCAACAACTTTTTGATAAGGCATTTATTATAATTCCTAAATTTAGAATCAGTCATTTTTCCGCCGTCGTTACACGTCTGGTCTGCCCATGCACAGTAAAAGTTTCCGAAGATGCGTTTATGCGCAGAGCATTCATTGCATGTACACAAACCAGCATTATAATAGCAAAATTATAACAATCAAACACTGATTTTAAAATAATATATTTGAAATTTCCTATCACTCACTCATTTCTTTTTGGGGGAGAGTATATTATATTTTTGGATCAGCTGTGTAGGGCAAAAGGCAATATGATGGGGTAACCACAGTAGGCCGTGCTACTCCTCCGTACGACGTTGTCAAGTCGGCAGATGGTATTGGCATGCTGTGGTAAAGATGGCGTAGATGTCGGTAACACGTTGTTAAGGATTGGCACACATCTGAGTGAAGCACATGGTGAAGACGCATGTCTTATTTCCAGTGGACAAATGTAGACAAGAGTGGCATAAAAATGAGTATCTGATGGGCACGTAGGCTGATTGTGTTTTGGTCTACCAAGGAAACAGGTGGTCGTCATAGATTTGGTTGGAACAACCTTCAGTTGTTGGTGACCTATAGCCTGTTTCTATATTGTTTTGTCTTTTTAAATGGAATATTCTTACATTTACATGCTAGTTTTAGACACCATCTGTGATACTCTAGTTATTTAACAACTTCTATTTATTGTTTATGCAAAACCTTTCTCGTCACTATATGGCTGAAATATTTCTGAAGTGACGTTAAATTTTAACTCACTCACTTACACACTCATAGATTTGGTTGGTTGGTTGGTTGGTTGGTTGTGTAACGCCACACTCAGCAATATTCAAGATTTAATGGCGCCGGTCTGTAAAAAATCGAGTCTGGACCAGACAATCCAATGATAAACCTGATCACCCGATCCCGTTAGTCGCCTCGTGTACCAAGCATGGGTTTCTGAAGATCAATTCTCACCCGGATCTTCACGTCGTCATAGAAACATAAGTATGTCTTGCAGGTTTGTGTTCCTTCGGCGTGTCAGGATTTTGTAATATTATATCGGGTTTCCGAAACCCACAATGTTCCTGACTATGATATTTCGTGGCTGCTTCAACAGTTACAGAGGCGGTGGGGTAGCCTAGTGGTTAAAGCGTTGGCTCGTCACGCCGAAGACCCGGGTTCGAATCCCCACATGGGTACAATGTGTGAAGCCCATTTCTGGTGTCCCCCGCCGTGATGTTGCTGGAATATGGCTAAAAGCGGCGTAAAACCAAACTCAGTCAGTGAACAGTTCTACATTAAAGTGGGCCGATTGGTCCAGTCGAAAGGTGGCCGCAATAGACTAGCGCAGTTAACACCCTTAGGCCTACCCACAATGCAGTTATCCTGGTTTGTATCCAGGATTTGCCCTGATTATGCACACGCACACACATACACACGCACCGCACACACATACACGCAGGCACACACGCACTCATACACACGCACTGCACGCACGCAGGTACACATACACATAGGCACACCAACCACTCATACACACGTAGGCACACACATACACACAGGCACAATTATAAATTGTCGTGTCGGTTTACATGGACTAAGTTGTGACCCTACTGTGACGCCATCCCTTGCTCTCGCTTGTCCACGGTGGTCATCCCAGTGTGTGACCAGTGGTCAGTTATCTGCTTTGTCTGCTGTATGTTTTGTCTGCATACATTGTACTTGCAATCGCTGTTACAGTCTTAAGAGAGGCAGTTCCAACTTGACCGCTTTCATCAAATGTACCATTCTCTTCCCACAGAGGTTACTCCTGTCATATCTTCCTACGTAACCTCTGTTCTAATACGGCCCTTTCATGGTGTGAGCGTTCAAGACTCGTGATTGGAGGCAATCAGATTTAGTTGTGCAATCAGCGACGTTGTTTCAAAAGTGATCATTCGCAAGGCCTCGGTAATTTCCGTATGCTTCGAGAAAACTAAACTTCTTCCCCTGCGCGATGCGCAAACGTTTCTTCTAGACAGAACTCAGTCATGTTATGGCGGATCAGTGGCGTCTCCATCGCCCTCGTTGACAACGGACAAGCTAGCCTTTAAACGTCTTGTGTGTAACATCAACACAAGTCCCCGGCAGATGGGGGATATTTGTGGCCCCACATTTGCTTGTGTTAGTCAAGTTGAATCTAAGTCGATGTAACACGTGTTCTGATTGGATAGAAAGAAGGGAGATAATTCGTGTTGCGATCTTTTGCCGCTAGGGGATTTTACGAGAACCGGGAAATATGGCCGTATTAGAACAGAGGTTCGTAGGAAGATAAGACAAGTAACCTCTGTGGGAAGAGAATGCAAATGTACATGCATCTGACACATTGATCTCTACGACCTGATATGAGACAATACTTTGACAGTTCGGTTTGTTTGTTTGTTTGCATGCTGTTTTACGCCGCACTCAGCAATATTCCAGCTATATGGCGGAGGTCTGTAAATAATCGAGTCTGGACCACACAATCCAGTGATCATCGATGCAATGACATGTGTCAACCAAGTCAGCGAGCGCCTCATACGACAAGCATGGGTTGCTGAAGAACAAATCTAACCCGGATCTTCACGGGACGACAAGCATGGGTTGCTGAAGAACAAATCTAACCCGGATCTTCACGGGACGACAAGCATGGGTTGCTGAAGAACAAATCTAACCCGGATCTTCACGGGACGACAAGCATGGGTTGCTGAGGACAAAATCTAACCCGGATCTTCACGGGACGACAAGCATGGGTTGCTGAGGACAAAATCTAACCCGGATCTTCACGGGACGACAAGCATGGGTTGCTGAGGACAAAATCTAACCCGGATCTTCACGGGACGACAAGCATGGGTTGCTGAGGACAAATCTAACCCGGATCTTCACGGGACGACAAGCATGGGTTGCTGAGGACAAATCTAACCCGGATCTTCGCGGGTTCTTCGATATGCAGGAGTGGGTGAAATTAGTTTCACGCCGCTTTTGGCAGTATCACGGCCGGGAACAAAATTACATAGGATTCACATATTGTACCTATGTGTGGATTCGAACTCTGGTCTTCGACCTGACGAGCGAACGCTTTAGCCACTAGACTACCCCACAGCCCCATCGCACAAAGGTAATAAGGAAATAGCTGCAATATTTACAAGTAAAGGGGGAAGGGGGACGACGGCGCCGTTAACAAAGGGTTCAACTTACAAGCTACGATGAAACTGGCATATGATATTTAATAGAGACGAGATTCTGTAGAGCAAAAAGATTTGAATGCCCACATATCAACTTCACACATCACCTTTCTTTGCGCTGTGAGGAGAAGTGGAGATAACGAGTCTGCCATAATGACCAAGCTCCATTCAAGCGCATGACGTCATCGACATCTTTCGGTTTAGGAAGCAAGATATCGATGTGAGGAGCCGGGAAATTTAACACACTCGTGACTCGACCGTTCATCGTGGGTAAGTTTAGTGTTCAGTTTACGCCGCTTTTAGCAATATTTCAGCAATATCACGGCGGGGGACACCAGAAAAGGGCTTCACACATTGTACCCATGTAGGGAATCGAACCCTGGTCTGACGAGATAACGCTTCATCCACGAAGCTACCCCACCGCCCTGTTGACTTTGTACGACTTTGGCATGCAGTGACAAATGACTCAACATGGCGTCCTTCTTATATATATTAAAACATGTTCATAGCTATGAACAATATTTCAGATAATTCTCGGCGTGTTGTTTGAATGTTCACCTTATAAGTGAAACTCACGACGGTAGTGTACTGATAAACCTCGAAAAATAATCAAATCAAAACTTAGATTCGAACCAACAATGATGGGGTTATGCATCGCCAATTGACCCACCCCGAACCCTAGCCCACCCCACCCCACCCCATCCCGAACCCTAGCCCACCCCACCCCATCCCAACCGACACAACCCTACTCCCCGTGCCTCTTATATAGCGAATTGTAACAGAAACAGGAATTATTCAATTTGGGGAAACTTTTAAGGTCTGAAACGTATTTGTGTAAATTCTTTAATAAGTGAAATATGAAAAAGGAAGAACAAAGTTTCAAAATTCATGTAGCAGTTTACTCAAATTTATTCAAGCATCAAATGTTTTAATATACCAATTCATGAAACATAAAAGACACGAAAACCTAAGTCATTTCATTCTGTTCCGACAAGGATGCGTTGTCAATCGCATCAGCCATTACATGGAATCTGTGATAGTGTCGTGCATTCGTGACCACTCGGGTTTTTTCCGGAACAACCCGAGTAGAGACGGAAAAGGGCTTGACATCAAAAGGCAGTGACCGGGGTCAACCGTTCTAAAGAATGCTGCGAGGAACAGCTGAAAGATTTCAGACAGATTAAATGTTGGGATGTAATGCTTGTAATAATAATAATAGGAAACATATTCGTTCCTTTGGTCAGTAACAGTTTGAAAGATTTGATAAAACATACCCCCTAACAGATTCCATTCTTATCACTAGAAATGGAGGCCCGAGGCATCGCTCGGGCAGTGAAAGCAAAAGAAGGGTTCATAAAATACTTTCAACTGCCCACTTAAATATAACTTGTCTACTGCCTTCAATGATAATGTATTTGCTCATTTAATATTTCTGTTTCCGTATAGTTTAAAAAGGAAAAAATGTATTCGAAACAAAGAAAGAAACGGTTTCCAAAACATGTTTTGTTGGTCTCAGTTAGACGATTGATAAAATATATATCAATATCATATTATTCAATATTAACATACTTTCTGACAAGTTATAAATAAATGCACATAATCATTATAATCTGATTCCCAATATTGTGGATTCATCTATTATTGATCTAAGTGGGTATTTGAAGAAGAGAAAAATCGGTACTAACTGCAATCGCCGTTATGTGTTTCTTTGAGCCATTAATTTGTACAGAGTGGCCTCCCTTGAATTATCGGGTTCTCGTATTAAGACGAAACTTGCCTAAGGCAACTAGGAAACTTGACTCAGGGCAAGAGATTAAAGACCAAACATCTAACTAACATCAGAACACAAAACATATTGTTGACTGTCATAAATAAGTGAAACCTCCTTAGAGTGGACCTCGTCAATCCGGACATTCGGTATTCTGGACATAACTGATGACAACGTCTATTCGATAAACAGCTGCACATGTTACAACGAACACGAACTAAATATATTTGTGTACAGTGACACAGGCTATATGTTGCTTTTGAAATAATATTCTGTGTGATTGTATGTCCGCCTGGCCGATTTAACATGGTTGTTTGGGGGCTTTTCGGAAATATCAATAGCCGGCAGCCTGTGACTGATGTACAGTTCCGGTCTTTTAAAGAAAGGTTTCTGAAGCTAGAGTAACATAATAGATTCAAACACGCCAACCAGGCATTACAAACTCCACACAGTGCATTATCAGCGACGCCTCATGCCGAGCCTCTTTGCGGAAAGCAACGAGTCACTCCACTATTACGGGATGGGTCCTCGAACCGCATGCCATTCTTCAACTCCCAAATGTTCTCGATCTTCCCTTTAAACTCTCGGACTCTCGAGCTCTGAAACAAACAGATTCATGCCGTTAGCGGTAAAAGACACGCTGGCAAAATTGGTGTTAGAACCTACCATGAAACGTCGCTCTCTCACTGCAATACAAAGTTGTTCATCTATATTGTCATCCTTTCTTATTGCTCCATCTCCTAAAGGCCTCCCAAACGCGTTACTAGCAACATTGCAGTTCCAATTAAAACAATATTTTTAATGTGTACTTGCTACAGTAGTTTTATTATGAACATATTATTAGCTACACATTATAACCTGTTTAAGTAAATGCAAGGAGGAACGGTATCGCGTTTGTATACTGTTATGTGACAGTTCATTCCACATGTTCAAATTCATTCCACATGTTGGCATACAGTAAGGAGGCAGCGGTGCTATATTTAGACATACATTTAGAGAAAGTTCTGGAAGGTACTGCAGGGTACGACAGTTCTGTGGGCCTTTCCACTATATATACTGGCCGAGGGTCAGTTGGTCGGTTTGTTGTTTAAAGCCGCACTCAGCAATATCCCAGCTATATGGCGGCGGTCTGTTAATAATCGAGTCTGGACCAGACAATCGAGTGATCAACAGGCTGTCAGCATTGAGCTTTTGGGGTCATGTTTATCGCACGGCAGTTACTGGCGCGATAGCGAGTTCTGTCGCATCACATGAACAAATATTCGCAGGATGGCTTGCTTTTACGAAAAGGTGTCATTCACCCAAACCTAATGTTCAGTTCACCCAACCCAAGGGACCAGGGGCTCCCTTCACGAAGCATCCTTTACTAAGGTTAACCTTAACTCCCATTCTTTAACATTGCACTCGGGTTACCTTAGTGACTTACGATCTCCTTAGTGCTTTGTGAAAGGAGACCCTGATCTTGCAGCATTGTCCCTATGTACAGCTATCTGTATTTCCAATTACTGAATATCTACAATTCCCCATGAACACTATCTACCCACCAGCTCTCGTCCAGCGCCGCCGACATACACGAGACCTTGGATGTGAACCCCTTCCAGCGTGACCTCTCGCACGTGCTCTTCCTCCACGCCATTGTGCGTCAGAACGAGGCCGGACATGAGCGGGGACTCTTGTCCAGTCATCCTGGCCTCACCACGCCGGACACGTCTGTTGCGGAACACCTCCACCTGTAGCACAGTCAGTGAGTGAGTTAAGTTCAATGCGCTTTGAACAATGCTCAACCACAGGCCCTCGTGTCTTTGAGCGAATTTAAGATTTAAAAAAATATATTACTTTGAGATGACCCCCGTCTCAAAATGCTTGTCATGATGTATTGTACTGTGAAGCATTTCGAGTCGGGGGGTCATCTCAAAAACAATATTTTTTTAATCTTTAATCCTCGCAAAGTCACGCGGGCCTGTGTGCTCAACCCTTTCACGGCCTTCAAACAAATATATTCTCTTTTTTCCACCATTTATTCTAGGACTGGCTATCGATATAGATCATAATCGTTGAATAAAAATAGATCATAATCGATAAATGTCAAATATTTTAGCAAAATTGTATGAACTACATGACAATATTTCACACCACTGTGGGCGGTGGCATGTTTCTCCATGGATTACCAACAAAGCAGCGTCCTGAACATAATTTAGAAGCAGCCAATGAATAAATTTAAATTTGTTTACCGTGTGAGTAAATTACAACTTTATTCTACCACAAAAGAGTATGTGCGATATTATCGATGAAACTATTTTCATATAGATAATCATTAATAATTTCTTATCGACGATATTTCCGATTATCGGTACTTTTAGCCAGGCCTAATTTATTCATTCATAGTCTAGTACTATAATGTTTGTGATGGGCGAGCTATGGGGCGTGGTGGGCGAGATGGCTGAGGAGCCAGGCTTGTGATCCAGCGGGCATGAGGTGCTGGGATCGAGCCCACCTGTGACCTGGTGTAAAAACCTTGGAGTCAACTTTGTGTGCAGACTCTTTCAGTGTTGTCACAACCCCTAGTGTACAGTACACATCCCTGTGCACTTAAAAGAACCCACGAATCCGTTGGTACATGACCAGATGGTGGCCACATGAATACGTGCAAACACCTAGTTGCGGGTACAGCAACGTGCAGTAAACTTGGACAAAGTACTGTGACTATGTGTCCCAGTCCACCCAGCTGTGAATGGGTACCTCGTAAGGTGGGAAAGCCACACTAACTCGGTGCGCCTTTCTGTATGCTCCCCAGGGAGTTTAGATGGATATGTGCGCTATATAAATATCCAATATTAATAATAATAAATAATAATAATAATGTTTGTCTGTGTGTTGTTTTACGCCGTACTCAGCAATATTCAAGCTATGTGACGGCGGTCTGAAAATAATCGAGCTTGATATCTTCCAATGACTGACATCATGAGCATCGATCTACGATTATATATATATATATACATAGTCATTTTACTGATTGACCATCAGTTTCAGTCTACACAATGAGGATACGATGACATGCGTGAACCAAGTTAGTCTGTCTGACCACCCGATCCAGTTGGTCGCCGTTGTCCAGCAGCCTCGACGGAACCGTGGGTCGAGGTCACCTGAGAATTTTAATGTCTTTGAGATCGAGAGTGTATCAATAAATATCCCCGTTCATCGAACCACACACCTCAGTTAATACTAGTTATCTTTACGCATGTTCGTTTTTTTCCGAATACATAAGAATACCACAGTTAGGCATTTACCACTATGTTTTAGATTTTTCACATTCTTTTAAGAAGCAGACGACAGAAATTCAGAACAGTTATTCCTCAGATCTGTTTCATTCGGGAAATATCGTACGTGTCCTCAGAATGGTGTCTTGCATCATAGTAGTTTTGTATCGGTCCTCACCGAGAACCAGTCGTTGGTGTTGACGGGTCCATTGCTCTCAAAGTGTATCCCGAAAGTCCCGCCAGCGCCATTGGACGTGGGGTTGAAGAGGTCGTAGTTGAGCTTGCCGTCGCGGACGTATAGTGCCTCGTAGTCGTGGGAGCCGCGGGCGAAGAGGATGATGCCGTTTTCCTGGGTGGTCATGAAGCTCAGTTTGTAGTGAGCACTGAAGAGGACACACAGAACGCTCAGTTAGATATTTGAATATCGATTTAGCAGTGATTGTTTTATCGATTTACCAATATAGTTACTGAGTTTGGTTTGATCAGTATTTCAGTTATATCACGGAGTGTGATCTTGGTGTGGGAGTGAATGTGACAGTTTTGTGTAACGCCGTTTGAACAGTATAGTCCGTTTGGCTCAAAAGCGGACCGATGAATTGCAATCTAACTCGAAAACTAATAGACATAAAATACTCAATGAAACGCTGGTCATAATCAAAACATCATACCCACTCTGTGAGGTTTTTGCAAAGTTTTTGTCCTAAAAATAAAAAAGTTGTTTAACAATCTATCATTAAACTATTGACACAGTTCACTATTTGTTACGAGGGAGGAGTGCAGAGAAAGGGACACCCAGGTGTTCGAGAACGGATGGAGACAGCACAGGTTAATGAATAAATCACATTGTCTGTGAACGTGCTTCTCGAACACCTGGCTGTCCCTTTCTCTGCACTCCTCCCTCGTAACAAACAGTGAACTGTGTCAATATTTTAATGATAGTTTGTTAAACAACTTTATTATTTTTAGGACAAAATTTTTGCAAAAGCCTCACAGAGTGGGTATAATGTTTTGATTATGATCAGCGTTTCATTGAGTATGTTATGTCTATTAGTTTTCGAGTTAGATTGCAATTCATCGGTCCGCTTTTGAGCCAAACGGACTGTAGTTCAGTTTTATTACACCTGATGTGGGAGGAATCATTGACATGATGCTGGTGCCAGAGGTTTACTACTTTGGTAAAACACACGACCATTGATACGGTGATGACGAACGAGAAAAGTAATTGGCACAACGGGGATTGGAACCTACGATCTGGCAATTGAACAAACACACAACTGTATACAACCTTCCGCTTACCTGGTTGCCAATAATGATCACACGCACACACACACAGACGCACACACACACGTACGAACACACACACACACACACACGCTTTCACAGGTACGCATGCACGCACGCACCAAAAAAGACAAGTACAAACCTGTCAATCAGATCGAAGTTGTCGGGTACGAACTCCAGATAAGAATTATTTCCATTGAACTCAAAGCAAGGTCCTTCATCAGCCGACAACACAGCCACCTATAAATAAATAGAAACCTATTTTTGTCAACCATTAAAGACCGGATATATTCTCTCAGAGACAAAGCTATTTCTGCTTCCATTTAATAAGGTACGCGTTTAAAGTTCGCATTTTAGGCCTGGTCTTGGTTTTCTTGAACAGGAAAGTGCAGTTACATGTATACTGGATGTTCAAAATCAGATTTTCCGCCCACATAGAGTGAGTGAGGTACATTCTGAATGTGTATTCGTCGCTTAGCCTCGAGACTGCCGTGGATCTGTTCATATTTTGTGTACTGCATGTTAAAAGTTACGCAACATCAGAATGCCCTCCCACACAGAGTGAGTGATCATGAGGTACATACTGAATGAGCATTCGTTGCTTAGACTCGAGAGTGCAGTGTAACGGTTCATATTTTGATTTAGCGAATTGATTCCAAAGAATTAGCTGTCTTAGGCAAACAGCCACTTTAATCTCACCTCATGCTCTTGATACATGAGTAACCATAAAAATGGTTTTCATGGCACCAATCAACCTTTTTGCAATTCATGGACAGTGTCATTGACAAGTACACAACACCTGTCAATAGCAGATGTGGGTTCCACAAGATGAAATGACACACTGAAACCTAGCATCCATGCTTACAACAAGCTTAGATATTTAAACCGAATTTGACCCCACATGAGATACTATGCCGCAGTGAAGCATGAATACTCCACTCGGACACATTATACTGACTCCGAGCCGACCAGTCCTTGTTATACCCATTAATGCCGAGCGCCAGGCAGGGACCAACAAGTACCATATTTTAAGGTCTTTTGGTATGACGCGGTCGGGGATCGAACCCGCGACCTTCCGCTCTCCGGGCGGACGCTCTAACCACTACACCACGGAGGCGGTCAGAGTAAAGAGACCGCCTGAAAATGGATTCTAGTAAAATGGAATTTATCCACAGTCGATATGATTTTAGTACACTGCTATGTATTACATGTCTTATGTATACAATATGAAGAAAGAATGTTATATTACCAATAACAGATTGAAATAACAGATATTTACGTTAATGTAAATACATGAATCATGTTCTGATTGAGACATTTTAAGACTTATGAAGTTCAAATTTCAAAAGTGTTTTGACAATCAATGAAATGTGGATTTCGAAAAGAATAATACACGTTCACCTGAAAAGGAAACACAAAGCAAAAAACAAATAAAATACTTACGATACACAACGAAAGTACTATCCAAATATTCATGATTATCACCCAGCACAACACCGCTTCTAGAAGTAAAGTTTACAAACTTGTAGGTAGTCTGCAGAGCCGCCCACTATGCTTGACCTTTTGAATGACGCTGAACGTTTGGTCGGTCAGTTCCGGTTAGGGCGATCCGGTTCCCCTTATCAACCGGATACAGCCGGGTCATTTGCACGACCTTTCATCGTCTTCTATATTGAGTCTCGACTCAGAACCGGTATCTTTACAATCTAATAAAAGGAGGGACATACTGCCATTGTTTAACATTCCCGCGGTCAGCGATATCGTAGCTACATCTATCGGAATATCAGTCTGAAAGTCACAATGCCCATTATGTATTTATTTATTTTCAACGTTGCCTCAACCGAGTAATGATTTCATTGGTAAACTATGCTTTATCGTTATTTCTTTTGGTGTTTTAAAATATGCATTATAACATATTTTCAGGTTCGGGCCTTCTTTAGTCAAAGCAAACAACTCTCATATTTCAGAAACATATTCAGAAATATGTTAGAGCAATAACGTCGTCCCCTTAAACGAATGTGACTTTACTTTGATAGCAAAAACAGAACATGCAACATATTTGGTGACATATTATTATGCTAATATTAGTATAGCGCCAATATCCAGCTCAGCTGCTCAAAGGCGCTTTGTTTTTCCTCCATCATCGGATGTCAATCTCAAACGGCACATCATATTATCGATCTCAACTCCATGGGTATCATACAACTCTGATGCATATCTGAGCTGCATGTGGCCATGTCAGCACATATACAACATGATAGTTCAGATGTAATGTTTCCGTTTAGGACAGATCTTGTTCATGTGGTTGTTAGGACGAAAACAATAATATTACAGGATTTGATCAAGCATGTCACAAAGTCCCATAACCACCTTCCTGTACTGCAAAAGGCCAAAGTAAAGAATGTTTAGATTTTCCTCAGGTTCAGCGGAGCGTCTTTTGAGAAAGTTCCCTCTTCCACGAAAACAAGTTCCTTCTTTTGCATAAACTCCCTATCCGACAGATACAAGTTCCTTCTTTTGTATGCTGCCTATTCTACAGAAACAATTTCCTCCTTTTGCATAAACTCCCTCTTTTGCAGAAACAAGTTCCTTCTTTTGCATAAACTCCCTCTTCTGCAGAAACAAGTTCCTTCTTTTGCATAAACTCCCTATCCGACAGATACAAGTTCCTTCTTTTGTATGCTGCCTATTCTACAGAAACAAGTTCCTCCTTTTGCATAAACTCCCTCTTTTGCAGAAACAAGTTCCTTCTTTTGCAGAAACTGTCTCCTCTGCAGAAACAAGTTCCTTCTTTTGAATAAACTCCCTCTTTTGCAGAAACAAGTTCCTTCTTTTGCATAAACTCTCTCTTCTGCAGAAACAAGTCCTTCTTTTGCATAAACCCCTTTTTTTGCAGAAACAAGTTCTTTCTTTTGCATAATCTCCCTACCCTACAGAAACAAGTTCCTTTTTTTGCATAAACTCGCTCTTCTGCAGAAACAAGTTCGCTATTCTGCATACACTCCCTATTTCACAGAAACAAGTTTCTTCTCTTGCATAAACCCCTTATTTGCAGAAATAAGTTCTTTCTTTTGCATAAACTCTCTCTTCTTTTGCTATTCTACAGCTCCCCATCCGCAGGTGCAAACAGCACACTAACTACATGAGATATTGTATATGTTTTATTTGTATCACAGCAGAGAGCAAACATCAACAATAAATGATGAGTTAAACAAACCAAGTGATCACAGTATTGTACTATCAGTGAACCAAGCAATCTCCTGTGTACAACTTATTCCCGAATATTGAAAACACGCTGAAATCACCACATGCTAACATTACAACCCTTGTGCTCTGGGCAACATGACCACTCAGTACTCACAACCTTTAGTGACAGGATCACACAGAATGAACAAAGCATCCATCACCACATCAACACTCTCTCACATTACAAATGTTCTTCATAAGTATCCCAGTACTTTCTCTGTAACATTGCAATACTTTCTCATAAACACATACACATTCCAATACTTGCTTTGTAACACTGCTTTCTCATAAACATCACAATCCTTTCTCATAAGCATTCCAATACTTTCTCTGTAACATTCCAATACTCTCTGTAGCATTCCAATACTTTCCCTGTAACATTCCAATACTTTCTCTGTAGCATTCCAATACTTTCTCATGAACACATAAGCACTCCAATGCTTGCTTTGTAACATTGCTTTCTCATAAACATCACAATCCTTTCTCAAAAGCATTGCAATACTTTCTCTGTAACATTGCAATACTTTCTCATAAACATTCCAATACTTTCTCTGTAACATTCCAATACTTTCTCTGTAACCAGGGCTCCAGATAAGGGCCGTATCGGCGTATGTACGGATAAAAAACATGCACGACGGTAGGAAATAATTTAGAAAACATAGCAGATACGCACCACAGCAATGGTGTATGGTCTTAGAATCATTTACAGACGTAATTATCTGAACATGTTTGTTTTATTGTTCATTGACCTGTTTACACAAGAGTAGCAATGTTGTGGTGCATATATGAAACGAAACACAAGATTACTGATGCTCCATTTATTTCCATTCAGTACTCTAAATGTACTCCGACAGTATTCCTATATTGAAAAAGTAAGGAGTAAGTACTCCTGACGTTGACAAATTATCTGGAGCCTTGTAAACAGTAACATTGCGAACATTCAATGTAGCAATCCAAGCATTCAAATAGTTTGTTGGCAACATGACAATTCTTTCTCATAAACATCACAATTCTTTCTCAAAAACATCTTAATGTTTTTTTCATTGATATCCCCACTTTCCCAATTCAGTATGTATCACTTCTCAGGAAGAGAACAAGTTGCTCTTAAGAATATCACTATACCTTCTGATAAGAATATCACTAATACCTTTTCATTAAATCACAAAATGTCTTCACATACATCACAACACAACCTCATAAACATAGAAGATCAAAATAACTTATCAACAACATAACAAAAGCTTCTAACAAACATAAGATCTTTTCATAAACAACACATCATTTTCTCATAAACATCACAAATCATTTTTCAAACATCACAATGCTTTCTCACAAATATCACAATAGTATTAGATGTGAATTGAAATAATTACTCATTAACATATCAGACTTGGGAAAAAATAAACTGAAATCATAATAAAAGGCAAAACTTATACCTTATAAAATCACCAAACACCAACCTGTCTAATCTCTCAGATGTGAGATATTGTAACAACCACAAAATAATATTAAAAGATAATTAAAACACTCCCCATACGTATACACAGACAAATATTGGAAAATGGTCAAGCACACACATCAAATTCTGCTGTGCGAAGCATATGTCCTTACCCCACCAAGATGCTTCACGTTATGAATAGTTTGACCATTCATCTTTGGTATTCATAAACAGTAACAAATGAAGAGCAATATCAATGCTTTCTTGGCATTTCAAACAGTTGTTATCCTCAAACAGGCGAGAAGTAAAAACAAAAGCAGGCAAGGACAGACAACCATAAAAATGTGGGGCAGGGCCTTTGAATAAAACAAAAATGAAACAATCTTGTTTTCTTGGAAAAATGCATATTGTTGTTTCAAGAAGTTTACATACATTTCATTTCCAAGAAGCAAGTAATAATTATGCTTAAAAAGGTTCTGCCTTTTATCCCTCTGAACCTGTTGATGGATTGATCGATGATATACACTAATCAAGATAAAAGAAACAAAAGGAAGTTAAGAGTGTCATGGTAAAAATATTCCACTGCATTCCTTAAATCCAGCCCTGGATGTTGAGAAGACAATGTGACCTATAATACCAAACCTTCTTTGGTGTCAGCAATATTCACTGTTCCTACACATCACAGATAGCATACAGCTGTTGATGAGCTAAATACAGAGGTTATACTCAAGGTATAGATACTACACCGCCAGCCATGGAACAACACACTTCAGATGTCACTTATCCAGTTCCAGGTGTATCAGAGCCATTTATGCAAGTAAGTACCTACATGCATCAATTCATGCATGCACATACATACATGCATGGATCCATACCAACATATACATGCATACATACATACATGCAAATGCACGCACACATGCATCCAACCATACATGCATGCACATCCATCCATCTATGCATGCATATGCACACATATGCCTGCATCAATCAACACATGCATGCACATCCATCCACGCATGCATATGCACACATATGCCTGCATCAATCCATACATGCATGCACATCCATCCATCAATCCATACATGCATGCATACACCCATACATATGCACACATGCATGCATCAATCCATACATTCATGCACATCCATCCATCCATGCATGCATATGCACATACATAGATACATGCTCATTCATCCATCAATCCATACATGCATGCACACACACACACATACATACATACAATCCATACATGCATGTGGGCCCATACAGACATACATAAAATTACCTTCTGCTCGTATTTGCAGATTCTGTCTGAATGTACTGGATGCCTCATGCCACTTGTGCCAAAGTGTAACACTACATCCTTACTTCACACCCATCACATGTGGAGTATTATAGCTCCAACTCATCTGATTACAGCAGATATATATAAACATTTCCCACACAAATCAAAGAAGTTCATAAATGGTTAATTTTGATTGAATGACATCGTGTATATACATTTCATACAACTCAATCTATATGAGCAAGATCTGATTCGTTGTAAACATTTGTTATAAATATTCCTTGTAAATATTCTTTGTAAAACCAATAAAAAATATTCCTTGATTATCATCACTCTTCAGAAGAACAAAACCGTTCTCCTCAACTTTTGACAAGAAATGGGAGCATGTTGTATAATGCTGCGCTCAACGATATTCAAGCTACATAATAATTGCCTCAGGACCCAACCAATTCTCCAAGCCTGACCACTAAGGGGAGGGGAGAGCATGGAGTCCAGGGTATATGAGTGTCCAGGTGCAGACAGTGTGACTTGTTTGGACAAACGATAATTGATAATGCCATCAGAAAAATCATTTTAGGCTTCACTTCAAGACGTAAGTATATATTCTTAATTCTACAGTATACAGTCAAAATGATTAGTATGTACTCACTGGCAACAAATGCATTATGGTAGTCACAAATTGTAAAAAGAAATCCCAGTCCCAAAACAATCAAACAATAAACATGATAACAGCTGAATATTGTCAACCAAAGGAAAAAAACATAGAAAACAAATAATACACAATAAATAAAAAAAATGTCAACAACAAACACAATAAACAATATACACGCTGAGTTGTTGAGTGGTGTCTGCCATGTAATGGCGCCTACTCCACCTCCTGAAAGATTACGTCCTGGAACATGTATACCATTGACCTTGTTGTCCTGTCGGAAGATCTCCTTACAAATGCCTACACCTTTGCTCATTCCATAAATTTCACTGTGAATGACATGTGGATTCACAATATTCACTGCATTATTTATTAGTTTGTTACATCAGACAATTTCACTGAATGTCACCAGTTTACTGTTCTCTATGACTTTGTTTATGAAATCAGCAACTCATATTCTCACACATGTTGAACAGTAATACAATTAGGTTGGTCCTTTTTTCCAAACTACTGTCAGCATGGAAAGGACATCTTAGTTCTTTTCTTCACAAGTCAGGTATGTCATTACAAATATTCTGTGTTAGGGTGTAATCTTCCAAAAGCCAAGACTTGATGCATAACATCCAAATCATTTGGAAAATAACTCAACAAGTCCATCTGAAAATGCATAATCACATTAGGTCACGCATGTCAAGTCCTTCCATAAAGAATTTGCTTAAATGTTACATAAAATAATAATGAGATGACAGAGTTCACTGTTTTACACCTCAGACTTTTCTGACACAAGAATAACTCTGGATCCACCTGGGCGTCTCTCAATGACCTTGGCTTTGGCAACAGGGGCTGGGAGACTCTCTGACACAAGGATAATCCTATGTCCAGAGGTCTGATCTGAATGCAGTCCCCTTTTCGATTCAGACACAGACTGCCCATCTGATTCAGCCATGTTTCCAGTCACTGACATTCCACTTGGTTTACTTGCTATTGTCTGTTGTCTGCCACAAGCCGCATCACCATTCAGACCTGAAGCATCAGACTCGTGAACACTTGACACACTATCAGAAACTGTGGCGGGCTTCGGAGCAGAAGCTTCATCTGACAACTGATCATTGCTGTCCCTTGCATCAGTATTTTCAGTGTCCCCTAAAACTTGCTCAGGCTCGACCTCCTCCTTCTGCTCCTCATTTCGGGGTGGACTCATCCTGTTCTGCTCCTCCCCCTGTGTCACATGTTTATGGGGAGCCTTGTCTGGCAGCCCTTCACATTCTGACACAGCAACCACTCGGTGTTCTGATCTCTGTTCCACCTGCCCATCCACTGCTTCATTGCTACTTTGAACAATGGCAGCAGCTACTGAAACTTGACCTGCCTCTGCAACTGTCAGGACTGTCGTCCCTGGCAGACTTGTTGAGAGGGTGTGATTCCCTCGGAGTGGATTTGTTGCTGTTTTATCCTCAGGTTCTTTAACCTTCTCCGACAGTCCTCTCGGAGCCTCTGCAACTGTGATGACTGTCTGCCCATGCAAACTTGTCGAATGTCTGGTACTTCTCTGTCTGGGATGACTGTCTGCCCATGCAAACTTGTCTGTATGGGATGACCATGGTCTGTATTTGTTTCTGAAGTTGGTACAGGTTCATCAACCTTCTCCGACAGTCCTCTTGGGACCTCTGCAACTGTCATGACCGTCTGCCCATGCAAACTTGTTGACTGTCTGTGATGGCCTGGCATTAGATTTGTTTCTGAAGTTGGTACATTGTTTGGACTTGTTGCTGTTGTGTCTTCAGACATACCCTTGTCAGGCACTGTCTCTGTAACATGGTTAATATTTGCTTGCAAAGTGGCTGCAGGCAGAGACGTTTCTTCCTGTACTGACTTGTGTGGTTTCAGGTCTTCCTGGTTGTCAGTACCCTGATGAAGGATTACTTCAGGTTTCATTACTTCTGATTTCAACATAGCCTTATTTGTCAGTCTTTCTTCGTTACTGCCTTGTGTTTCTGCTGCATTGCTAATCTCTTCAGGTGACAAATCCGAAGCATGAATGTCTTTTTGAGGCAGATGTCCATCAACAAAGGTGACAGCTTTTCTCTTTCCTGTTGGTTGTTCCTTTAAGTGAGTCATTCCTTGTGTCCTGTTAATTTCCTGTAGTTCAGGATCAACGCTAACAGTAGGTATGTTCTTAACAACTGACAATTCACTTTTGTCCTCAAGACTTTTGATACCACTTCCAGAACTGTCCTTATCGTCTGGAGCTTTGCTGTCCTTGACATTATCATCTCCTAGGCTCCCACTATCTGGTTCACAATGTTCTTCATTCAACACAAGGTGATAGGATGTTTCTTTGGACTTCCCAGTTTTTATATAATCAACATCCACCGGGGATTCACCCACAACAGCTATCAAAGAATTCATATTTACATTTCCCAAATAATCAGCCAGTTTTGACTCTAGTGGACTAGGGTGGGTACAACTGGGAGAGTTGATTACTTTATCATCTCCTTGTCCTTTCTGTGTGGTATTGGTGTCTTCTGTTTGTTCAGGGCGTGCTGATTGAACTGCAAGTGAACAGTAAGACTCCTCTCCTTCATCGCCTCGGTGTTCAACAACAGTCGGTTTGAGTCGAAGATATCCATTGATAAAAGTCTGAGATTCTGGTAGGTTATCATCTGTAGGTAATTCACTAACAGTGGTTTCAGGCAAGATTTCATCTCCTCTTGACGAAACGATCGGAACTTCGTCTGCTTCAAGAATAAATTCACTACTTCCCCTGGACTCTAAGGAAAGCCTTCTATTTGACAGATCTTTCTGAGGCAGACCTAATACTGACAGTGGTCTTAATGTGCCTACTGGACTGGTCCCATCCTCCTGTGAATGATCTTTATCTACTTCTTCATATCCAAGGGAACCTTCATGAGACACTGGATCATTAGATTTTATTCCAGTTGCTGGGGCCTCATCCATTTTATCTTCTAAGATGTCTTGTTCTGTATGAATCTGAGTGTCGCTTTCTAACATAGCATATCTTATCCCCGAAGAATCTTGAGAAACATTACCAGGAATCGGTTGGTCTGTCCTGGTGTAGTGCTCCTCCAATATGTCGGTTGTGTTTGTTGTATTACAAGTAGTGCTTGATTCTGTAGTATCATTCATCACTGTGTCAGTGGAAGTTTGAAGTGTAACAGACTCATCACTTGAAGTGAAGGACTGGCCTACTTTACTCCCATCAGGGTCATCAAAAAGAAAAGAAATTCAAACATTCCTTCGGTATCAAATTGTTTGGTGCTGGCTTTTCGTCTGATTTGTCATCAGGTAAGCAAAGGTCATTAGTCTTCAAATTAGTCATCACCTCACCTTGCAATGCAACATTTTTTCCCTGTTGTGTGTCATCATGAGTGATGCCATGAGTTTGTGAGTCTCTAGTGGCACGGGGCATACATGATTCCTCATTGTCAATGGATGGTGTTGGAGATAACACACCTGTCAGAACAGCTTTAGTCAGGACAGCATCTCTGTGTGTAATACTTCCTCTGTGAGATGAAACATATATTGGTTCCTCTCCCTCCTTAACATCCTGTAACTCAGATATCTGAGATGGCTGTTCTTGCATCACTTCACTGACATCACATGCAACATCTTCTTGTCCATCATGTGTAATGTCTCTAGGATTAGTGTCTGTTTCGTAGCACCAGGTGTATTGACTTCTAATGATTGACCTTCAGGATGAGACTCTGCATCAGGTTTTGATTCCTGAGTGTCTGTCTCTGCAGGATCCAAACAAACACTTCCAGGACCTTGATCTACTGATTCTTTATGATCTGATTCAGCTTTCTGTTCCTCACTCTCCTTAGAACATATTTTACCATTGTCATCAATTTCAGATCCTCTACTGCATATAGAATCAGATCTCTCAAACTTCTTTCTTGGTGGACTTAGAACTGGTCTTGGTGTGTTTGTAGTTTTACCTCTTTCTATACTCAAAGACGATCCTGGACGTTCAGGGTGTTCTGTTAGCATCTCTAGATCGGTTACATCTTCCTGTTCAGCTTTCTTCTCCTCAGAATTTGTATTTGGTTCCAGGGTTTGGTCTTTTTCAATGTCATCCTTATGTGTATTCACAGGTGTCAGAATCTGACTAGATATATCCTGATGATTTGATTGTTCCATTTTCAACGTCAACATTTCAGGAACTGCTGGTTCTGTCTCCTCTCGCAGTTCAGTTTCAGACTCTCTTTGCTCACTCTCCTCAAAGGTATGCTCCTTGTCTGTAGGATCTCCTTGACACAGTGTCTCCACTTGCACATCCATCTGTCCTCGGCTTTCATCAAGCAGAACAATTCCAGCTTCATCCATGCCACTAATACCCTTTGAAACATCATCATCTGCAATGGTAACAGACCCTGCCACTGTGCCACATTGTTCTTCAGACGATCCTTCCATGATCATATTAGGCATCTGCCTATGGTGTGCTGAGACTGGTCTTTGTCTGGGAGATGGTGCAGGGTTACTTCTCATACCATGAGCCGAGACTGGCCTTCTTTGAGTGTCTTTCAATGTAGCAGATGTGACAGGAGCACCAAGATCTAAGATAATACTGTTACTGTTATTGACAGTTTCATCTTTAGTGGATGATGGTCGAACACTGGTAATCTGTAAAATCTGATCATCCTCAGTTTTCCAGGGTTCTTCCAGATGACCTGTGGTGTGTCCTTCCCCTTCACACAGAATGACTTCAGAGGCCAGAGTTGTATCTATCTGTCCTCGACTCTCATCATGGCTGATCAAATCCTTAGGATCACTTGCTTGTATCTGACAGATATCATCATCAGTGTTCCCTGCTTCTATGTGCAACTCGTCAGGTAATGCTATATCTTTTTTCAGGCCAGCGCTGCCCATCTTTAGTGGTGGAACCATCACATGACGGGCTGAGATGGGTCTTGTAGGTGATGCAGAAGGGCTATCTATGCAGCGAGCTGATACTGGTCTCAACTGCTTAGAAACAGTAGGATCTGAATAAAAAACTTCATCATCACTTGGTACATTTTTAGAGGTTTCCTCATGTGACAGTTTTGATTTCACGTTTTCCTTGAAATCACAATCTCCATCACTTATTTCATCCATTTTGGAGACACCTAATTCATTTCCTTCACTCAAGAAAAGATCAGCATCACCTCTTCCTTCTTCACTACACACAGTGGGTACTGTGGACTGTTGCAGCTGTTTTGTTTCACTGTTGAAATTATCATCAGTGACGTAATCAGTTTTATTCTTCTTCATCGCCACAGCATCTTCACTGTCTCCCTCATCGGCAGCTTCCTCAAATGATGCAACAGTCTCATCATTATGATGGCCTCTAGAAGAAGCAGCTTGACCTGATCCTTGTAGAGAGGAATCATTTATGACAAATCCTCTTGAAGTGGAACAGGAAGAATCTGGTCTTGGAACTCCTGCTTCTTCTGTGATCTCATCTTTTGTCTCTGATGCAGCTCCTTCTGAAACAGCTGTGTCAAACTCTTCTCTGTTGTCATCTGGTTCATACTTTACCTCTACCTCACTGTTGTAATGAGTCTCTGCCATTTGGTTATTGTCATCCTTTGTAGTATTAATAAGCTCAATACCCGATTCATCACCACCCCGAGAGGACATGGTTAGGTCATGCTGAGTCTTCTCCATATTTCCTCTTGATTCAGAATCAGCAGTTTCAAGTCTGTCTTCTTTAATCTTATTTCCATCATCTCCAATATCAATACCTGCTACATGAATCTCAGCATCAGCTGGAACAGGCGATGAAGCATCAAATTTACTGACAGACATCTTGTTCACATCCCCAGTACCAGTGCTCAAGCTGCATGAGGCTGGTCTGTCTTCCGTATCAACTGGACTGTCCAAAACTTCACATTTAATTTCATCTTTTGATATTTCAAGATTCAAAAACTCTTCTTCTCCTCTTGATGGCATTTCTGATGCAGGGGACTGAACTTTATCAGCACTTCCTCTTGAGCAGGAGGAGGTCCTGTCATCAATAATAGGATCAATATCTGCAGCCACAGCAGTAGGTCCTTTCACCACATCAGCTTCATAATCTTCAGCTACTTCAAGGAAATCTTCATCATTCAGAAGATCTTGAGTCTGATCCATCTCAGTTGTTTGCTCTGACTTCTCACTTTGATCATAAGCTGTTTTACCTGATGGATCTTTCTTCCAGGCACTTACTCTTGAACCTCTGACACTGGACAGCGTGGCCTGGCTAGTGACAGAATTTGCTCGACTCACAGTTATCTCTTGGTATGTAGGGTTTGTCTCTCCTTGTGCTCTGGTTGCACTGCAATATGACGATGCTTCACTGTTCTTCCTCTTAACTGGAGCTGCCCCCCTGCACAGCTCTTCATCAATCTCAAGCTGTTCATCAGTTTCTTCCCTTGTAAATACCTTCTCAGATTTGTTGTAAACTTCAGGATCTGTATCAGAGTCAACAAGGGTATCTCCATCTGATCCTCTATCCTCTGGAACATACATGTAATTACTTGGAAACTTCTGGTACCTTGATGAAGAATCACTTCCAAATGTTTCAGAAAGGTTGTTAAGGAAAATGCCTCTGTATTCTTCCATGGTTCCATCAATGTCAGAGAAAATTCTATCCCCTCTGGGATCCTCTTCAAAACAAGGCAACTCGACAGCTCCTCGGCACACATCATCAAAACTGCCAGACAGGTTCTTTGCATCTTCTCCAGGAACTGCAACTTCGGGATCAGTCTTCACTACCTCAGTAGCAGTATCAGCTGATGCTGGTTCTTCCACTGTAACATTCTCTGGTGATACTGTGAAGACCTCAGAAGTGACCACAGACACCTGATTATCAATGTTATTTGATTCAGACTCTTTTGTCTGAGCAGATTCAAGCTGAGAAGTGTCCTGAGCTGAAGTCTGATCTTTAGGATCATTCTGACTCACACTGCACCCATTCTCCTCACCAAAATTACAACAACCCCCATCATGTGGGGAATCCTTGACTCCTCGGCTCTCCCAGAAGCTATCCTCATTTGATTCATTCCCAAGATTTTGGGGGCAATCTTCCAGCTGCTTCTCTGTATCTGGAGGTCCATGTTGTTCTGTTTCCTTCATGTCTGGGTTTTTATCATCCTCACCAGCTCTGTCATATGAAACATACTCTTCAGAGCTTCCAACATCAGCTCTTTTCTCTGAATCAATTGCACTTCCAACATATCTTCCATTCTGTTCTTCAGAATCAAACACAGAGTCTGACATATTTCCATCTTTGAAGAGATGGACAGTGCTGTTTGGCAGAGAAGATGCAGGATTATCTTCATCAACAGATTTCAGTGTGATAGTTTCACTCATGTTTGTGTGCCTTCTCTGAAGGCTTGGGAAGGACTCTTCTGATTCTAAGGAGAAGCTCGTCTGACAGACTTTAGTTTTGAAGTCTTGTGTAGAGGTTGACCTAAAACTGTCACTTGTTGAACTAACTCCAGTGTGCCTGTTTCGTTTCCCGGACCTTCTGTCTTCATAATGTATTTCCGAGTCCACTGACTCTGTAGCATCTGAGCTTTGTAATGTTAACTCAAGGTTTTCATACTTCTTCCTCCTCCTCTTCTTCGGTCCATGCCTTGAGGACCTTGGCGTCTGTGTTTCCTGATCAACAGAGGTATCATTGGTGATGGTAGACGAGTCCTCTGTGGTGATCTGTTCTCTATGTCTTCTGGGAGTTTGTGGTTCAGAGTCTCTAGGAGTCTGAGTGTAGTTGTCAAACCTGGGCAGAAGATCAGTGGTGGAACTAGCCCTGTCCAACTTCAGAGACCTTGGAGAATACATTTCCTTATCTTCAGCATCAACAAGAAACGCATCTCTAACTACAGGCACATATCGACGTTCAGCTAGTCTGGCAGATCCTGGTCTAGCGTGAGACATTATTGCCTGGATGCACAGAGGTTCTTGCAGGGTGCGTCTTAATGGCTGAACAGGTGGATGGGGCTGGTGATGGGGTACTTGGGACAGCGATGTGGACACAATCTTGTAGGTGGAGGTCAGGTCTGAGTTGAAGGACGAAGAAGAGTAACGGCTGGACATGGGTGAATCGGATGACTGCATGGAATGACTTGAACGAGGACTGACTAGATCCGTTGAGGTGATTGGTGGAAGTGTGCCTCTGAAAAAGAAACAAAAGTGTATAAAAGACAAGCAAACACAGATATACATTTCCCATGAACTATACTGCAGCTGATACCATACTTAGGTGGTTCCTCATGAGTAATCTCAACAGCATAGTTTGTTTGCATTACTCAATATAACTCAGTAATGTTCCAGCAACATGATGGCTGCGAGATTAGGTCAACTTGTAACAGTCTGGACTACAAAATACAGTGATTGATGTTTCCACTTCTGGGATAATGCTATCCAGTCACCAAGTTTGACCACATAATCCATGTTGTCAGTCCATTACATATTACTAGTGGTCAGAGAAACAACCTCTACATCAGGATGGAGAGCATGTTATGTAATATTTATCACACAAAACAATATTGAAACTGAACAATGGACCAAACTGGATAAGTAGAAAGTTAGTTGGTTGGTTTGTTGTTTAACGCAGCACTCAGCAATATTCCAGTTATATGGCAGTGGTCTGTAAATATTCAAGTCAACAATGCAGTGATCAATGGCGTGAGCATCGATCTATGCGTTTGAGATGTGATGACATATGTCAACCAAGTCAGTGAGCCTGACCACCCGATCCTGTTAGTCGCCCCTTACAACAAGCATGGGTTGCTGAAGACCAATTCTAACCCGGATCTTCACGGGTCACTAAGTAGAGTGACACACATTGTCAGGTCATAAATTGTAACAACTGAATCTCACTTTCAGTCAACTCTTATGATAATTATGAGGTTTTGGGGGACTAATTTCTCCTGCATTTCGAGGAGGATCAGAATTTATATTTTTGTTGTTGCATCAACCTGTACTCAACATGTCCTAAATGTATTGTATATCAGGCAGCCTATCAATAACATGTACAAGAAAAACCAGCGGTTGATATCAAAATCAAAATCAAACGCTGTCTGGGTTGTCCAATGCCAAATGCAGCAATATTCCAGCTATAGAACAGTGATGGTCAATAATCAAGTCCGGATCCAAACACAGTGCAGTGATTGGTATCGAGAGCTGTCAGAATGACGAGCCAACCACATCACAAAGACTGACATGGCCCCTGTATTTCCCCTCTCAACCTGGTTACTGGGGACAAATGCATGATGATACACTGTCAACAAGGGGATTTATCTTAAAATAAGGGCAGATGAGAACAATCACTATTTTGCTCAATATTTGAATTTTCTGAAAAAACATACTCTTCAAAGTCAGACTTATTTTACCAATGCATTCTAAACTCTGCATTTAAAGCAATTTACAACATCTATGCAATAAAGTTTGTTCCTCTTATGTATATTGGTTATGTTGTCAGTTAAGTAAAAGGAAAAGGAGAAGGAAAATATGTTAGTTCTAGCCATATTAACAAGAATTAAAATGGATTGTAGTTATAATTTGAGGAATTTGGTCATGAATTGGGAATGATTTTGATCATAACAAGTAAATTGTACTAACATTACTTTTGGTCAGAAATAAGAATTAATAAATCCCTGGAAAATGACCTCCAGCTGTAACGGGATTTTCACTCTTGTCAATGTTATTGGTTTGAGTATATACAGAGATCAAATAAGGAACATCTAATGACAACTACTCATAATAACTATAATAACACTAATAATATGCCTTGCTTATGGCGCTACAAACACAATGAAGCCACTGCAAAAAGTCATAGGCAGGCTTTTTTTTCATGGCTGCTCACAAGTTATAGAAAGTACTAAAGAGATAGTTTTTGAGGTTGCTCTTAAAAATGTCAAGGGATTCTGCCTCCTTGATTTGAAGAGGAAACGGGTTCCATGAAGTGGCAGCCAGGTTAGCAACAGATCTATCTCCAAACTTTTTCAGATTGTACTTCAAGTAGATAATGGTTGGCAGATTGAAGTGATCTCAATTTTACAGATTTGTGAATGAGATCATTCAAATATGGAGCAGATGACTGATGATAGCACTATGTAATATAACTGAAAGATGTGAAAGTAAATGCTGACTTACAAAGCAAATGAAACTACCAATCTAAAAGCGAAGCATAGCAAGGTGAAGCCAGAATCAAAAGCATTAAAAGCTATATGTATATTATACATACTGTTAATCATGAAATTAATGCATTGTCAAGTAAACATGAGTATCAGCTCTGGCCTAAAACTCATTATAAATTTAATACATGTGAGTGAGTGAGTGAGTGATTTTATGCCACTTTTATCTTTACTCCAGCAATACCCCGGCAGGGACAACAGTGATGGGCTTCACACATTGTACCCATGTGGGGAATGGAACCCAAATCTTAGGTCAGGTGAAAAGCAACACCACCTCCCTTCATGCAAGTAGTCCTGCAGTGTAACTATAGAAACTAATCAGCAAACAATGACACAAACCTGGAGACTTAAAGGTCCCTAATATAGCATAGGGTGACAGCTGCTGGAATGATATTAACAGCTTTCTTCACAAACTGAACAAAATGTAATAATTGCAACAAAACCAAATTTTGCACCATCACATGAACTCGAGACACCAACTCTGATGATTTGTCTCATAATTTTGGACACCCGGATAAAAAAGTTGTTTAACAAACGATCATTATTTTGTTGTCACTTTTCGATATTTTCATGTTTAAAATATAAATGTCACCACACACGCTTGTTGATTACCTGGCTGTTCTACCAGCAAATGGTTTCCCCTCGTTAAAAATGGTGAAAAGTAACAACAAAATTATGATTGTTTGCTAAACAAGTTTTTTATCCGGGTGTCCAAAATTATGAGACAAATCATCAGAGTTGGTCTGTCGATTTCATGTGACTGTGCAAAATTTGGTTTGGTTGCAATTATTAGATTTTGTTTTAGTGAGCAATTCATCGGTCTCCAATTAAAACAAACTGACTGTAAAGTTAACATGTTATGAGTCGACATGCGGCTGTCCAGGGGCAGTAGGACCGCCTCCGTGGTGTAGTGGTTAGAGCGTCCGACCGGAGAGCGGAAGGTCGCGGGTTCGATCCCCGACCGCGTCATACCAAAAGACGTTAAAATATGGTACTTGTTGGTCCCTGCCTGGCGCTCGGCATTAATGGGTACAACAAGGACTGGTCGACTCCGAGTGTTTGAGTCGGGTATTCATGCTTCACTGCGGCATGGTATCTCAGTGGGCTAGCACTATAAAACCAGCTTCTGTCTGGGCTAGTACAAGTAGCCGCACATACACATACACACACATGCACGTCGTCATATGAGCGAAATATTCTCAAGCACGACGTTAAACCCAATTTCACTTCACCTCCCAAAGGCAGTAGAGTAGCCTAGTGGTTCAAGGGTTCATTCATCACACCAGAGACCTGACTTAGACTCCCCAGAGGGGTACAATGTGTGAAGGCTATTCCTGGTATTACGTGATACTGCTGGAATATTGCTAAAAGCGGTGTTAACCATACTCACTCACTTCACATAAAAATGTCACTTAATGAAAGCGAGACAGCAATGTACACTCACATTTTCCACATCAATTTGCTGCATTTATTTCATGATTTACAGTAACGCAATAATAAAAGGAAATTGAATACAGGCAATAGACCAGATCTACATCTCTGGATAGCATAAAGTGAAAACAAAAAATACTCGGAATAATCTCTATCAGATTATCCTCCTGGAATTGATACAGCATAGGGTAGGCTATCAGTTCTAGGAACCATGCGGTGTTAGAGCCATGCTGTGTCTTACCTAGCCGCGAGTTTCCTTCACCCTGAAAACATCGTTATCATCACCATATCAGAGACTACAACACTTTCTACTTTACTCTTCTCTAACTCAGACAAAGAAAAGACATACTATATCTGTAAAAAATATATTTAAAACACATCTCAGATATATGTACCATGTATATGACCGTAGATAAGCCGAATTTGAGGACCAAAAAAAGCAATATGAAGAAGGAGGCGGCTTATGTACAGGATTCAGTTTCATGACAGTAATTTTCAGGTTGTGATTTGTCAGAAACGTCAACAAAAGGACAGTTTTACGGGTTCCAACTGTGTGGAAGTTTGCCACAATTACAGCCCCTATATTGTAGATGTAAATGTAAACACAGGCATATTTACAACACAACTGTCTAAAAAGCATGATTATCATTTTGGATAAACAATCATAAGCATATTCTTGTGTGAAAAAGAAACATCCGAAGCACACGAAACCATCCCCTTCATTTTGGAATGATACATTTCCTTAACTCATTCGCTACCATAGTTTCATCTCAACACTTTCAGCATCATCACACCCAGGATAGAAATGTATATATCTTCCCACATGTGCCACACAACTTCTCCCTCTTTATAATAGCCGTAAAATATACCTTTTAAAACATACGGTACTGAGTTGTAACTAGGGCTGCGCAATATAACCGGTTTACCGGTATATACCGGTTTAGGCATGAGAATGATACGTATTGCGATACGCTGATCGAAATCCGGTATTTTGACATGCATTCGGAAAACTTCGTAACACTCGTAAATCTTCGGATATTTCCGTTTTTTTTAATTTGTTCCTTTCCTTGTTTCATTTGTTCCAAACATTATTTGCATTTTTCATTTTGTCATGATTTAAAGTTTTTATTAAAGCCTAATCAAGCATAGTGATTTTGTTGTGCTTTTGCTTTGTAAATCAAGCATTAACTCGATTATAAGTAGTTTTTTTAAAAAAGAATTCTTGCAATATATTGCAATACATATGGCAATATATGCTTTCGCATCGCAATATATCGCAATATGAAAATATTCGGCAATACCCACCCCTAGTTGTAACAATGTTCACATGTTCATCAGATTTATTATCGGTTTCAAATACATTTAACCTAAGACGCATGCTGTTCATACTGTTTGTCCAATTATGGGTTTCATAAACAGTGAACAGCAGTAATAACAAACCTAAACTGACCAGCAAACAGTCCATGACATCCATCAGTGTGTTATTAGCATGAGTGTTCCAGACTTAGTTTACTGGGCCCCGTTCCTCAAAGCGATCATAGCGCTACGACAGTCATAAGTCTATGTTAAAGTATGGGAGTTACGATCATCTTAGCGCTACGATCGTTGTGAGGAACGGGGCCCTGTACCGTATTCACTGGAATAAGTGCCCTATCATACTGTCCATGCCATATGTTTTTGTGGTTCATTTACCATCTTCACCGTAATGTGTCACGTGTTCATGTTTGTCACAAATATTATGATTTGATAATCAATTTTCATCAAAATCAGTACCCTAGCTACCTGACAGAGGGGTCTATTAAATCATACACATTTCACATCTTGCATTGACCACTAAAATACAAGGAACACTGAACCCTCCACAGAATTTCTCTAACTGGATGGATATTTGATGATCTTGTCATTGGAACATCACCCAACATGAAACTATTGCAGAGGAATAGTCAATGAACAGATCATCACAGATTGGCGAAAGAATTCACAACATCATGGAGGATGGTTGAAACGTCTACTTTGAAAACAGCCCTTTCACCATAAACTATACAACAAAGATAAACTATATCCACACAGGCAATAAAAAGAACAAATACAGTCAAATCCCGATGAGTCGAATCTCTGGGGACCAAGTAATAAATTCGACTTATCGATGTATTCGAGACATAGGTATGTCTATGAGGGTAGAAAAAAAGATGACCCAGTCCTAATTCCTCCGCCTAAGCATTTGTTTATCTAATGATTTCCCTATCACTAATAGGGGCACCTTATCACTTCCAGTCTGATTAGCACAGACAGTGATTTCCGTAAAATCACTAATCTGCCTTTTGAACTCACCCGTCAAAGGCGGAAAGATGTGAGCCGCGCTGGTTTGTTAATTGGATCAGTTTGCTACACCAATCAACTTCTCATTGACTGACTTCGGCTTATGTATACAAGATTGCTGTTGTTTGAATCTCATGGGACCAAATTTTCTTCTCGAGTCATCGTGTGTATTTATGAGTCGAATTCATGTAACCGGTATTCAAATGATGACAACTATAACAGGGAATGGTCCGAACCGACAGGTACCTCGAGTTATGCATAATATTCGGCATTCGACTCATCGGGATTTGACTGTATTACAACACTGCTCTGTACACAACACTCAAAAGTGTGTAAAAAGCATTTTTCTTTAAGCTTTGTTTGTTCAGAAGTATCACAAAGAATATCACTTCAGGTGATAGTAATTGCCAGTATATAAAACTTGTGCACAAGATTTTTCTTCAGGTATAAAGAACTTCATATATATTTGCCTGCAAAAGGCAAAAATAATTTCCGAGACCCTCACACATATATAATAAGGCCATAACCTGTACACTGGGTCTAACAAATCTGACTGTATTTTGAGAATGACAACTAGTAAACCAATCTGAGCTGAAAACAATTCATGATTAAAACATATAAAATAAGTCACCAGCCCATATTATGATAATTTACACATTATTTCACATTTTGAAGACATATTTTATGATAAACAGATTAAATACAAATCAATACAATGTCCCAGATTCTATACTGATTTCAACTCCCATTTTGACCCAAGGACACTATAACACTACTACTTATCACAGATTATGACAAGGATCCTTGAACTTCATTCTGAATGTTATATCATCGAGTGTACTGAAGATCACATAACCCAAACCAACATTTGTCACAACATGAAGCACCTGTCAGGTATCACAGGCGACAACATGAAGCACCTGTCAGGTATCACAGGTGACAACATGAAGCACCTGTCAGGTATCACAGGTGACAAGATGAAGCACCTGTCAGGTATCACAGGTGACAAGATGAAGCACCTGTCAGGTATCACAGGTGACAACATGAAGCACCTGTCAGGTATCACAGGTGACAACATGAAGCACCTGTCAGGTATCACAGGTGACAAGATGAAGCACCTGTCAGGTATCACAGGTGACAACATGAAGCACCTGTCAGGTATCACAGGTACACTCACCTCGTTCTCTCTCTACAGGTGTCTCTGTAGTCCTCACTTCTCACTGTCGACGCTGATGCTGCAGTTTTCACAGACTGCACCGATCCTTTCTCCGAGCCCTTCTCTGAAGGTGTCGGTGTGCCCTGTAGAGATGGGGTGAGTGAGGGACATGTGATTATCAAGTGAGTGAGTGAGTATGGTTTTACACCACTTTTAGCAATATTATAGCAAGATCGTGACAGGGGACACCAGAAATGGGCTTCACACATTGTACCCATGTGGGGAATCGAACCCAGTTCTTCGGCGTGACAAGCGAACGCTTTAACCACTAGGCTACCCCACCCCTATTGGCTCTATGAAAATTTAATCTATTTAAACCGCTTTCAACACATTGTCTGAATATCATATCATGGCAGCTAAATATGGGAAGAAAACATGTGATCAGCAAACTGACACCCTTGTGAAACTAGCAAAAGCACAAGTAAAATCTTGATGTGTAAAAGTCAAACTTAGTAACTACATCCAAAGCCAAAATACGCCAGAAATCATATAACATGGAGTGAGTGAGTGAGTATGGTTTAACGCCGCTTTTAGCAATATTCCAGCAATATCTCGGCGGGGAAGACCAGAGATGTACCCAATTCTTCGTCGTGACGAGCGAACCCTTTAACCACTAGGCTACCCCACTGCCCCTATAACATGTAACTTAAATACACACGCTCTACTGCAGTGGTAGAAAACAGAGCATGAAAGCCAAGAACTGAAAATTTAGGGGGTCCTCAGACTCAAATAGAATGGCTGCAAATCTCATGAGGACCCTACAAATTTTGAAAACTGTTCAATGATCATGCTCAGAAATGGTAACCGCCTCCATGGTGTAGTTGTTATAGCGTCCGGTCGCGGGTTCGATCCCCAACCGCGTCATAGCAAAAGACGTTAAAATATGGTACTTGTTGGTCCTGCCTGGCGCTCAGCATTAATGGGTACAACAAGGACTGGTCGGCTCGGGAGTCAGTATAATGTGTCTGAGTGGGGTATTCATGCTTCACTGCGGCATGGTATCTCAGTGGGCTTGCACTGTAAAACCAGCTTCAGTCTGGGCTAGTACAAGCACCCGCACATACACATACACACGCATGCACGTCGTCACATGAGCGAAATATTCTCAAGCACGACGCTAAACCCAATTTCACCTCACCTCACCTCACCTCAGAAATGGTCAAATAAAGTAGCCAGTTCACATGAACAATTTGGCCATTGTGGCTGCCATGTGTAAAATTTGATTGGAATTTTAAGAGCAATTTTAAGAGACACCATTCCTTAAAATTACCTACCCGTTTCAGCTCTTGAAGTCTTTTAGAGTATTCCTTCCTGCCTGTCTGGAGTCCTGCAAGAGCATGAAGAGACAGTTGGTACAACATAAAGAATATTGAACTATGTCGCATCTCTGCTGGAAGACAAAGACAATAAACTATAAATAAGACAGGTTCTTGCTGATCAGGGATATGTAGACCTGCAAACAAGTTAGTTTTGGCCCCCAGTACTAAAGCCCATGAAACATCATCCAAATTGGACACCAAAATTCCCAGTTGAAGTTGATACAACTATTGTGACCTGTATTTCAGAGCTCTATCAGAGGAAGATTGATGCTTAGGTTTACATTACTGCATTTATACAACGTCAATATACCACTGTAACCATACTGAACATAGGCGGATCCAGAGGGGGGGTGCGCACCCCCCCCTTTGTCCTGAAAGTTTATTAAATGACCATTGAAACTCGGGTGAAAATGAAGTGTGCACCCCTCCCTTTCTCAATAGTGTGCAACCCCCCTTTCTCAAAAAGCTGTATCCGCCCCTGCTGAATAGTGAGTGAGTGAGTTTAGTTTTACTCTGCACTCAGCAATATTCCAGCTATATGGCGGCGGTCTGTCTGGACTAGATAATCCAGTGATCAACAGCATGAGCATATATCTGCGCAATTGGGATACGATGACATGTGTCAACCAAGTCAGCAAGCCTGACCACCCGATCTCGTTAGTCGCCTTACGACAAGCATGGGTTACTGAAGATCAATAGTCTAACCCAGACAAATAGACAAATGATTTTGTCAATTTTGCCAATTTATCCGCTATGGTCAGGAATATTGGCTCAGGAATATTGGTCCAAATTAGCCCCTGAGAATGACCACTGAATTTTACATCAATTTTATCAAGATACCAGTGGCCATAATGACTTATGGACAACTTCTAACTTATTGCACAGAGCAATATTTCAATGTAGATTTTTATGCTTTGTTATTCAGTCTCCAACTTCTAGAATGCCGATCAAATAATTCGTCAATTCTACCCAACCACAGTATGGTGCAAAATTGGTTTGAAAAGGTACTGGCACCTGTCAGTTCCCATGACGACCAGAATTGTACTCAGATGGTTGAAAATTATCTAGAGCACTGGAGCTATGGAGCTGTGGAGCCAACACTTCACTGATGCATGGAAGTCTGTTGTGATCTTACCTTCCTTGATGTAGTAATCCACGTATTTCTTGGCATGGAGTGCTGACCCCACGTGGCAGGTGTAGTTCTGGACCTTGCCGTTCTCCGTGATATGGGGGATGTCGGAGCTGTTGGGTCGGTACCGGTGAATCACCTGAAGCTTGTCCAGGTCCTGACCATCCTGGACACAACAACAACACCACCATAATGGTCAGTCACAGGGCTCCAGATAAGGGCCGTATCGGCGTATGTACGGATAAAAAATATGCACGATACGGTAGGAAATAATTTAGAAAATGTAGCAGATACGCACAACAGCAATGATGTATGGTCTTAGAATCATTTACAGACGTAATTATCTGAACAAGTATTGTTTTAATGTTCATTGACCTGTTTACACAAGAGTAGCAATGTTGTGGTGCATATATGACACGAAACACAAGATTACTGATACTCCATTCATTTCCATTCAGAACTCTAAAGGGGCGGTGGGGTAGCCTAGTGGTTAAAGCGTTGGCTCGTCACGCCGAAGACCCGGATTCGAATCCCCACATGGGTACAATGTGTGAAGCCCATTTCTGGTGTCCCTCGCCGTGATGTTGCTGGAATATTGCTAAAAGCGGCGTAAAACCAAACTCAGTCAGTCAGACAGAACTCTAAATGTCTTCCTACGGTATTCCAGTACTCCTATATTGAAAAAGTGACGTACTTCTGATGTTGAAAAATTATCTGGAGCCCTGCAGTCAGTTGTCAGAATTGTGAAACTGTTGTTTGTTCGTTGTTTAACACAGCATTCAGCAATATCCTGTCTTGTTTACCCCCAAACACTGGTTTCTGATTTGTCCAAGGGACACTACTCTGCACAGCAACCAGCCTGAGACAGCTGAGCCCCAAGACCTCTCCATCAAGCAAGAAGTGATAAACATGCATGACTTGATACAAGCCAACGAAAATTTACAACCATTATATGGAGAAGGGAAACCAAGCACAGCAACTAGCCTAAGACATATGAGCTAGTGCTGGTATTGGCATACAACCTGCAATACGATACATCCCAATACTAACATTATAGGCACGACGATATATTGTCAAAGTATTGTGCACTTAAGCTGTGATACAATATGAACCCCGATACAAAGGTGGCGATACTACACGTATCACGATAACAAAAAACTTTAATTCTAACACCAACTATAAAACACCTTAAGGTCAAAACAAAACCAGTTTTAAACTTTTTCATCAAATTCCACCCGAGTTGTTGAATGTTCATTCGAGAAACGAGATAATTAATTTTGTACACAGACTTGTTAATGTTCATAACATGTGAGCACTATGTCTGTCACAGTTCTTGACAGAAGAATTTACAAGAAATTACTGGCCTGATTCACAATCAGCCTGAATTTGGCTAGCAGGCCAGTAGCTATTTTGAACGCTGATCTGTAAATTGACAAATCCAAAGGGACAAGCAAGTTCAACAGCCACAGACAACGACATCACAGAGCCATCGGATTAAAAATTGGGGACCTATTAAACCTACTGGCAAATATTAGAGGTGCCTTAAACAAACAAACACAGAAAAGACAACTAATGCCAAGCCGTACATGGTGTTAGTGTGTTGCTATTGGACAACTTTGGTACTTACGAAGACATTGCTGGCATATTCGGACAGACGGGCAGCTTCCTTTTTGGCCACAACAGAGAGGGACGTCTTCTTCAGCTTGGGAGAGATAGACAGCTTCATATCAGGTGAACTTGGATCACTGAAACTGGAACATCAAAACATCAGGTCATCTCTACAGTTCACCATAACAGTTCACCTTCACAATAATAACTCTTTGAGCACTTGACGTTTAGAACCAGACAAGCCAGTGGCTGTTTACAGGGGTGGAAATAACCCATTGCCCGACGCACCAGTCCAGTGTTTTTTTCTGTCGGGAAAGCAAATTTGTATATCACACTGTACCGGTGTCCAGTTGACTTTCCAATGTTAATTATGTTATTTATTTAAATAATCAACAAGAAAACGGACGGTACAGTGGAAAAATGATCAGGGCAAGTGATTTTACATGTGCCACTGTACCGGAGTACACTAGCAATTTTAATGTTATTTCCATCCCTGTGCTATTGTCATCTTCGATTATCTTCAGGGTATACGTCCAATAAATCTCCACTAGTACCCTGTAAGCATCTATGGCTTTGCTGGCTGGCGTTTTATCCAATCAGGTGTCTACGCTGGGAAGTTGAGCGTACCAATCGCATGGTTTCTTTCACAACTCACTTTCACTTCTTTTATCTAACAGTCTAAACTTGGCAACACAATTGTTTCAGAGGTACTCTGAAAGAGGTATAAGGAGCCCTTGCATATGTATTTTTTCAATTTGTCTTTATGATTTTTTCCCTAAATCTGAGTCACACAATGAGAAGCCTTAGCGGCTGCGGATGCTATCTCTGTGGACACTGGCAAGATCGGCAACGACTCATCTGATTGGCTACTGTGAGAGTGCGGACCAAGCAAAGGGAGGTAATAAAATTATCATAGATGCATCCAGGGTACTAGTAGAGATTTATCGGAATGTATAGCCTGGAGATTATCGAGGATGGTTATTGTGTGCAATGATCATCACTGTGTAGGTTCAACATGGTTTCTTTGGAGTTCAATGTCAAACTCAGCAACATTCCATCTACATACAAGTGAGGAACTTGCCAATAACTTAGTCTTAACATATATATCCTGCGATTGATAATATGAGGAACCATTCACGCTTTCGGAGACTCCAACACAAGATCCATTTGGTCGCCTCTTACACCCATCAGCTGTTGGTGGACCAACTCTATACTAGTGTCACCAAAGCGTTCATCCCTTATATCAATATCGGACTGATGAATTGCAATCTAACTCGAAAACAACTAAACATAGAATACTTCACAGTTCACTATTTGTTACGAGGGAGGACTGCAAAGAGAAGGCCAGCACAAGTGCCGACAAAGTCACTGATTCATTAACCTGTGCTGTGCCATCTCCATCCCTTCTCGCACACCTGGCTGTTCCTCTCTTTGCACCCCTCCCTCGTAACAAATAGTGAACTTTGTCAAAATTTTAATGACAGTTTGTTAAACAACTTCTTTATTTTTAGGCCATGAATTCTCCAAAGAAATCACAGAGTTGGTCTGATGTTTTGATTATAATCAGTGTTTCATTGTGTACTATATGTTTAGTAGTTCTCGAGTTAGATTGCAATTCATTGGTCCGATTTTGAGCCAAGCGGACTATAGTAGCTATTATCTCTTTCCAGGTATATTCACGTAGTACATCATTTTGCGTCATTACTGTTGTACTCCACACAACATGAGCCTGTTCTCACCTCTCATCATCATCAACAACCCGCACCCATGTCTCCCTCTTCAGAAGCACTCCATCCTTGTCCCTCCTCTTGTCCGCCTCCCCCCTCCTGTCCGAGTCCGACTGTGCTTTCCACTTGTCTTTGCCACTTTGTGACACATCAAACCTCTTATCTTTGGTTCCTTTCCATTCCTTGGAAGGATCTTGTTTTCTGGATTTATGGGCCATCTTCACTTTTCCGTCAGGGCTCTTCCTCCTGAGACTCTTCCTCTGCGGACTCTTTGATGGAGGTGCTGGGATTTGTTCGAGATCAGAGGTCTCCATTACTCTCTGTAGGAGGTCATACTTCTGCTGTAAATCACACAATATAAAGGATACCGATCATAGAGACCAAGGGTTTTACATAATGCGTAATTTCTGCATATTTGACTAAACAATTTTGAAAAATACTCAAAAATAATTTTCATACAAGTCATAGCTGTTGCATAATGTTTCTTTAACATACAGCCTTTTTTCATAACTTGGTTTATGGATCCGCTAAGCTGAAATGTGAAGAAAGTGGGAAAAAATTTAATTGTTTTTACATTTGTTTTTGCCATTACATGCCACCAACTTTATAAAATACAAAGAAAATGAAAAAAAAATTGAAAAAATTAGCAAATTGTACCTATCAAATATTCCCTGAAACTATTTTATATTTTACAAAAGACACAAATCACACAAATCGTCAGAACTCATAAAACCACGATATACAATAACATCTCCATATTCCCTTTTCTCCCCTCCCTACCAACCTAATACTTTTTTTTTAAATCTGTAAACCATGTAAAAACAGGCCTAAGTGAATCCAAACAGGTCCACTAAATCAAAGAGCAATGTTTTCGGACTGTAAACTGCTATCAGCAAAACAGTATGCTTTCACTGCACTTGGACTATTTAGAATAAATAATGAAAAGATTTATTGACAAAATATCTTCATGACTCACAAATTTACAAAATGATTCCCTAAAACATTTTGAGCCAACATGACTTTCAAAGTTTGTGTGAAACCCTGACAGACCTTGTCACAACTCTAAATCAGGGATTTATGTAGGGTTCCAAGCTAAACACCCATGGTAGCTGAATTGTGAAAAATATCTACTTTCTTCAAAATATTTGTTTGTTTTAATTTTAAAAAATTGAGTGAGAAAAATAATGAAATTTTTAGAGTAAAATTAATATTTTATACTTATCCTGACTCATGCTTATTGCTTGTCTTCTTCTTCTTGCGAACATAGTGGAACACGTGTATCTCCCAATTGAAGTTCCCTTCAATTAAAAAATCACTAATTAGTACTCACCACGAGTTACCTCCCTTCCACAAGCGCGGGAACGAGGGCGCCACCTGAACCCATGTGCCTCACTCTCTCCTTTTGTTTTGAGCCTGACACTTTATTTTTCCAAAGAAATCCAAAGTGTTAAGTGGGGAGGATGGGAGGGCTTACCTCATGAGTCAGGATAAGTATAAAATATTAATTTTACTCTAAAAATTTCATATTTTTCCTTATCCTGACTCATGCTTATTGCTTGTAGAATCCGACGGAAAAGGAGGTGGGAATATATATACTTTGGATTTTAATAATTAGTGATTTGAACTGTGATGATTGTAATAACCCTATGGGAACTTCATAAAGGCACTGAACTGAATTCCTGTTTAACGTATCAGCTGCCATATAAAGGTTATTACAATTTATTGAATATGATAAAAGTACATACAACATTAATGTAAGCTGAAGCTATTAATGTGATAGTATAAACTTCTGTGAGTTTATAGTGGATACTTTTATAAATTAACCAAAGTATTAAGCTTAAGATATGCATATATTTAAGCTATAATAGTATAGTACTGTGCTAAAGATATAATTATAACTTAAGCTGTATAATAGTAACCAACTCCTGAGAGTTTGTTAGCTAATACATTTATGCATATGACCATATGACTGAGCTTAAGGATTGATGAAACTTAAGCTGAACATATATATATAGTAGCAAAACTCCTAGGAGTTGTAAGCTTATATATAGTATGATATAAAAACCATAGTACTGAGCTTAAGATAATAAATTAAACTTAAGCAAAATATATAGATAGCATGTAGCTATTAGTACTGTTATCAGATAAGTATAAATTCTGTAAGATAGACTTATCTTCTCCGTGGAACTGTCAACTGTTGAGCGAGGACCATGGGAACGAAATGGTGGATACCTGAGACGTCCTCGGTGGTGATATCTCTCAGATAGTGGTTGGCAAACACCATATCGGATCTCCAGAAACATCCCTCCATTATGGTATTCAATGAGCAATTCCCATGTAGAGCGAGAGTTGAGGCTAGCGCTCTAATTTCGTGAGGATTAGAAGCTCTTGGAGGGTCGAGTCCTGCAGCCTTGTAGGCACGTAGTAAGACAGTTCTGATCCAGATAGAGATCGTAGTACGTGAGACTTCCGTCTGCGTAGCTGTATATATAGGGATAAATAATCTCTTGAATTTCCCTCTGCTCTGTTTGGATCGTTGGAGATATATTTTCAGTGCCCTTACTGGGCATAGTGATAGATCCATCGTATCATGCGGTCCAAGTATGGATGAGAGAGCTGGGACGTGGAATAATCTGTCTGGTTGACCTGGCAGTTGGTTTTTCGCTATAAAATCCCATGAGCGATGTTATGAATATCATCAAAGCGTGTTCTCTCGTAATCCAAAGCGTGAATATCTGACATCCTGGCGGCCGTAGCTAGTGCTAACAGGAATAAGGTTTTGTGGGTCAGTGATTCAAACGATGTAGATAGCAATGGTTCATAAGCCTCACTAGTGAGGTGTTGGAGCACTGTATTTAGATCCCAGGCTGGAGCGTGAAACTTCCGTTTCTGATCCTCCAATCGGGAACGCTCGTAACAAAGCGAGTAACTCTGGTGTTTTTGTTAACTTGACGCCCGTTCGCATAGTTATGACAGAACTTATGGCTGCAAGATAAGTGGACATGGTTGAGCCTTTTAGATTCTTAGTTTGCCGTAGATAACATAAGAAATCTGCCACTTGAGGATGTGTAGCATATCTGGCTGTAAATCCTTTCTTAGCAGCGTAATTGACAAAACTGTGCCATTTGTCATCGTACAAGTTACGAGTTGAGTTACGTAGTGCAAGCGTGACCGCTTTAGCCGCTCTGGCAGAATAACCTCTCTTATTCAGACATGCCTTGATACAATCCATACGTGAAGTTGGAATGCTTCTGGTGTTTCGTGCACTTGTTTGGTGTGCGGATGTATCAATAGATTGGGGCGGTGTGGGAGCTGAAGAATTGGTTTTCCCATTACTTGAATGAGATCTGGAAACCAAGTTCTTGCTGGCCAGTAGGGCGCGACTAAATCAGATGGAGGCTCTGCGTTTGACTGATTTTCTGTAAGACTTGTGGGATCAACGCTGGAGGCGGGAAAGCGTACGCATTGAGTCTCTCCCACGATATGCTTAGAGCGTCCGTTGCCCATGCTAGTGGGTCTGGCACTGGCGACACGAATGTTGTCAGTTGCTTGTTGAATCGAGTGGCGAATAGGTCTACTAGTGGAGATCCTATTTCCATGATTATTTGAGTGAATATCTCTGTGTGGAGCATCCATTCTGTCGGCGATGGTTGGTGTGGCCGAGAGAGAGCGTCTGCTAATACATTCTTTGCTCCTGGAATGTGGCAAGCTCTGACGTGTATGTTTAGATTGTCGATTAAATCGAACAGTCTGAAACATCGAGTCAGTAGGTTCTGTGACCTTGTTTGTTCACATAAAACGCCACTGTTGAATTGTCTGTGTGAACCATCAACTGAGCGTTCTGTAGTATGTTGCTCCAGTGACTTATGGCGTTTATGACTGCTTGCATCTCTAGCAGATTTATGTGACATTTGCTCTCTTGATTGCTCCATAGGCCTGACGCTGTCCTGCAAGCAAGGTGGGCTCCCCAACCTTATAGTGACGCGTCTACGTAGAGATGTGTGTTCGATTCCGGCTCTACTAAGGAGACGCCTGCGCAAACATTCAATCTCTTGGTCCACCAGAGTAGATGTGGTTTGACATAATCTGGTAGACTGAATGGTAGAGGGTCCTCGAGAAGAGCATTGATGAGGACTTGTAACGGACGTAACAGAAGCCTGCCTCTGACTGTCAAGTCTTGAGCTGATGTGAGTAGTCCCAATAGGCTCTGCCACTGTCGTAGTGGTAACGGAGAGAGTAGGGCTTGAGGAATAAGTTGTTGGATCTTGATCCATCTCTCCTCCGGGACTACAATACGATTCTGAGCTGTTAGAAATCGTATACCTAGAAATTGCAGATCTTGCGTTGGTTCTAGGTCCGACTTGAGTAGATTTACTAACCATCCTAATTGTGTTAGTAGCTTGATTATAAAGTTCAGCTGTAGTCTGAGACGCTGTGGATCTGGATCCACTTGTATACCGTCGTCTAGGTAAAAGCGCCATGAAGACCTTGTCGATGTAGGTATGAGACAATAGGCTTGGTCACTCTTGTGAATACCCAAAGGGGCCGATGTGATTCGAAGGGAAGAACCTTCCATTGGTAATGTTTCCGTCTAGGATAAATCTTAGATATTTCCATGAGTTGGGATGAATCGAATGTGTAGATATCGTCTTGCAAATCTATGCTGGCCATGTAATCTTTGGGACTAATTAAATGCGAAGGTTAAGGTAAGTGTATCATGCAAAACGTTGGAGGTTTGCATAGATATTCTCTGTTGAAGATGCTCATGTTGTATATGAGACTAAACTTCTCCTTGGAATTTTTCTTCGGCACTAGGAAAACTGGGGAGTAAAACCTGGCACGATGTTTCGTTGATCCAGAACTTCTAAGGCCTGTTTGTTTAGTAGAGTAAGTACTGTTTCTCTTAACATAGGTAGTTGTGCCGGTTGAACGTTGAACCCTGTGGGGGTGACTGTTAACGGAGGCTTGGCCTTGAGTTGTATTAGATATCTGTGCTGTAGGGTGTTGGATACATATGGATCTTGTAGTATTCCCCAGTTTTCCCAGTGTAGCTGAAGGTGTCCACCCACTTGAGACGGTTGTACTGGAACGGCTGGGGGGGGGAAGACTCCAGTCGTTCCGAACCTGAATTTCATCGTCTAAATCCACGGGCACCTCTGGATGATCTGCCTCTAGCTGATCCTCCCCTAAATTTGTTGTATGGGCGACAAAAAGAATCCTTGGGATCTTTAGCTGCAGCTAATTTCTTGTCCCGTGCTTTCTGTAGCCCCGAAAACTTAGACTTGCCTGAGTATCTCGGTGTTGACTGTTTAATGACGTTCGCTAAGGTATCCATGGATCTGATCATAAGAACCTCTCTTGAGTCTTTAGATACTTCTTTGGAGACCTTGTCTATGTTGCCACCAAACAGTAAGGGCGATGACCATGGAGCTGTGTATAGAGATTCTGTAAATTGCTTATCCCAAGAGCAGGAGGCTAGTAAGCCTTGCCGACGAGCCATGGTAGTAGTTTCAGTAAGCGCTGATAGGTGCTCTGTAAGAAATTGGTGGTCTCTTTTCTGCATGAGTAGAGCTGAGCAGATCATTCTATCTTCCTCCTCTGTAGAATTCTTGAACTTGGTGATGAGAGTTTCATTAATCGTTCTAGATCTATTCAATCCAAAGAACATCCTCCTGGCGATGGTATCTAGTTGAGCCGAATTTGCGATCGCCTACTTTGTAACTTCTGGACTTGGCATCGCTGATTAATTTAAAGTTGTCATCAATATCCTGGGCCTTGAAAAGGGGTCCATATTGTGTCCAGCAAATTTCTTGGCATTGAAGACCGGGAAATGAGTAGATTGGACTTTTGAAGATTTGCAACAGGCTGTATCCAAATTAGCTGGTACCGCTGCAATCGGATCAATAGGAGGTAAGGTGATATTGTCTACATCATCATCCTTCATCAGGTAAGTCTGAGTTGAATTCTCGTTCTTCGATGGGGAAGCAAGTTGTAACTCATTCACCATCCAGTATCTGATCTCAGCATCTGAGAAAATGATACCTTCTTCCTCTGATGTAGGGTCACATGTCGGAGTCCTAGATCTGTAGGAAGATCTATGAGAGGACTGTGGTGAACGGACTGACGAGTGGCTAGTGTAAGGAGACCTTGGAGGAGAAATCCTCGGCGAACGCTGGGGACTTCGCGAAGCTCTTCTAAATCTTCTGGGCGAGGTAGATATGGAGCCACTTAGCCTTCGCGACCTTCGCGAATGTATCGAGTCAGTGTCCGAATCGACATATGAGCGCTTGCTTCGCGAACGACCTCTGTGTTCTACAGGGTGTGGGCTCGGCGAAGCGCTCCTTCTCCGCGATGTCCCTCGCAACTGGATAGGCTCTAGCTCCTTCGCGGAGGCGGCCTGGGACTTCCTTTGCGAAGTGATCACTACGGGCTGGTTGCCCTTCGCGGAGGCGCCTTTGTGGGCTCTGGGGCCCCCACGCTGAAGCCAAAGCGGCTCTCTGGGGCCCTGTATGACTTATTAAGGGTTGGGCTCTGGGGCCCGTGGCTCTGGGGCCTCTGTGTAACCCGTAACGGTCCTCCATCAGTCTCATGATTTGGTTAACCAGGTCGTCTGGGATGGTCTCATGCTGGCGCTGAGGGTGGCCTCTGTGAAAGTGGCCGGGACCCTCAATCGTAAACTCAAGCGCCAGCGTGAGGCATCTCTGGTTGCGTGTTTATCTGCGCTGTAGTGACGGTAGCAGATACTGGACGTTTCTTATGACGTACATCTGGAATGATAATCGGAATGTCATCATCATATAAACATAATTCTGAGACAGGTAGAATATCGGAGGCAAAATTATTTGTAGTTTTCGTAGATTTCCCTTTTGACGAAGCTGTGGACCTGGGGGTTCGAAGCGTACGTTGAGATGATGTGGACGCTTTCCTAGTCTTAGACTGTGAAGACGGAATGTCTTGAGATACAGGTCGCTTCTTGGACATAGCGGACTGCGTCCCACGCTTATCCCCCGAGGGAAACTCCGGCATGCCACCAGCCGGTGGCGGGTCGTCAGTCAACAGTTGACAGGGTATAATAGCTTCCAATCTATTAGCCATGACTGAAGATTGTTTGCGAGATTTATCTGCCTTCCATCTCAAAACGGAACATAAATATTTATCAAAGGCAGAAATTGGTAAATTAATACATAATTTACAATAAGAAACAATAGAACATGGAGTAATGCAACTAGGGCATTTTAAATGTGGATCGGTAGCAGAATAACGTAGTTTACAACCTGTGCAGATTCTCATTAACGTAAACTGCTGAACAAACACGGGCTGTAACCGTGAAAAAACAGCAGAAACACGACTAATAATCAATGCAAGTTGAATAAGGATACTAGTTACACCTCTATAACTGAATATAAGAGGTACTAAACTAAATATAAATAAAGGATATGGTGTGTTGGGAGACACAGGCGCTCTCACGTCCAGCTCACTGGGCGAAGAAGGAGAGAGTGAGGCACATGGGTTCAGGTGGCGCCCTCGTTCCCGCGCTTGTGGAAGGGAGGTAACTCGTGGTGAGTACTAATTAGTGATTTTTTAATTGAAGGGAACTTCAATTGGGAGATACACGTGTTCCACTATGTTTGCAAGAAAAAGAAGACAAGCAATAAGCATGAGTCAGGATAAGGAGAAATTAAAAAATTTATCATACCTCACACATAAAAATGTCGCTTTCTGATTGGCTGAGTGCTCTTCTATTTTTTTCAATGTACCCCGCTTACAAGCGAGTAACATTTCAATGTACCCCGCTGTCAATGGCAACTCATTTGGTACTTCATGCTGGTAATTCTTTATCTCGAATAACATTGAATCACTATGATGTACGGAAATTACCAATGTTTTGCGAATGCAAATCGCTGGAAGGGAATCTGTTTTTCTTGTCAGCAAAATCTAGCGATGGCTACTGTACCCGTGCTTCAAACAATACAAAATTAACATTAAGGTGTTCGGTAAGATAAATACTTTGTTCACCGGTCCCTCGGTGCCCATGGGTTGATGTACCCTTGATGTTTGATTATCGAGGGTACATCAACCCATGCCCCCCCCATGACCTGTGAACAACTTATAATGTCTCATTAACATCATCAGTAGCTTGTAGCCGCTGAGCCAGTAACAGATAAACAGGTTAACGACCACAGAGACTAACAAAGGGTTTCCTGTAAGTCTGACTGACTGACTGAGTTTGTTTTTTACGCCGCTTTTAGCAATATTCCAGCAACATCATGGCGGGGGGACACCAGAAATGGGCTTCACACATTGTGCCCATGTGGGGATTCGAAACCAGGTCTTCGGCGTGACGAGCCAACGCTTTAACCATTAGGCTACTCCACCGCCCCGCTTCCTGTAAGTACCAACTGGAGCAAGTAAAGTTAAAATAGCCTACCATTTTCTTTGTTGTTCTGAAACACCCAGCTGGCTGGAACCGTGTCTCCCTCCTCTCTTTATTCATGTACACCTCCCTACAGAAACACAAACATTCTCATCTGAAATTATGGAGTAAGTGAGTGAGTTTAGTTTTACGTCGCTTTGGGCAATATTCAAGCAATATCACGGTGAGGGACACCAGAAATGGTCTTCACTCATTGTACCCATGTGGGGAATCGACCCAGGTCAGGCCTAAAAAAAAAATGTTGCGGTTCCAATTACCCGACTGACCCTTGAATTCTGGTGCCAACCCTATTTTTATTTAAGCGGAATCAATAAAATATGCTTTCAGATCCCATTGTTTTTTCCCCGGCACCAACAGATATCGGTCATTCTGATAGAGAAAGTCAATATGATGGCTGCAAACTTGATTGAATAAACAATTACACATCAATAAATGTGTTATTAGTTTGTACTTTACTAAAGTTTACTATAAAAAATATACGTAAAAAAATATATTTCGACCTACCTACCCTAAATTCTAAAGAGGTGTAATTGGAACGACATTTTTTAACAGTGCATGTTACTAATTTGCGTTCAAAGAACATAGACTTCAGCTGTAAAACAGAATGATGAGGAACTGACTTGGACAGTGACTGATTATTGTAGGAACAGTGACTGATTATTGTAGGAACAGTGACTGAAGGACTTGCTGTTCATGGAAGTAAGATAACTACAGATTTCTTTTGTCATAATACTGTTCTAAAGCGTCTTTACCAAACCTCACGCATTATATAAGATTTGATATTAAGCAGCAGGTGCAACCTGTTTTTGTTTGGTGCAATAAGGTGATTGCCTTAGGTTGCACCTGAAATCTGTACAGATTAATGTTGCCAATGGACATTATCACTAAGTTTACAATTAATTTAATAATTTTAATAAAAAATCTCATCACAAGCTAGTTTGTTTTGAAGAAAGACATTTCAAAACATGACTTTCAGGCACAATGAACTTATTTTAACAGCATCATTGGCACTTTTACTGAAGAAATTCCAAACCTGGAGGTAACTGTTTACCTAACAGGGCTCGATTTAGTACTTTGTTACTTGCACTGGTGCAACCCAATATTACAAAGTGCAACCTAGTAATTAGTTGAACTTGCACCAGGTGCAACTCAATTTTTGAGTGGATAAACTCAATAGCATATTTCTTACATTACATATTGCAATAAAAGCTGTGCAATTGGAATTTGGATGGTATAACTAGGTTTTTATCTTGTTGCAAGTAGGTTAACATCTCTTAAATCGAGCCCTGCCTAATGAAACTCAAGGTGGACCATGTTTACTAACATAGCTTGTCTACTTCTTAGTGACATGACAGAGTCACATGATAACAAACTAATTTTACATCTTCTTCTTCACTCATCAATATTGGGGGAACATAAACTTAGAAACAACATTGCATCCAACATTAACATTTAGCAAATTTACAAAAGGAATTTTCAGTTATCAACAGAAATCAATGACATCAAAACTTGGATTATTAACATGGTTAAGAAAGATCATGTAAAACAATGGAATAATACAATCACATCCTGGCAACTGCAAAGTAGAACAAGTAAACTGTAGTAGCATTGTACATTGCCAGACTACAGTAGAAACAAAATGTTATTATTCAGCGTGGCAAGCCCCTCCATAGAGGACGAAACAAAAACTTGACAAACACAATAATGAATTTCTTTCTTATAATATCAAACACCAAGGTGTTGGCAAATCAAGCCTCATATTTATATCCATTGTGTTGATGATCATAAGCTTTAACGGACAAAGTTTACAATACTGGTCCATGAATCAATGTTAAACAGGGCAGGGTTATAACATTTCAGATAATAGCAGGGTTTATTTATATCCTATTGTTAGGCAGGCGCCAAATTTGTGATTGTGGTAATGTGTGTTGTGGTGACAAAGGACTGGTTGTTAAGTGGCAATGGGGAAGTAAGGTGTGCACCTGTTCCATTGAAGATCTGTTAGACTAAACATGCAATTAGTGGAGCTGTGGAAATATTTCTGGCCATAATAAAAAGATATAGAAAGAAAATCTAAATCCACACAAAGTTTTAAGATAAATACCAAATTTCTAAAATCTCGATAAAACAGTTTTATTGGGAGGGCTGTACGTATAATGCCTATAATTCTATATGTGTAGTTAAAATTATCCAAATTGGATAAGGGAGATCGTTCATTTACATCAAAGAATAAAGATGGCTTTTAAATTCTTGTTCGGCCAAACAGGTGCGTGAATTCGAAGACAACAAATTTGCCCATGTTTTACAGATATTTTCCATATAATTTTAAAAGAAAAGAATATAATCACCGCTAACTGACGAAGCACTGCGAAGCAGCAATGAGAAAACAATCACCGATACAGTTCAACACATGAATGAAAAACATGAATAAGGTGAAATGGATTTGGACATTGAGCCTAGCCTAGATACTCACAGCTTCCTAGCAACAAGGTTTGCCACGTCTTTCAGATCTCCTGGAGAAAATGTCATCTTGATTTTTTGCTTCTTACAAAACTTCCTCTTTATGTTTTTGCTTTTTCCACATGGCTAACGTTATTTGCAGTCTGTTTTAAAAGGTAAACGTCCCATTACACCAGGTCTGACATTTCCACGACAAAAGACGCCATGTTGTGTCTACAAATCACGTGACTAAATCTGAGCGCAGATATTAATCTTTCACTATGAATAAATGACTTGACCCTAATGGCTGTTAATATCTGTAAAAATATCAGCCGCACCGGAAATATAAAATTTACGACAAAAATAATATTCATTGAATAATAACTGGGCACTGTATGTAAATAACGAAAACATGATATAAGAACAAGGGCGCTTGCGCATATCAGCTGCAGAGCTGCTCGATTCTGGGCGGTAGATTCAAGTTAAAATGGCGGCGTTTCATGTCCGTTACGAAAGAATGCCATGATCGGCTGTATTTCCGATCGTTGAACTGTCAAACCATCGGATTTTTAACTACAGAGGAAAAATGGTTTGTGGTCCATCTGACAGAGATTCATTTATATTTAGCGGTTTGCGTGCTAACGGGGCTCTTCGAATCTGTCTCACAATGACATTCAAATCAAAGACAATGTTTTGAATTGAAATGTCAACACATTAGATTCTCAGAGACCATATACCGGTATATGGTCTCTGGATTCTGAGATTATTTTATTGCGAATTGTAATCATGGACCCATTTATATTGTGTATCATACATTCGTAACATTGTCCAAGTATCGTCAAGTCAATACAAATATATCGTGGAAGTCCATTTGGAGGCAAACTCACCATTCTGTCATTATGATTTATGTTTCATACAAAGATCCTTTACTACTTAGTATCGCGTTAACACTGCTGCAGTTGCTGATAAATCCATGTACATGTTGCTTTTGGGGTCATTGTTGGCATAGTGGCATGCCACAGAATGTCTTCAGGGGTAAATTTTGTCTGATTGAAACTTCTTTTAGTCTGTCAAACTTCCATTATTTGTGCTATATGTTCAGCTATGTGTGCAATATATATTTCAATTTTAGTGTGGGTACCTAAATTCATGTATGTAAAGTACCACACTGATCATGCTGATGGGAAACATTTGAGAGGTAGCTAATAATATTTCAATATTCTATTTAAAAAATAAATGTTAATCTGCACATACTTGACATTCAATAATATGGTAAACAATGGTTGCCACCATGAAGTATCATACATACAGGCACTTACATGTAATGTTATGCTGAAGTGCAACAATTGATAGAATTAGAATCTACTGTATGAAGGCTACGATCCGTCATTTTCAGGATAAGCCCCAACCACTTGCCCGTTAGCCTGAGAATAGATAAAATCCAAATTCCTAAGTTGTAATCTACCAAAATGTAAATATTTTGCATGCACCACTTGTTTGAAACAAACCCCCCTGATTTTGGTAAGGCATATGCATTAGTTCTTTTCTTGCTAATGGTGTCTATGTTTTATGTTTTTCAGTCAACATTTGCAACATTTTACTGTATTTGCCCCAAATCAATTTTTTTTAATTTCTTACAGTAATTGACCTTAATTTCTATTTTCTGTTTTCATAGTTATCAGTGGTTATCAAAGTTAACACGTCAATGAAAAATAGACCATGAATGATCTAACTAATGAGTATGATGACTATCATTTTCACAAAGCTTTTGTTTTAGAGCACATTTTCTATACTGAGGTCAAGTTTACTATGGTTATTAATTTCTTTGATATTCATTTAATGTTTGATGATCAGGGCTCCAGATAATTTTTCAACATCAGGGGTACGTACTCCTTATTTGTTCAATATAGGAGTACTGGAAAACCTTAAGCGTACATTTAAAGTACTGAATGGAAATTAATGGACTATCAGTAATCTTGTGTTTCGTTTCATATATGCACCACAATATTGCAACTCTGGTGTAAACAGTTCAATAAACAATAAAACAATACTTTTTTCAGATAAATACACCTGTAAATGATTCTAAGACCGTACACCATTGCTGTGGTGCGTATCTGCTGCATTTTCTAAATTATTTCCTACCGTATCGTGCATATTTTTTATCCGTACATACGCTGATACGGCCTTTATCTGGAGCCCTGATGATGTTAAGTCATACAAATGCTAATTTTGAGCTGTAGTATTTAACTATCTTTGGGACAGTGGGGTAGCCTAGTGGTGAAATGTTCGCTCATCATGCCAAAGACACAGGCTCAATCCACCACATGGGCACAATGCTTGAGGCCCATTTCTTGTGTCCCGATCCATGATAGTGTAACATTTGACTGTTGCTGAAAGTGACTTACTCTCACAACAGCAGCAGAAGGTCACGGGTTCGATCCCCGACCACGTCATACCAAAAGACTTTAAAATATGGTACTTGTTGGTCCCTGCCTGGCGTTCGGCATTAATGGGTACAACAAGGACTGGTCGGCTCGGAGTCAGTATCATGTGTCTGAGTGGGGTATTCATGCTTCACTGTGCTGTGGTATCTCAGTGGGCTAGCACTATAAAACCAGCTTCAGTCTGGGCTAGTACAAGCAGCCGCACATACACACGCATGCACGTCGTCATATGAGTGAAATATTCTCAAGTACGACGTAAACCCAATTTCACCTCACCTCACCTCACCTCACCTCACCTCACCTCACACAACTTTACTGTCTTGGTAAACAAACGTGTGGTTAATGTTACCCATCAAAATCTGGGTCAGAGTTCATCTTCAGCAACCATGCTTGTCATAACAGATGACTAGCAGGATCAAATTGTCAGACTCGATGGCTTGGTAGATGCATGTCATCGTATCCAATGTTTATAGATCAATGCTCATGATTTAAATTGTATGATTATCTGGTCCAGGCTTGATTCTATTCAGACTGCAGTCATACGGCTGGAACATTGCTGAATGCAGCGTTAAACCGTTATTTAATGCTAAAACCCTTACTATGCACTAGGGGTCAGTGTTTCCGCTGGCGTTTTTTTTACAGCTAGACATTGTGACCGGCTAGCATTTCAAATACCGGTCATTTGTAAATTTTACCAGTCAGTGATCATGCTTTTGATTGTGCACGAGACCTTGCACCCTAACAACCAATCAGAAATGTAGAGGGTATCGCAATGCATCAATGCCACTATTTTTAGCCTGGGGTTTTCCAAAACTGCTATTTTTTATTTGACAACACCTCAATGTCATTGTGAAAACTTAATCTTTTTCGAGGAGAAATAAAACTGACAACATTGCCAGACATGATGACCGACAGCCTTTGATATTACTGGACATTCTAACTTTGTTCCTGTCAAAGTCTGGTTTATACAAGATAACGGAAACACTGGGGTGAAACAATACAGCAAGGTCCTGATACGATATGTTTTATACCTCAATACTCTTTTTCAAACAATACGTTTTGTAATATTTTGCCTGAGAACTGGTGCATTAGGTAAAAAAAGCATATATGGAGTTCGGGGATTATTTTTATGGCTAAATTAAGATCTACACAGACTTTCATTCACAACAGATGTTTTCCTTCGTTATTCAATGACAAAACAGCATACTGTACAGACAATATATTGTATAAAAAAGAAAAGAAAATCCCTAACCATGCAACAGAATCTTGAGGTTGATGTTACCACAACCATAACACATATTATTATAGGCTTATAATGTAGGAGTGAGTGAGTTTTGTTTTACGCCGCACTCAGCAATATCCCAGCTATATGGTGGCGGTCTGTAAATAATCAAGTCTGGACCAGACAATCCAGTGATCAACAGCATGAGCATCGATCTGCGCAGTTGGGAACCGATGACATGTGTCAACCAAGTCAGCGAAACTGATCACCTGATCCCGTTAGTCGCCTCTTACGACAAGCATAGTCGCCTTTTATGGCAAGCACATGGGTTGCTGAAGACCTATTCTACCCCGGATCTTCACGGGTCTATAATGTAGGAAATAGGATCGACATGTACAATTAGTGTCACTTACTGTCAAACACTTAAGCTCCCAATACAGAGGTGGAAATAACCCATTGCCCGACGCACCAGTCCAGTGTTTTTTCTGTCGAGCTAGCAAATTTGTATGTCACGCTGTACCGGTGTCCAGTTGACTTTCCAATGTTAATTATGTTGTTTATTTAAAAAATCAACAAGAAAATCAGCCAGTATAGTGGAAAAATTATCAGGGCAAGTGATTTTACATGTGCTACTGTACTGGAGTACACTAGCAAGTTTAAAGTTATTTCCACCCCTGCAATGTATTGCAATACATATTGTAATATGAAGAAGTTCATTTTCATGAAATTCCCATTGATAATCGTGTAATGCCAATTGTGTAGATTGATGTGCATGCTGTTGATTACTGGATTGTCTGGTCCAGACTCGATTATTTACAGACTGCCGCCATATAGCTGGAATATTGCTGAGTGCGGCATAAAACTACACTCACTCACTCACTCACTGGTCAGTGATTTGACTTCCATTTATGTCATGGCAAATGATACTTTGCTGAGCATTACGAGTAAAACAAGGACTGGTCTCTGGGAGTCAGAGGTGGACTTCCATGTTATTGTTAGGCTGTAGCATGTTATCTTATCTTTATGGTGTAGCGGTACAAAAGTGCCACATGCTCACTCACTCATGATAATGCTCGTGGTTGTGCCATCCAGCTCTGATGTGGATTTGTGGTGTTATACTTTCAGGACCCAACGGAAGAAAGCATGGGTGGTGCTAGGGAAGATGGAGGAGACAAACGTATCAAACTAAAGAGAATCAAGAAGAAGAAGTCAAAGTTCGACTTGAATCTCTCAACAAATAACAAGATGTCCTTTTCAGCCAGGATGAATATTACAGGTATTGTACTTTACTATTGGCTTACCATTGTCATAGCTCTAAGTTTGATTTTTTGGAACTGGCCCCTGGTTAATAGTGTATTAGAGTAACCCAACGTTTTGATTTGGTGCTCATAACAGAAATCATCTGATTATCTGACTACCAGAGAGGGGCTCACTGATTCGCGTAACTGCCTCATCACAGACAGGGAAATTCTACAATCATTGTTAGTTGTTCAAGTTATTGAATGACATGAATGAAAACGTAAAGGAGAAAATTAAACAGACAAATGTGACAAAAATGTGCAAATTTGACGATATTTAAAGATCACATATACTCTAGGGGATACAAATACATAAATCGCTAATTGGCATCTTAATAAATGAAACCCCGTCATTAAAACTACTCATTTCGATCTTTAATTGACTTAAATCAACCTTTTTGACAACAGTGCACAATTCTCACCCGCGAATGAAATTTCAACCAATCAGAGCGGTGCGTCTCTGTGACGTCATTATGAGTATTTGGATTCCCCACATGGGTACCATGCGTGACACCCATTTCTGGTGTCCCCCACCGTGATGTTACTGGTACATTGCTTAAAGCGACGTAAAATCAAACTCACTGTTTATCTCTCGGGGATAGACAACGTTCGTGCAGATGCACTCCCACGGCGTGTACTAGCCCTTCACGAGTGGATGCTCGATCAGGGAATATTTAGGTTTGCCTCCCGGTTTACAGGGTCGTTACGGGTGGATCTGTTTGCCTCTGGGGTGACAAACCAAATACCGGTGTTTGCCCCTGGATTCAGGATCCGAAGCTCGATTGGACGGACAGGGTTCTGTGGGTGTTTCACAGGGTTCTCTCGCAGCTTGCCACCCAACCAGCTCGACTACTTGTACTCCTTGTACTTCTTTGGTCGGCCCGACCCGGTTTACGGTTGCTGGCTCAGCCTCCTGTTCCATTACCCTTTCATCCGGAACTGCTATCCCAAGCAAAGCGCCCCATCCCAAGCGATTCTCGATCCCTTTTCCTACAGATTTAGTCAGAGTATTGGGTGGGTTTTTCTTGCAATCTAGATGAGAAGCCGGCTTTGCCGCTTCTTCTATCAGAGGTTACTCCACGGCTATTTCTGCTTTTCACACACCTGCCGATGGTGTACTTTAGGGGCACAACCCCCATTGTACAGCGTCAGAAACCGACCGTCTGTCCGGCGGATTAGTCCCCCGTGGGACTTGTCAATCATTCTTGATTGGATGTCCGGTCCTCTTTTTTTCGATTTGTCAGCTTTCTCTCCAGCTGTTAAGTTGGAAGGCAGCTTTCCTTGTGATGGTTTTGTCTGGCAGATTAGTCGGCCACATTCATGCACACAATGTCAGCGGATCCTGAGCTGACCGTCTTTCACAGCGATAGGGTCAGCATTAGGTTGCCAGACACTTGTAGCCCTAGGTTCACATAGTCCTTTCACGTAACGGAGCCATTCAATATCCGACTTTTACTCAGCCTTCTTTGTCCGGTACCTCTCTACAACGTGATGCACGTCTTAAATGTCCGTACGACTCGCAAGGCTTATATCACAAGAACAGCGTCTATCCGTAAGGATAAACAACTGTTCTGCTATGGTTACACAATACCATTTAGAAAGTGGTCAACTGTAACATATGTTCCACTGTTCTACTGTTATGGCAGTGGTACGGCTGGCATTTCGGCGAACAAGCAAACCAGGTGTCTTGTCTCTGCCATTGTTTAGGCTATATTCCCATGGGTTTAATTCCCCAGATGGGTTTTAAACTCATTCGGTTAGGGCAGTGACCACATGAAAAGCATATGCCGCAGCACTGCCCATTGTGGAGATCTGCTCAGCATGTTCATCTGTACCTATCAGCTGGACAAACACTCGTTTGGCCAGACTGTTCTCCACACAGTGGGCGGAGTTCAATCAATCTCTTTATTCTGGTGTATGTAGGCCATCAGCCCGTAGTACAATATTACTTCATACAGCCAACATACGAGTTGTATCTCTTGAGCCGTTTGAGCTCTCGATATTACATCATTCTGCACTTTCTGGTGTTAGGTCATGTCATTCCTCCTTTTATCGGTTATGGTATTTGGTGGTGATATTTAAGGATGTAACGATTCACTCTCATATTCGCTGAATCGAACCGTAGCCCTTCATGAATTTAATTCGTTATTCGTGGTCACCAGAACCGAATATTAACAAATATTTACGATTTTTTAAAGGGAGCATGTTTTACTTGAACCCTTATGTCCTTTCCAAAGTGAGATATGCAAGAATGGAACATGTACTAGCATTGCAGTAGTGCAAGTCATGTTAGTTTGCCAAGACTGCACATGGTACTGTCGACTATAACTATTACATACCAAATTTGAGTGTCATGAGATCACTGGTTATTGCTGTGACAAGTCAAAACTGTCAACATGGACGTTCCATAAAGTGCATTAATCACTAAACTACAATATTGTATTCGTGAATAATTATTCGTATTCGTTACCCAAAATTCATGATACGTGTCATATTCGCCACATAGTGTATTCGTTGCAGCCCTAGTGATATTTTCCCACGCTTCAAATTGGCTTTTACGGCGTTGTACTCGCTTCACTCGTAATTTCCACCCCGTGACTCCACCACGCTTCACTGGCTAGATGTATGTTACTGGGAATTGTTGTCGAGTCCCCATACTCTTCCAAATTGTTGGTGGGGAGGTGGGGGTTGATTGATACGCTTCTAAGCCAATCAGCGCATGAGCTTGACATTAATCTACTCCCTGCCCTAAAACCATGCCCCTGGCCTGATGGACATCGGCGGTCAGGTGACTAGGTAAGTGTGTTTTGCTATCTCCGATCAGTGGTAGATTCCATTGGAGAATGGGATTAGTTTTGTCAGACAGAATGCCACTCCCGATTCACTATCTGTGGGAGTCTGTCTTTTGCTTATATGTACCCCAAGGAGGACTTCTTCTGAAAAAGAATCAAACAAACCTATAGAGGTTTCTGATTCTTTGAAGAAAGTCCTATTTGGGGTACGGCCACCCGCCTCCCCACGTCCTGTCCGATCACGTTCAGCATGAAAAGTTAGGTACGAGGTAGACGGCGAGAGTTACCTGCTCTTGGCTGTAGGGGGCTCTGCGGGGCCCTGTAGGGGTGGTCTCACAAGACAAAAACGAGTTTTTTGTTTTGTAAATATATTTTTTATTAAAATATTGTTACAACTGTTGTAGGATTTTAAAATGGACATTTTAATGCTTATATGTACCCCCAGGAGGACTTTCTTCAAAGAATCAGAAACAGGTTTGTTCAATTTTACAACTGTTAAGAAATAGTGTTACCAATAGCTTGGCCCTTCATTAATGATGCCGAGTATATTTCTAGTCGTAGGGTTTCACAAAGTTGTGAACATTTGCAGCCCACTTCAATTTGTACTTTCCCCTTACATTCTGTCTTTCATTGTACCCCCATGAAGATCTTCGTTAGAACTGTTTTTTCAGCAACCCATCCTTGTTATATAAGGCTACCAACTAGATTGGTAGATTTCATAAAGCTGGAATATATATTTAGGTACCAACCATAAAGCTGGAATATTACCTAGTGAGACGTTTTAAAGCAAAATAATGTTTATTTACACAGCAGCCAACTCGTCAGTGGTCAAGGCGTCCCTGAGGGCAAACAACAAGGCGTTGGCCCAGTCACTGGAGAAGGTCCGTCAGGATCTTCGTGTATCTTACGAGGTGAACAACGATATGAAGAAGGAGTTCCAGGACCTCCAGCTGCGCCTCATGAACCTGGAACGTGTTGCTGGACTGAAGGACGACAGTCTGGAGAAGGAGGTTCAGCGAAGGATAGAGGTAACGTTGACAGGGAACTTTAGGATCAGCACTGTAACTCTATGACACCCACACAGCTTTGTCTTAAGAGGCTTTATTGAGGCATGTTATAGAACTCTCTGCTATCTGAAACACCAAATCCAAAGACCCAGTCTAAGTAAACTTAGGCTTAGTATTATTCGTTACACTGTTATTGAGTCTAACTGAGTCTAACAGTAACAAACCATAGTAGAAGCAATATTTTCTATGTTGCATGCTGGGAATGCCGAATTGTGGCAGGGTTTTACATGACGCGTGATTCCTGCGTATTAAACGCAACAATTTTGTAAACGACTCTCAAAATATTATCATACGAGTCAAGCTTGACGCAAGTTTTATGGGTGACCCTCACAACTCAGTTCAATCAAATCGATTTGATAAGCAAAAAATGATATTGTCAGATTGTTCCAGAGAACTCAGAGGACACAGTAATCCTGGCTGTTTGAATTGAACAATGCTGTAGTTTCATTTGGTGGTGTGACATACACAGTTACATACTGTGAATGATTAACACAAAGAAATATTAAACTTTTCATGACTCCCATTCTTAAAAGTCTGTGTGGGAATTCATTTGGTACTTTGTGTTAGTAATTCTTTATCTTGAATAATTGATGTACAGAAATTACCAATGTTTTGCGAATGCAAAATCGATGGAAGGGAGATAACTCTAAATTTGTTTTTCGTGTCATCTGCTAGGTTCCATGTCACCCGTGCTTCAAACAGTTTAAAATTAACATTGAAGTGTTTGGTAAGATAAGTAACATTAATAATAAGTATGTTGTTCACTGGTCACTTCGGGCTCAGGGAACATAAGCAAACATAGAGGGTACATCAACCAATGTGTCTCTTGTGACTAGTGAGCGACTGATAATGTCAAGCCAGAATAATCATGTCAGGGGGTTATTGACGCAGAAAAGTGTGTCCAGTCCGGACAAACTTAGATAAGTGTGTCCAGTCTGGACAAACGTACAAAATAGACGCAGAAGAAGATGTAAATGGCATCCCAAGAGATGTTCAATAATATTCAGTATATCAAATTTTTGAAAAGAAATATATGGTTCCTGTAATTAAAATAGTCAGTATATTACACCATTCCATTTCTTGAATATATCCTTTAAGACCCATGAAATTAGTGATTGGGGCTCCTCTGTATATGTGGCTTTGTAGGTCAAGATGAAATACTGTCATGTAATAAACTCTTGGATAATTTAGTGTGTAGGTTACAATGGTTACAGTGAGATGGATGGTGCTCATTGGGTGTCCTAGTTTACAAATCTCGTCATGCCGAAGACCCGGGTTCGAATCCCCACATGGGTACAATGTGTGAAGCCCATTTCTGGTGTCCCCTGCCGTGATGTTGCTGGAATATTGCTAAAAGCGGCGTAAAACCAAACTCAGTCAATCAGTCAGTCAGTTTACAAATCAAGTCCAGGCAGGGCTGAAGTCGAGATCTAATAATTAGGGGTGACTATTGAGGGGGAAACAACTTTTGCGATAGAGATAGTCTATTGCGACCAACTATTGCAATACTATTGCAATATTTTTCTTCTCCTTGAATTGTCTCATTTGAAGTCATTTCCCAAATGAATGTATAATTTGTATGGAATAAAAACAATCTGAAGTAGTTTCAGTCTCTTTTAATAACTGACAAGAAACTTGAAACCCAGACCAAGGAAACAGTTAAAACATACACTCAATGAAGCTGCAAGTCTCAAAGTGAACGAATCTGGTACTTAGTGTATTTTGCGCCACACATTTATCAACGGAAGTCAATTACTAAACTATCGATAGTCACACATACTATCGATGCATCGATATTATTTCGTTTTTACCATCGATTTATTGCGATCGGAGATTCAACAATAGCAATCCATCGATAGTCTGCATCGTTAGAGCCCTACTAATAATCAAAGAATTTATGTAAATATGTTTGGTATCTCTCTAATGTGTCAGTAGCTCTGCTGATGTAACACAAATTCCTGAAAAGGCATTAAAGTATTATTCTATTCTATTCTATTCTATTCTATTCTATTCTATTCTATTCTATTCTATTCTATTCTATTCTATTCTATTCTATTCTATTCTATTCTATTCTATTCTATTCTATTCCATGTGCTACAGGATAAGACTCAACAGCTCAAGTACATCCTGAGCAAGGTGAGTGTCCATCTGCTGGATGCTGGCAGCTGTCTGCAGGATGCTCTCGACAAGTGTATGGACCCCAGTCGCATGTCCCTGGCTTCCAGCGCTCGCAACTCCTCCCTCGGGGCGTCAGATGATGCCTACTCCCCCATCAACAGTGGCGCCACAAGGTCAGAACTCTGATAAACTGTGATTATGTGAATTATGTTCTCTAAATCAATCACTAGAGATGTAACAGTACAGCTGAACAGTATCATTTGTGGATACATGACCCATCATACACTGATTTATACACCTGTATCACGACATGCAGTATATTGCGTCACAAGTTGAAGTGGCATGAAAACATTTCAATTGTAGCAGGTTTAGAAAGATGGCATTCTCTTCCCACAGAGGTTACCCCTGTCATATCTTCCTAACGTAACCTCTGTTCTAATACGGCCCTTTCATGGTGTGAGCGTTCAAGACTCGTGATTGGAGGCAATCAGATTTAGTTGTGCAATCAGCGACGTTGTTTCAAAAGTGATCATTCGCAAGGCCTCAGTAATTTCCGTATGCTTCAAGAAAACTAAACTTCTTCCCCTGCGCGATGCGCAAACGTTTCTTCTAGACAGAACTCAGTCACGTTATGGCGGATCAGTGGCGTCTCCATCTCCCTCGTTGACAACGGACAAGCTAGCCATTAAACGTCTTGTGTGTAACATCAACACAAGTCCCCGGCAGATGGGGGATATTTGTGGCCCCACATTTGCTTGTGTTAGTCAAGTTGAATCTAAGTCGATGTAACACGTGTTCTGATTGGATAGAAAGAAGGGAGATAATTCGTGTTGCGATCTTTTGCCGCTAGGGGATTTTACGAGAACCGGGAAATATTAGAACAGAGGTTGCGTAGGAAGATATGACAAGTAACCTCTGTGGGAAGAGAATGGAAAGATGGATGAATCTGTTCAAAGCCAGCCACAGAACCAGCATTACACTCACTGAGCTGTCCAACCTATTTATTTATGTCATGTCCTTGTTTGATATCTGAAATTTAAAAAACTAATGATTCAGTGTTGTGACTGGGCTGCTCCCAAGTCAAGTAATAAGATAAACACGCTGTATCAGGCTACAAATAGTATTACAACCCTTTTTTCCAGATTTCCTGTTCTTGCAGTAAATATTATTTATGGACAATGCAAGTGAAACTTCATACATATAACATGATGTATGTATTTATCAATGTGCACCATTATGTATGTGTTACTTAAAGTCTGTGGCCATAGATACAAAATACAATCCATCCGTCAATATTTGGTTTCAGCTCAATCTACTATAACCCGAACACATTCTCCCGTGTGTCAGTGTCCCACCCCCAGCCGGTGCAGACCGTGGACCCCGCCCCAATGGAGACCGACGCCCTACAGCAGCAGGGTGTTGACACTGTCCGCCAGGTGCAGGAAATGACCATGATTCTGGAACAGTCTGTACTGGCTGAGGGGAACCTGCATGACGACTGTGAGGACCTCCCTGCAGGTGAGTCAGCTGCCGCATGGACGGTGTCAGACAGCGTCTCTGGTCAGTGATTCGCCCGTGAAGATCCGGGTTAGAATCGATCTTCAATAATCCATGCTTGTTGTAAGAGGCGACTAACGGGATCCGGTGGTCAGACTCGCTGACTTGGTTAACACATGTCATCGTTTCCCAATTGCGTAGATCAATGCTCAGGCTGTTGATCACTGGATTGTCTGGTCCAGACTCGATTATATACAGACTGCCGCCATATAGCTGGAATATTGCTGAGTGCGGCATAAAACTAAACTCACTCACTCACTCACTCACTGGTCATTGATTTGACTTCCATTTATGTCATGCCAAAAGGTACTTGAAGATGATACTTGTTAATGTGATGGTGCTGAGCATTACGAGTAAAACAAGGACTGGTCTCTGGGAGTCGGAGGTGGACTTCCATGTTAAGCTGTAGCATGTTATCTTTATGGGGTAGCGGTACAAAAGTGCCACGTGCTCACTGCTGTGTTAGTGAAGTGATCTTAAACAGGTAAAATCCCATTTATCCCACTGTAACATGGCTATATCTGTGTCGACTTCGCAATCTCTATCCCACATCGATTTTTTGGTCACAACTTAAAACTGGATTCCATATCCAGTCCCCGCATCACAATAGTTGTTTCCTATCTGGGATTTTCATTTAAAGATAGTGACTCTAAATACTCACTCGCTCGCTCACAAGATCCTTCTGGACAGAAACCAGTATGCATACTTTGGTGCAGGATGGGCTTGTTATGTATATTTCAGAAACATTTATGATTTAAAGTCAGTCAAAGTCATACACTATAAATCCCACTGCTTTCCTGAATGGTTGATGCATAGGTCACGAAACAATATGACAACACCTTATACTTGGCAATTATGTCAATTTATTGTTTAATAAATCAGTAAACATCATGCAAACCTTTAACTTTGACAGCTGGATTTCCCAAACACTATCAAGACGGCAAGAATAGTTCAGCTTCATTTGTCCTGGACCCATAAACTCACCCACAAACTATGTTACCATCCAAAATGTGATTTCCTGCCACACCCATGTTTAACTCTGGTACAGTGGCACATGTAAAATCACTTGCCCTGATACTTTTTTCCGCTATATTGGCCGATTATCTTGTTGACTTTTTACATAAACAACATAATTAACATTGGAAAGTCAACTGGACACCGGTACTGTGTGATATTCAAATTTCCTTGCCCGACAGAAAAAAACCACTGGACTAGGGTGTCTGGCAATGGGTTATTTCCACCCCTGACTGTGAGAGAGCGTACCTCTGATACACAGTTTGGTGGGATGCAAAGTTAGGTCTTGAATCATTTAAGTTGGTCAAATTTGTCACATTTTCCATTAATGCATCATGGCAAGTATTATTTCAATAATTTCAGTTGTGCCGCCAGGGCACATACAAAATATCTCATCTATGCTGTTTCAATATTCACTGTGCCATGCCATGCAAGTTAAGCACTGTTTCAATCCTTGGTGTATCACAGTGCACTTACATTTCAAGGTGTCATTTCATCTCTGTTGCCTCCTGTAGTGGGATACAGAAATATTGAATGATGGATAGATCTGCAGTGAGATCAATATTTAGACTGTTTGTGTCAAAATTGTATCACTCCATAGCAACATTTAGTTCAAATAAGGAAATCCCCATCCATAGTGAACCTTCAACACTGGTAGTGGTACCATAGTTATTACAGAAACTAGTCAGACAAGTTAATCCTTAATTGTGAGTTTGTGTTGGATGTACCAATGAACCCTCTCAAAGTAATCTTAGTGAGTACTCTCCTACTGACAGCAGTGTTTACGAATGGTGTTTCAAAGTAACAGGACATTGGGTCCTGTAAGTTTCAGATGTCTCTCTGACCCATTCAAAATTCACAGGACCCATAGAATAAAATTAAACACACATTTCAGATTTAACATTTCTCATAATTGGCATTGAAATTATTAACAAACATAAGATTTATAAATGGCAAATAAGTGTCACATGTCACATATAACAACTTCAATCAAAGTCATTGTGAAATATACAGTCAGACACTGGGGCCGGCGGGTTGTAGACTTCTATCGGACTGTTGGCGAATCTGCTGGATTTGTCAGAGGGTCAGACGCTATTCGTGAACACTGTGACAGTGCCTTTAAAATGTCAACACCTCTACTAGCAACATCTGTATGGGTTCATGCCTGTTGGTTTCTACTGTATTTTCGACATTGTAGCCATTCAGCAAATCCAATACAGATGACAATAACAAACTTGGTCACTAAACATTTGGGATAGAACATTGCAAGACATGATGGTTTACTGTTTACATTATATCTTCCATTCAGCTACGTGTTGTTTTATATTCAAAGATGAAGACTGGTTGGGACATCTCATAAACTAAGCCGGAAATGGCGATGAGATGTGCACAGTTTGAGTGTCAGTGAATGAATTAAAACTTATCCAGTATTCGCAATTATGTACACGAGGCAGTAAAGGCATCAAACATGTACTATGTACAAACTGTCAGGGTTATTCAATGCAATTTGTCTTTAATTTTCAGTTTCAGAAGGCCCCGTGTTAACGGAGACCGAATCCAAGGAAGCGGTTTCCTCCAGCATTTCAGATAAAGTCTCACCCAAATATGTCATTGAAGAATCCCAAAGAAGTGGCCGATCTAAAAGCAGGCAGAAGGCAGTGTCCAGTTCTAATGGAGACTTGATCAAGAGTCCAGAAGTGCTTAATGTGAACACTTCAGAGCTCAAGAGAGATCGCCGGGGGACATTTGTTGTTCCCCCTCCCAAGCCTCAGCCAGAAGCTGAACCTGAAGACAGGTGTAAGCAGGATCGTAGAGGAACATTCGTCGTGAAGAAACCTGTTCCAGAAAGCAAAGAAAAGCCAAAGAAGGATTCAAAGAGAGAGACATTTGTATTGAGCAGAAGCCCAGCTCTGCCAGATCAGTCAGTCAAACCAGTAATGGTGGAACAGGAAGATGTATTCAAAGTCCCTCTCCCTGTGTGTGATCCTGACGATGTCACCGTCTATCTCAACAGTGATATGGAGCTGACAGAGGTGATCAACGTTGAACAGATTGCTGTCGCCAAACAAGCGGACATGCCACCTCATGAAGATGAGAATCCTAAATCAGAGGTCAAGGAAAAGACAAAAACTGTTGATAAAAAACCAACACAGACAGTTGAGAAATCAAAGTCTAAGATTGCAAAGTCGACCTCTCTTACTTCTATATCAGCCAAAGAGAAGAAGGACATCAAATTGTCCAAGAGTGATTCTGATGTTAGCAAGGAATCTGAAGAATCCAGCAAACCTGCTGTTGTCTTGCAGCTACGGAAACCTGGCAAGATTGTTTTCACTGCATCACGGAGAGATTTTGATGGAAGCAGAAAAGCAATTCCATCCAAGTTGCCCTCAAGGCCTAGAACTAAAAGTAAAAAGGAAATTAAAGATATGAAGGACTCCATTGCCACCAATTTCCCTTCACCAAAGAATATCTTTGACTTCCATGACAAGACGCCTGTCCATCTTGCAGAGAAGAGTAGGGTCCAGCCCTCGGTGTATGACATCTCCATAAATGATTCAAATGTCCAGCCTTCAGTTGAGCAGCCCAACAAGAAAGAGAATCAGTTAAAGGGAGAAACTGCAAAGAAAGATGCCCAAAAATGTGATTCTGTAAGTGTCACTTACAGCATGCCTTTGAAAGGAAGCCCGGATGAGAAGAAGCTTGGAGCTAGAAGTCGATCTAGAAGCAGAGGGCCCACTTCCCGGTCAAAGAGTCGAAGTAGAAAACCGACTTCAGATACTGAAGTCGAAGGTGAATCTGACAAAGAAGAATCAGGATTAAAAGGTTCTAGATCCAAAGGTCGACGTGGGAGGTCACACAGTCGGGCCAGAAAAGAAGATGCAAATGAAGAAGAGATGGATGTCGATGATTCAGATGAGAAATGTAATGATAGAGGTCGGTCAAGGTCAAGAGGTTTGATGACAAGGTCAAGGTCACAAAGTAGGAAACGACAGCCTGCTGATGAGGATGTTGAAATGAATGATGAACATGAGGAGAAAACGCCAAACCAAAACCAAAATGAGAAAGATGGTTTGGGGGTGGAAAAGATTCAGAAAACTGGTAGGGGGAAAAGCCAGTCAGATTCTGATGATGTGACAGAGGGTGAAGATGCTCAGATGATGAACACTGAAGCTGGAGAGATTCTTGAAAAAACACATAGGAAACTAAAGAGCTCTAAACTTGCAAATAATGACACTGAATTAACGCAGTCTGTGTCTGAAATAGATTCATCTAAATTTGTATCCTCAAGAAATGGCAGGAGTAAGAAGCGCAAACCAGAAAATCAGACTGAAGATTCAGCAAAGCATAACGAAAATGAGCCTGACAAACCAAAATTGGGAGACAAGAGCAAAGAGTCCCTGGCAGTAGAGTCCCGAGATACAGATCCCGAATGTATACAACCTCTAGGCAGGGCTTCACGAACTGCCAAGACAAAAGCCAACAATATTAACAAAATTCAGGCTGCAGTCTGCAGTGATGATGAAGATCAGTCTGTTACAGATGGGAAGAAGGCTGTGGAAGCAGGTGATGATTTGCAGGATGATTGGACAGCAATGGATGATAGTCTTACCATGGTAGGTGACTTACAGCCCGTGTCTTCACGAGATTTCATTGCAAAACTCATCTCTATAAAACCTGTAGTTAAGACATCAAAGGAGGATATGGTTGACAGTGAAGAAATTCAACCAGTTAGGAAGTCCTCGAGAAGCTTGGTCAGAAGGCAGAGGATTCCTTCAGACTCTGATGATGAAGTGATTCCTCCAACACAGTCTAAGGTGGATGATGGCAAGAAGAGTCTGGTCTCTACAACAGATGAAGAAGCGGAAGATGATGATATTGGGAACAAGACGAAGGTAGTACCAGCAACAGACGATGAAGGCAATAGTGAAGAAGATGCATTTACGAAGAAAATAGCCAAGAGTGAAAAGAAAAAGGAGACCGTAAAAGCTGAGAACATGGGACAAGATAAAAGTCGGTCCAGAAAGCTGACAAAGGAAGATGCTGCTGCATCAGCTGATGAACGTCAGTTACCCCAGAAAGGAAAACCGGAAGTATCAAGAGGAAGACCAAAGGAAATAAAAAAGGTTGAAAGGCAATGCACTCAAAGTAAGAAGAAGGTTGATGTAAAGGAACTCCTCCAAGCATTCACAGAATTTGATGATCCTGACCACAGTTTGCGGTTAAATGCAACTTGTAGAAATGACAGTGTTGTAATAGCAGAATCTATCAAGAATTATTCTCCAACAACTGATCAGAGTGCTAAACACTTTGTGCCTTTGGATGAGATGGAAGATCCTGGTGACGAAGAGGAAGTTTATCATCTTCCTCTCAAGGACAGCCCAAATGAATGTGGAAAGGGCAAAGCGAGGGGTCAGTCAAGGTCAAAGGGTCGTAGTCGAAGCAAGAAGAGGACTGATTCGGAAGACTTTGAGTTAAAGTGTAGCAGTAAAGAAGGAAAGAGGGACAAAGTGGATGGATGTAAAAATATCGAAAGTGGAACATATTCGTTACCTTTAAAGGCAAGCCCCGAGGAAAATAAGAGAAAAGAGTCCAGATCTCGGAGTAAGTCAAGGTCAAGAGCTGAGAGAAGTTGCAGTCAACGCAAGAACTACATTGAAGTGGATTCTCAGGATGAAGATGAAGAGCAATCAGAAGTCTCCAGCAGCATTTCTAATTCCAAGAATGACGAAGGTAAAAATGTGGAAAATGGGGCATCACCATTGAAAGGAAGTACAGATGACACAAAAAGAAAAGACTCAAGATCTCCAAGTAGGTCGGAGTTAAGAATGGAGAAAGGTCAAAGTAGGAGCAGTAACCATAATGAAGCAGCTTGTGGTGATGAAGATGAAATACAATTCAAAGAAACAAGCATTCATTCTTGGGATGCTGAACCAACTGACAAGACAGAAAGTGAGACTTATTCAATACCTTTGAAAGGGAGTCCCGAAGTAACAAAAAAGAAAGACTCGAGATCTAGAAGCAAGTCAAGGTCCAGAGTAGGGAAAGGTCACAGTCAGCGCAAGAAACATACTGAAGCAGATTCTGGTGATGAAGTTGACATACAACTTCAAAAATCAAGCAGAAGTTCTGATTCTAAAGGTGACAAACAAAAGAAAAATGAAGAGGAAAATGGAACATACACATTACAAGTGAAAGGAAGTCCAGATGAACCAAAGGAAAAGAATTCAAGGTCAAGGTCAAGAGTTCGGAAAGGTCAACACAAGAAGTATGTTGAAGCCAGTTCTGATGATGAAGAGGAAGTACCGGATGAAGAGTCAAGTGGACATTCTGGAAAGGGAGAACAACTGAGTGGGAAGTCACAAAGTGAGATATGTAACAGGACAGAAAGTGAGACTTATTCGTTACCTTTGAAAGGGAGTCAAGGTGAACCAAAAAAGAAAGACTCAAGATCTCGAAGCAAGTCAAGGTCGCGAGTCGAGAGAGGTCGCAGTCAACGAAAGAAATACACTGAAGCAGATTCTGATGAAGATGACATACAGTTGGAAGAATCAAGTGCAAAAGCTGATCCACCCAGCAATAAGTCACAAAGTGAAACATATTCATTACCTTTGAAAGGAAGTCCAGAGGTACCAAAGAAAAAAGACTCGAGATCTCGGCAAGTCAAGGTCGAGTGAAGTCGAGAGAATCAAGCAAAGACTCAAGATCAACCTAAGAAATACACTGAAGCAGATTCTGATGAAGATGACATACAGTTGGAAGAATCAAGTGCAAAAGCTGATCCACCCAGCAATAAGTCACAAAGTGAAACATATTCATTACCTTTGAAAGGAAGTCCAGAGGTACCAAAGAAAAAAGACTCGAGATCCCGAAGCAAGTCAAGGTCGGGAGTCGAGAGAGGTCGCAGTCAACGTAAGAAATACACTGAAGCAGATTCTGATGAAGATGACATACAGTTGGAAGAATCGAGTGCAAAAGACTCAAGATCCCGAAGCAAGTCAAGGTCGCAAGTCGAGAGAGGTCGCAGTCAACGAAAGAAATACACTGAAGCAGATTCTGATGAAGATGACATACAGTTGGAAGAATCAAGTGCAAAAGCTGATCCACCCAGCAATAAGTCACAAAGTGAAACATATTCATTACCTTTGAAAGGAAGTCCAGAGGTACCAAAGAAAAAAGACTCGAGATCCCGGAGCAAGTCAAGGTCACGGGTTGAGAAAGGTCGCAGCCAAAGTAAAAAGCATGCTGTTTACGAGGAAGCAACACCTGATAGAAACAAAGGAAATGACTCGAAATCCCAATCAAGAAGGGAAAGTCTTCAGATCACAGTTGATGCCGAGCAGTCAACAGATAGTGGTAAGAGAAGTGTCAAGAAACTGCATAAAAGAAAATCAGATGAGGAGATCTCTCAGACCCCATCTGAGGAGAAAACAAATAAAGACAACAAGACAAATCCTTCATCAGAAATTAAAAGCGCCAAGTCTACGGGGAAGAAATCGGCCAAGAAGAAGTTGGAGGTGACAGCAGACAAACCTGCCCGCAGCAAGGAGAGTCAACAGGTTAGTGGACATGGGAATGACAGAATGATTCATTTGGCTGTCAGTGTTTTTGATCAAGAGGCAAATATTGTGTTTAGAAACTCATGGGTTATATTCAGTATTGAAAGCTTGGAAATTCTATCCAGAGTTTTCAAATGTTAAAATTTTGTGGCATCAAGTACTCCATAAAATCGGCTCATTTGGGAAATACAGACGTCATCAGTCATTTTCTGAATAACTCAATCTATCCTGAAGTCTTACAGATTTGTTCTTGTGATGTCCACTTGGGAAGCCTGTTATTTGCAATCGTTACTGTCACATATTTCTGTGATAAACTAAACTCAGCTTAGTAGCAGAATTTGGGAAAGTAAAAACTACATTTAGGTTTTCTGATAAGTATCGGTCACACTTGGTGTTTCCACTCAGATTTTGGGAATTTGAATCGCATTTTACCAAATTAGATTGCAGCACAAACTCGCCTTGGAATGTGAAAGGCGAAGGGTCTTAACCCTCATGTTGAGGAACATTTCCCAAAATACAAGGCCCACATTTTTGGTAGCAGGTGGCATTTCTGTCAGGATAACTTAATGTTTCTCCTGTCCAATTTCAGGAGCATTTTGAGAACATTTTGTATTAATTTGGTCATTGTGAATTTAAAAATAACCAAAACTTCCTTTAAATTATGTCTGAATGCCCCCATCGGTTCTAGGCTGAGCTGAAAGTGATGTTCAATGAGCTGAAGCGCAAGTTGTCCATGCTTCCCAACCCTACAGAGAGGATGTCGCTATATGATCTCGCTCGCAGGGACAGAGAAGGAGAACGGAGATCTGAAGAGGAAGAGAGAATCTGAGGAAATGGGGTAAGTCCTTCTCGATTTCAGCTAAGATATATTGAGATATCTAGCAAGGACTGGGTTTGTCTGTCCCCTTGTGGTAAGCATAGGGTCCTTAAGTTTCGCTACTTCTGGAACTAATCTGGTTCCCAGCTCCCTTTGTGCGCCAACTTGTGATATGTGAGACGGCATCCAGCTTAGTTCCACTACCAGATTTCCAGTGACAAGCATATATTCCAGTGAGTTCGCAGATGATGCAGCAACTGTCGGCAAACTGAACGACACTGATTCTGAAGAACTGTATAAAGAGGACATTAATCATTTTCCGACTTGGTGTGCAGAAAACCACTTACTCTTAAATGTCACAAAAACAAAGGAACTGATAATTGACTTTCGGAGTAAGCCCACAGAAATGCTTCCAGTGATAATCAACGGCGAATGTTGATAAGTATCTGTATAAGTATCTGGGAACCTTCATTGACTCTAAGCTGAACTGGAACTCTAACAATGAAGCCCTATACAAAAAGTGTTAACAACGTCTTCATCTCATGCGTAAACTGAGATCTTTTAATGTTAACCCATCTGTGATGTCATCTTTTTATGCAGCATTTATTCAGAGTATTTTAACATTTTCCTTCCACTGTTGGTACGGATCTCTCAGTTCATCTCAAATCTAAAATAGACAAATTTGTTAACACTGCAAGTAAAATCGCTGGAGTCAGATTTGAATGTTTATCATCAATATACAGAGGTACAGATAAGCTGCGTATCTGCTTAAATTACGCAAATATTTATGTGAAAACTCAATTCTAATTAAGCTAGTTGCGTACAAGTACGCTTGAAGTTTTGTAAATACTCAATACGTTTGACCTTACGTGCGTACACACAAAGATGTCAAATCTTAGCTTGCGTACCGGTGCATAGATAAAATAACTGAGGTAAATTGAGAGGTTCTATTTCAACACATGAACTTGGCAACATGCAGTCTTTCTTATCATTTCTCATATTACAGATCCAATATACATGCCATTTATACTTTGTTATATTTTAAAATTTAATGCAAATTAGCCAAATAACCAATTGAGTTTGAGTGAGGTGGGTACAATTTATTTGGTTACTCAAAGGACAATTAGGATACCCAATTGAGATTAACACAAGCGAGTACATAACTCAATGACCCGAAAAGTTATCTGTAGCTCTGAATATATGAGCGGCAAATCGTGAATCAAGCTGTCAAAATTATATCTGACCGTACTCACTACTTAAATTCGGAATACAACCTCCTCCCTTCAGGCCGTCGCTACAAAGTTCCAATTGTGAAAACTTAGAGAGCCCGTACATCGTTTATTCCAAGTACCATATCTCTCTTAAACAAATGGGAAGATACCTAAATCAATGAATTTATGTAAATATGTTTGGTATCTCTCTAATGTGTCAGTAGCTCTGCTGATGTAACACAAATTCCTGTAAAGGCATTAAAGTATAATTCTATTCTATTCTATTCTATTCTATTCTATTCAAGAACCAGTTCTGGTTCCAAATTGCGCTGCCGCCATATAGTTGGAAGATTGCTGAGTGGGGCGTAAAACTAAACTCACTCACTCACTCCCAAATTGCGCTATCGCCAAATATGACTAGATTGGACCAAGTGTACAACCATGCTTGACGATCACAACTGTTGATATTCGTAATAGTTGGCTAATTTGGGTATGGTAAGATCAGAAATTTGTTATTTCAGAATTTTTAGTTATAGCTGTCAACATGACACTTGTTAACCTCCCACTGCATCCCATGGCTGTGAAGCCCCCTGCATCCATCCCATGTGAACCTCTAACTATATCAGATGTCAACCTGCCGCTGCATCCCATGTTCACCTCCTACTGCATCCCATGTTCACCTCCCACTGCATCCTATCTTCACCTCAACAGCATCCCATGTTCACCTCCCACTGCATCCTATCTTCACCTCCTACAGCATCCTATCTTCACCTCAACAGCATCCCATGTTCACCTCCCACTGCATCCTATCTTCACCTCCTACTGCATCCCATGTTCACCTCCCACTGCATCCTATCTTACCTCCTACAGCATCCTATCTTCACCTCAACAGCATCCTATCTTCACCTCCCACTGCATCCTATCTTCACCTCAACAGCATCCCATGTTCACCTCCTACTGCATCCCATGTTCACCTCCCACTGCATCCTATCTTCACCTCAACAGCATCCTATCTTCACCTCAACAGCATCCCATGTTCACCTCCACTGCATCCCCTGTTCACCTCCCACTGCATCCTATGTTCACCTCCCATGGCAACTTATGTTCACCTCCCACTGCATCCCTACCCGTGAAGATCCGGGTTAGAATAGGTCTTCAGCAACCCATGCTTGTCATACGGTGACTATGCTTGTCGTAAGAGGTGACTAACGGGATCGGGTGGTCAGGCTCGCTGACTTGTTGACATCGTATCCAAAATGCGCAGTACAATGCTCATGCTGTTGATCACTGGATTGTCTGGTCTAGACTCAATTATTTACAGACCGCCGCCATATAGCTGGAATATTGCTCAGTGCGGCTTAAAACTAAACTCACTCACTCACTCCCAAATTGCGCTATCGCCAAATATGACTAGATTGGACCAAGTGTACAACCATGCTTGACGATCACAGCTGTTGATATTCGTAATAGTTGGCTAATTTGGGTATGGTAAGATCAGAAATTTGTTATTTCAGAATTTTTAGTTATAGCTGTCAACATGACACTTGTTAACCTCCCACTGCATCCCATGGTTGTGAAGCCCCCTGCATCCATCCCATGTGAACCTCTAACTATATCAGATGTCAACCTGCCGCTGCATCCCATGTTCACCTCCTACTGCATCCCATGTTCACCTCCCACTGCATCCTATCTTCACCTCCTACAGCATCCTATCTTCACCTCAACAGCATCCCATGTTCACCTCCACTGCATCTTCACCTCCCACTGCATCCCCTGTTCACCTCCCACTGCATCCTATGTTCACCTCCCATGGCAACTTATGTTCACCACCCACTGCATCCCTACCCGTGAAGATCCGGGTTAGAATAGGTCTTCAGCAACCAATGCTTGTCATACGGTGACTATGCTTGTCCTAAGAGGTGACTAACGGGATCGGGTGGTCAGGCTCGCTGACTTGTTGACATCGTATCCAAAATGCGCAGTACAATGCTCATGCTGTTGATCACTGGATTGTCTGGTCTAGACTCAATTATTTACAGACCGCCGCCATATAGCTGGAATATTGCTCAGTGCGGCTTAAAACTAAACTCACTCATTCACCCACTGCATCCCATGTTCATCTCCCACTGCATCCCATGTTCATCTCCCACTGCATCCCATGTTCATCTCCCACAGCATCCCATGTTCACCTCTCACTGCATCCCATGTTCACCTCTCACTGCATCCCCTGTTCACCTCCCACTGCATACCAAGTTCATCTCCCACTGCATCCCATGTTCACCTCTCACTCCATCCCCTGTTCACCTCTCACTCCATCCCATGTTCATCTCCCACTGCATCCCATGTTCACCTCTCACTCCATCCCCTGTTCACCTCTCACTCCATCCCATGTTCATCTCCCACTGCATCCCATGTTCACCTCTCACTCCATCCCCTGTTCACCTCTCACTCCATCCCATGTTCACCTCCCACTGCATCCCATGTTCATCTCCCACTGCATCCCATGTTCATCTCCCACTGCATCCCCTGTTCACCTCCCACTGCATCCCAAGTTCATCTCCTACTGCATCCAATGTTCACCTCTTACTGCATCTCAAGTTCACCTCTCACTGCATCCCATGTTCACCTCTCACTCCATCCCCTGTTCACCTCTCACTCCATCCCCTGTTCACCTCCCACTGCATCCCATGTTCATCTCCCTCTTACTGCATCCCATGTTCACCTCTCACCGCATCCCATGTTCACTTCTCACTCCATCCCCTGTTCACCTCACCCCATCCCATGTTCATCTCCCACTGCATCCCATGTTCATCTCCCACACGCATCCCCTGTTCACCTCCCCACTGCATCCCAAGTTCATCTCCCCCACTGCATCCCAAGTTCATCTCCCCACTGCATCCTTATGTCACCTCTCACTGCATCTCTGCTCACCTCTTCACTGCATCCCATGTTCACCTCTCTCACCCCATCCCCCCTGTTCACCTCTCACCGCATCCCATGTTCATCTCCCACTGCATCCCATGTTCATCTCCCCACCGCATCCCATGTTCACCTCTCACTCCATCCCATGTTCACCTCCCACTGCATCCCATGTTCACCTCTCACTCCATCCCCTGTTCACCTCTCACTGCCCATGTTCACCTCTCACTGCATCCCAAGTTCACCTCTCACTGCATCCCATGTTCACCTCTCACTCCATCCCCTGTTCACCTCTCACTCCATCCAATGTTCACCTCCAGCTGCATCCCATGTTCACCTCTCACTCCATCCCCTGTTCACCTCTCACTGCATCCCATGTTCACCTCTCACTGCATCCCAGTTCACCTCTCACTCCATCCACTGTTCACCTCTCACTGCATCCCATGTTCACCCCTAACTGCATCCCAAGTTCATCTCCCACTGCATCCCATGTTCACCTCTCACTCCATCCCCTGTACACCTCCCACTGCATCCCAAGTTCATCTCCCACTGCATCCCCTGTTCACCTCCCATTGCATCCCATGTTCATCTCCCCACCGCATCCGGTGTTCATCTCCCCACTGTATCCCAGTTCATCTCCCACTGCATCCCATGTTCACCTCTCACCGCATCCCCAAGTTCACCTCTCACTCCATCCCATGTTCACCTCTCACCCATCCCCTGTTCACCTCTCACTCCATCCCGCTCTCACCTCCCACTGCATCCCAAGTTCATCTCCCCACTGCATCCCAAGTTCATCTCCCACTGCATCCCATGTTCACCTCTCACTCCATCCCATGTTCACCTCCCACTGCATCCCATGTTCATCTCCCACTGCACTCCATGTTCATCTCCCACTGCATCCCCTGTTCACCTCCCACTGCATCCCACGTTCATCTCCCACTGCATCCCATGTTCACCTCTCACTCCATCCCCTGTTCAACTCCCACTACATCCCAAGTTCATCTCCCACTGCATCCCATGTTCACCTCTTACTGCATCTCAAGTTCACCTCTCACTGCATCCCATGTTCACTTCTCACTCCATCCCATGTTCACCTCTCACTCCATCCCCTGTTCACCTCTCACTCCATCCCGTTCACCTCCCACTGCATCCCAAGTTCATCTCCCACTGCATCCCAAGTTCATCTCCCACTGCATCCCATGTTCATCTCCCACTCCATCCCATGTTCACCTCTCACTCCATCCCATGTTCACCTCCCACTGCATCCCATGTTCATCTCCCACTGCATCCCATGTTCATCTCCCACTGCATCCCATGTTCACCTCAAACTCCATCCCATGTTCACCTCCCACTGCATCCCATGTTCATCTCCCACTGCATCCCATGTTCATCTCCCACTGCATCCCCTGTTCACCTCCCACTGCATCCCAAGTTCATCTCCCACTGCATCCCATGTTCACCTCTCACTCCATCCCCTGTTCACCTCTCACTCTCATCCCCTGTTCACCTCTCACTCCATCCCATGTTCATCTCCCACTGCATCCCAAGTTCACCTCTCACTCCATCCCCTGTTCACCTCTCACTCCATCCCAAGTTCATCTCCCACTGCATCCCATGTTCACCTCTCACTCCATCCCCTGTTCACCTCCCACTGCATCCCAAGTTCATCTCCCACTGCATCCCATGTTCACCTCTCACTCCATCCCATGTTCACCTCCCACTGCATCCCATGTTCATCTCCCACTGCATCCCCTGTTCACCTCCCACTGCATCCCAAGTTCACCTCTCACTGCATCCCAAGTTCACCTCTCACTCCATCCAATGTTCACCTCTCACTGCATCCCATGTTCACCCCTAACTGCATCCCAAGTTCATCTCCCACTGCATCCCATGTTCACCTCTCACTCCATCCCCTGTACACCTCCCACTGCATCCCAAGTTCATCTCCCACTGCATCCCCTGTTCACCTCCCACTGCATCCCATGTTCATCTCCCACTGCATCCGGTGTTCATCTCCCACTGCATCCCAAATTCATCTCCCACTGCATCCCATGTTCACCTCTCACTGCATCCCAAGTTCACCTCTCACTCCATCCCATGTTCACCTCTCACTCCATCCCCTGTTCACCTCTCACTCCATCCTGTTCACCTCTCACTGCATCCCAAGTTCATCTCCCACTGCATCCCAAGTTCATCTCCCACTGCATCCCATGTTCATCTCCCACTCCATCCCATGTTCATCTCCCACTGCATGCCATGTTCATCTCCCACTGCATCCCATGTTCATCTCCCACTGCATCCCATGTTCACCTCCCACTGCATCCCATGTTCACCTCTCACTCCATCCCATGTTCACCTCCCACTGCATCCCCTGTTCATCTCCCACTGCATCCCATGTTCATCTCCCACTGCATCCCATGTTCATCTCCCACTGCATCTTACATGAAGCCCATTGCAGCCATCCCATGTTCACCTCCGCTGCACCCCATGTTCAACGTTAACCCCCACTGCTCCATCCCATGTTCACCTCCACTGCACCCCATGTTCAATGTTAACCCCCACTGCTCCATCCAGTTTTACGTCCCCCCTACAACTCCTGATCACCTCCCACTGCAACTTGGATCTACTACCCACACATGTACCGGTACTTCACATTGCAAGTCAAGTTCACTTGTTTACAGGGAAGGAGGAGAGAAGAGGTCACGGAGAGGGGTTGCAGTCAGCTACAAGGAACCTTTAATGAACTCGTGAGTAAAACCTTTTCAACATGTGCAATATTTTCTCAAAATGAAATCTATTCAACACTAGCTCACTCATAACCTGAGAGAAAAAGTTGTCCTTCAGTAGTTGTGGCCTGAATTATTTCAGGCACATACATGATATACACACAACAAATTGTTTGGCTAGCCAGTACACTTGACAGTTTAATTGTCTCACTGCAGGGATTTTTATATGGCCTGCTTTGTGGTCAACATTGAGCCCTAAGTCTCCAACAAATGAGATTTCAAATTCTCAATTCGCATTTAAAATTTCCCAATTCCTCAGAATTTACCAGAAAGGATAAAACAAATGATTGTTTTTCATAGAGATCGTCCTTGGGGTACATATATGCATTTTCTTCGGCTGAAAATGTCATGTGACAGTTGTATCAATGTTTCAATAGAAATATTGTACAATAAATAAAAAAATTTTTTTATGTATTATACGGCCTCCACCACGTGGAGTTACCTCCCTGCTACGCATGCGCAGCCAACCAGGTAAGCACCCAGGCCTGTATCATCATTCCTTCTGATGTGACGCATTGTGTCCACATGTGCTTGATTGAGCTGACCAACATAGATGCATACTACGATAATGTCTGAGACTTCAACTACTGTATGTATGGTCTTTATTCGTTCTTTAGAACGCTCTTTGGACTTTGCAGTTGGTTATTTCTCACTTATGTGACTATTGAATTAAAATTTACGCTAGCTTTCCCGTGGTTTACGTACGTGTTACTATTCCATGGCAGGAAGTTTGGCGTGTCATGTGGTTGAAATATTGCTTTATTCTACAATTATTTCATGTCGCGTTGTCGTATTCACGTATTTTCAATGTTTTATAAGTGTATTTTGCTGCTGTTTTGGCCATTAGCTACATGCATTGCATGTTTGCTTTCAGGCGTTTACGGCGTGCGTTGCCTGCGGGCTACGCCTACCGCCTGCCAATAAGCATGACAAGTGCGTATGTTGCCTTGAAAAGGCTGGGCATACTCCTGATGTGTGCGAACTCTGCCTTGGTCTCTCCCCACGTGCCCAGAAACGAAGGGCTGCCGATTTCCTCTTCTACAGAGAATTGAGGGAGGCGTGAGGGGACCTGACTGATGTGACCCCCATCCAAAGCGAAAAAGGCTAAAAAGCCTTCTAAATCTAAAGATTGTACAGAATCTATATCGCTTTATATGTCTTTCATACAGCAATTGTTCCAACAGCATAGTGAAGTCCCTCATTCACGAGTCGGTTGGAGGACTCCGGCGGGAGTTCCTCATTGGCCCTGGACGAGGGGCGGAGAGTTCGGGGGTTGGATCGCCGGGCTCACCTCGATCCATAGGCCTCGAGGCTTCTGCCTTTGGCTTCGGGTCCGGACGCCTCTGCCACCCCGGAGAGGGAGGGTTTGCACCCAGTCCCTATCCCCTTGAGAGCGGAGGCTCCAGTTCTGCCTGGGCAGTTCTGGGCAGTCTGTCGGTGTCAGGACGCTGGTCCGAAGCCGAGGCCTGCCTTCACATCAATGTCTTAGAACTGAGAGCTGTGCTTTTGGTTTTCCAGCTCTTCCGGGAGCATGTTCAGGGCCAGGTGGTTCGTCTTCAGCTGGACAAACGTACGGCCATGACGTATATCCTGAAGCAAGGCGGCACGGTGTCCTTAGCGCTCCTTCGGGAGACGTGGGAGTTTCTCCTCTGGTGCGACTGTCATGTGATTCCTGTTTATCTCCCGGGGCTTGAGAACGTGTGAGCAGACGCTCTCTCTCGCCGGATCCTGGCCACAGACAGCTCAACCAGCAGATATTCCGAGTTATCTCCCAGTTGTACGGATCGTTCCAGGTGGATTTGTTTGTGTCCGGCCGGACGAATCAGATACCCGTGTTCTGCTCTCGAATACCGGACCAGAGGGCGTTGGCCTCCAACGCCTTCCTGCTGGATTTGACGGGCAAGGTGCTGTGGGCGTTTCCGCCACTACCACTCATTCCCTGGGTCCTCTCCCAGCTACCCAGCCAGCTCGGCTACTTGTGCCTCTGGCACCACTTTGGTACGTTCAGTACGAGGATGGGCGGTCCCACTATGCGCGCTGGTGTTCAGATAGGGGAATTGCAGATTCCTTTTCTGCTGATTTAGTCCGAGTTTTGGTTTGTCCAGTCTGGTTTGGAAGAAGGTTTGGCGGCTTCGACCATTCGTGGCTACTCCACCGCTATTTCCACCTTTCACACCCCTGTCGAGGGGCAGCACCCTCTTATGCAGCGCTTCCTAGCTGGCGTGGATCGGGTTCGACCTGCTCTCAGGAGTACCGGCCCACCTTGGGATTTGTCAATCGTGCTAGATTGGCTGTCTGGTCCTTCTTTCTCACGTCTATTGGCTATTTCCATTCAACTTGTTACATGGAAGGCCGTTTTTCTGGTGGCGGTGACATCTGGGAGAAGGGTCGGTGATTTATATGCCATATCTGCAGACCCAGCGCTGACTGTGTTCCATCCAGATCGCGTCAGTATTCACCTCCCAGATAGTTACCGTCCGAAGATCAATCACGCTTTCCACGTGACAGCTCCTATCCAACTTCCTACTCTTAACCAGCCTTCCACATCCGGGACCTCTGCAACGAGCACTCACCCGTTGGACGTCCGTAAGACCCTCAAGGTTTATCTCAAATGAACACACGGGATCCGTACGGGTACCCATCTGTTCTGCTGTTACGGTGGCGGGAAGGCTGGGGCTCCTGCCAGCAAACAGACATTTTCTCGCTAGCTTGTGTCGGTTATTTGTGCTGCATGTCAGGCTAAGGGAAAGCCTCCCCCTGAGGTGTTGAAGGCTCACTAGGTCAGGGCAGTTTGCAGCGGCACTGCCCATCGAAGAGATTTGTTCTGCCGCTATTTGGAGCCGGCCTAGCACTTTTAAGTTTTATACGGCACTATCAGCTGGATACACACTCCCGTGATCGAGCATACTTTGGCCGTTCTGTTCTCTCCGGTGGACAGTGTCCTGCCACCCTGACCAAGTGAGTCTTGGTTATTTGGTTTCTAGAGACGCTGTGTTCAATTGTTGTTTCATTGACATATCCGCTGTTGAATCTTGCCAACTTTGAATCGCTCAGTTGAGATTTTCGGTTGTGAGTTGTAGTTCCCCCTTACGGTGCTCTGTATAGAGTTTTCACTCAGTGGGCGGGGTTTGTTTACACTCTATATGATGTGTATGTTGTCATGCTTAACTTGATTGAGGTCAGTCCTCAGTACGATTTCTCCCTGTCGGGTCACTTCCCATAATGCCTCTCGCAGAAGCTTCGGGGACACGTGAAAGGTGAGTGTTATGGCGTGAGTAACTGTTTGTAATTACAAGATCGCTATTTATTTGTACTGTGACAGAATTCCCTCCTCCCTAGCCTAAAGGAGTCTGAGTTAATGTAAATATGTACCCCAAGGACGATCTCTATGAAAAAGAATTAGATAAACCTGTAGAGGTTTCCAATTCTTTGAAGAGAATCGTCCTTGGGGTAGGGCCGCCCACCTCCCCGCAATTCTGTTCAGTGATTTGTTCAGCAGAAGGAATGATGATATGGGCCTGGGTGCTTACCTGGTTGGCTGCGCATGCGTAGCAGTGAGGTAACTCCACGTGGTGGGGGTCGTATAATAAATAAAAAAGATTTTTATTTACTGTACAATGTTTTTATTAAAACATTGATACAACTGTCACATGACATTTTCAGCCGCAGAAAATGCATATGTGTACCCCAAGGACGATTCTCTTCAAAGAATTGGAAACCTCTACAAGTTTATCTAAGTTTTGAGCAGTATCCCAAATTTTTGCCCAGTTTGTCAGCCGATGTCACCTTATCTACAATCCCAGCTAGATAAATCTCTACAAGGACTATTTATGTTTCAGGAAGCTTCGTCGAGGAGATCCAGGCACATCCCATTTCTTCACTAAGGCACCTTTGAAGCTGTTCAAATCTCCCAAACCAGCTAAAAGTAAGTCCCTGGCATTTCAATAAGGACCATACATTTACACTAGGCATTCCACTGCTGTCATAAAACAGAAAGTAGAAATGTGCATGCTGCATTAAAACCAAAGTGTGTGGGTTTTTTTCCTTTCAATTGACATTTTGACTTTTGATACTGTCAGAAGTCTGGTGATGCCAGTTTCCCAGCAAGCTTTGCTGGCCCTTCCAGTTCATGTATAGATAGGATGGTCAGCCTGGGTTACTTGATTGATCAAGACCAATTATACCCTGACGATGTGGGTCATTGCTCATACCATCAACCACATGATTCATGTTGTACCCTGACCAAGTGGATCATTTTTAGATTGTAAGTGTTTGTGAGATCATGTAATATGTTTGTGTCCTTGTTCCTACCACAGTGGCAGTCCCAAAGAAAAGAATTAAGAAAGAAGATGATGGTGACTGAATTAGTTGATGTTTGTGTTGGTTTCAACCTGTTTGTATTGATGAAAAAACTTTGCATGTTTTCAGGAAAATTCTGTCACTTGCAGCTAACATTATTTTTACTTAACCCTTTCATGAAATATTCAGCAGTTTGGTGTTGAACATCCTCGATAATCCCCAGGGTATACGTTCCGATAAATGTCCACTATACCCTGGATGCATCTACGGCTCGAGCGAATAATTTTATTACCTCCCTTTGCTGGCTCCGCATTCTCACAGTATCCAATCAGATAAGCCGCCGTTACAGCCGAGCTTGCCAGTGTCAACAAAGATAGCAGTCGCACCCGCGAAAGTTTGTTCGCAGTGCGACTCAGATTTTGGGGGAAAACATACAGACAAATTGACAGGTCTGAAATCTTAAAGAAAATATATGCAAGAACTCCTTCTATCTCTTTCAGAGTACCTCTGTAACAATATATTATTGTGTTGCCAGGTTTCATCGGTTAGATAATTTAAAAAGCGAAAATGAGTTGTGATTGGTATGCTCAACTTCCAAGCGTAGACACCTGATTGGATAAAAAGCCAGCCAATTAAAAGGGAGGTAATAAGATCATCGGCTCAAGCCATAGATGCATCCAGGGTATAGTGGAGCTTTATTGGAACGTATACTCTGGAGATTATCGAGGATGGGTATTGAAGGAAAAGATTCATCTTTTTGTCAGATCATCTTTATTGATCTACAGTGTTTTATGTCCATGGCATCATATATACCCTGGATGTTTTCACTACCATTGTTATGTTTCAACATTACCATCTCCATCATTGACTTTGCACAGAATGTTTCTCAGTCATAAACGTGATTTTGTTTGAGTTTGACATAGATCTACATTCCAAATTACATATAGCTGGCATATTGCTGACTGCTGCACAAAACAGGAAACTGACAAACTGTTCAAACAAATAAAATATATAATTAACCTTTTAAATGTTTGTGAAATGACTTACTTATTCGTGTCACAAGGACCGCCTCCGTGGTGTAGTGGTTAGAGCGTCCGCCTGGAGAGCGGAAGGTCACGGGTTCGATCCCCGGCCGCATACAAGACTTTAAAATATGGTACTTGTTGGTCCCTGCCTGGCGCTCGGCATTAATGGGTACAACAAGGACTGGTCGGCTCAGAGTCAGTATAATGTGTCTGAGTGGGGTATTCATGCTTAACTGCAGCATGGTATCTCAGTGAGCTAGCACTATAAAACCAGCTGAAGTCTGGGCTAGTACAAGCAGCCACACACACACACATGCACATCGTCATATGTGCAAAATATTCTTAAATACGACGTTAAACCCCATTTTACTTCACCTCATGTCACAAGTGTGACAGGTGACTGAACCATTGCAGGCTGGTATACACATTGTCAAGGATTTGTCTAGACCTGCTCAGATGCTGATGATCACCCAAGGTCTGCAGCAGTTGTCTGTATATCTTGTCAACCTGGAACTTATATCTACCCAGCATTGTAGAGGTGACTTGTGCTTCACCACTATCAGAACAAGTAAATGAATGCTTACCTGACGTTATTGTGCTAATGTTGGGGTGTCCTCACCATGCAAACAGTGAACTGTTTCATTCATGTTTCTGTATTTACACTTTTGACTAACCATTACTGTATCTGTCACCCGCTTATTCCCTTGTTGTTATAAAATATAATGTGATTCAGCAGGGTTTTACATGGCGCGTGATTCCTGTGTATTTGACGCAACAATTATGTTAATGACTCCTAAATACTATCATATGAGTCAAGCTTGACGCAAGTTTTATAGTGGCCCGCCCTCACAATTCAGTTCAATAAAATCGATTTGATAAGCAAAAACTGATATTGTTCGATGATAGTTTGACTTTTACAGAGTTGTCAGATTGTTCTTGAGAACTCAGAGGAGACAGTAATCCTGGTTGTGTGAATTGAATTATGCTGTAGTTTCATTTGGTGGTGTGACATACATATAGCTACATACTGAGAATGATTAACACAAAGAAATATTACTATTTTCATGACTCCCAAATATTAAAAATGACTCCCAAAAATAAATATTGTGAGTCACCATGACTCCCATTTTTAAAAGTCTGTGTAAAACCCTGGATTCAGTGTGTATGAGGGGTGTCATTGACATCCTGAACCAGCGTAACAGCTGAAACATCACTCTGGACAGTTTTTCTCAGAGAAGGGTTTGGCCTTCAACAGTTCTTCCCCAACTTAAAGGGCAGTGGGGTAGCCAGTGGTTAAAGCATTCGCTTGTCAAATGATGACCGGGTTTGATCCCCACATGTTAAAAGTTAAAACCTTATGCATCACTCTCTACCCCAAGCCAGACTTTTCCCTATTATTCACACAGTTAACCATTACCATGATTATATTTATATTATATATTTGTGGAGTAATCATTGGGTTTTTTCTTTTCTAATCAAATTCATACATCTACAAAAACAAATGTAAGTATGCGATTTTTCGTTAGATTGTGTATTTGTGGTTCTGATTTGTCAGTTCTATTTCTGTAAAATTGCTTCCTGACAATTTCTAGTTTCTAATGGTTATATTTGTATTCCTTCCAGATGAGCGAGACAGCCTTGATGTCAGTGTTCTGGACAATATTTCCAACACAGTGAACAGCAGTGATTGACAGATCTGGCAGATAATGTGAAACTCACAAGCTGTTCTCATCTCACCAGAGTGGAACCTTAGGAATGAAATCCTGTCAAGCATATGTATAAAGGAGTCACTGTGAATCTAGGCATGTCTAGGTTACATCTTGATAGGCATGTGTGTCTGAGTTCCACCAGGACAAGCGTGTGTGTCTGAGTTCCACCAGGACAAGCATGTGTGTCTGAGTTCCACCAGGACAAGCGTGTGTGTCTGAGTTCCACTAGGACAAGCATGTGTGTCTGAGTTCCACCAGGACAAGCCTGTGTGTCTGAGTTCCACCAGGACAAGCATGTGTGTCTGAGTTCCACCAGGACAAGCATGTGTGTCTGAGTTCCACCAGGACAAGCATGTGTGTCTGAGTTCCACCAGGACAAGCATGTGTGTCTGAGTTCCACCAGGACAAGCATGTGTGTCTGAGTTCCACCAGGACAAGCATGTGTGTCTGAGTTCCATCAGGACAAGCATGTGTGTCAGGACTACAGCTCCACAAGCTTTTGTCTCTGGCTTACAGCTCAGTAAATGAGTGTCAGGATTATAGATAACCGGAGTGTAGATACATTCGCCTGAATTTGAACTGTACTCGGAAAAAGGCAATAACCAATGTTTCTTTAGGAAATATTACAAAGGTGTCTCTTATAATGTAAGTCGGGATACCAATGGCCCAGCTGTTTAAGGCATCCCTGTTCACTGTGTCCCTTGGCCATGCAAGAAACCCATGATTGTTGGTTCAAACCCCATCCGGAATTCCTTGGCCAGCATACCCTAGATCCTGTACTTCACCAAATGGTAAATGTCAAGACCTGCATCAGTTAGGGCTTCCCTCACACATAGTGATATAACTGACAAACTGTTCAAAGTGGCACTGAACCTAGATCACTCACTCACTCACTCACTCACTCACTCACTCACTCACTCACTCACTCACTCACTCACTCACTCACTCACTCACTCACTCACTCACTCACTCACTCACTCACTCACTCACTCACCGGAATGTTTAATTCTTGTCCATGTTACTAGTCTGATGCCCAACGTGGGTATAATGTGTGAAGCCCATTTCTGGTGTCCCCGTCGTCATATTGCTGGAATGTTGCATGGGGAGCTTTCTGCTGGTCAATGGCAGTATTATTCTTTGACTACTTCCTCATCCACCTTGATATTTCTCCATGATCTGTAAAGTGTTCAGAAGTGTTGCAAGAAGAAGATGTACAGTATCATTTAAAACTGTGTAGTGCTTTTTTAGTATGTTTGATCCCTTATTAATGAATTTTATTCATATTGATTTTTTTACTTCTCTAAAACCCAAAGGAATGAATCTGAAACTTTGGGGGGACAAACATCAATGAGAAGGCAGATAGGTTTTTAAATGTAAAGGAATGATGTCACCCACACAACAGTCACTTCAGTTGGTTGTAACAACTGACAAAGCCTTTTCATCTGTTATATGAAGAAGTGATGAACCAAGCAAGATAGGGTTATTTCAGTAAATATGTAGTTTGTATCATCTCACATCAGAATACAGGTACATATTTTTTTAAGGCCATGTTTCGTAATGTGTCACAGTTTCACTGTATCCTTGCACGTTCAACAGAAGGGGTAGCCTAGTGGATAAAGTGTTCACTCGTCATGCCAAAGACCTGTGTTCGATTCCTCATAATGGTACAATGTGTGAAGCCTATTTCTGGTGTCTCCTGCCGTGATATAAAACTAAAACACCTTAACGTCCTGAGCGGAAAGTCGGGGGTTCGATCCCCAGCCGCGTCAAACAAAAGAAACGTTTCAATATGGTACTTGTTGGTCCCTGCCTGGCGCTCGGCATTAATGGGTACAGCATGGACTGGTCGGCTCGGAGTCAGTGATGTTGCTGAATATTGCTAAAAGCGTCATAAAACTAAAATCACTCACTCACCTGCAACAGATGGCACTAGAGAACATGTAAATAACATGAAGACTGTACCTGTACATTGTTCACTAGATAGAAGACATGAAAACTTGACTTGAAATGAAGCACACCAGAAGTAGGGTAACATGGAACATGTAGTAGATTTCAGTTCATTATTGATAATCATACTGAGAGCTCTTGTATGTACCAGCAAGAAAAAGTAACTCGTACAATCTTTATGTTGTCCTTATGGTGTTAACATATAATGATATAGCTGTATATTTTTGTATTGATACCTTTATTGTGATGCACTGAATGTTAAGTGCATTACTACATCATTGATCAGCAGGGGTGGAAATAACCCATTGCCCGACGTCCAAGTCCAGTGTTTTTTTCTGTCGGGCAAGCAAATTTGTAAATCACACTGTACCAGTGTCCAGTTGACTTTCCAATGTTAATTATGTTGTTTGCTTAAAAAATCAACAAGAAAACGGACGGAAAAGTGGAAAAATTATCAGGGCAAGTGATTTTACATGTGCCACTGTACCGGAGTACACTAGCAATTTTAAAGTTATTTCCACCCCTGGATCAGGTCAGTCAAAATGATGGGTGCTTCAACTCATGTGAGGCTCAGTGTACCAAGTGTATAGTCTAAAAGAACACTGGTTTAGGGAATAGTAATACTTAATCTGTAGGTTGAACTTTACAGATAAGTTGTATGTTTTTAGCCTTATAATTGTGTCAGCGTTTTATATAATATTGTATTTATTCTGAATTGTCATGTTGTTGTGTCTGTGTTTATCATTTAACTGCTGATGAAGATGTGGATGTTTTTGGTAGTCAGGTAGTGTTCAGGGCCCTGTTGCACAAAGCTATCTTAGCACGAGGTGATTGTAACTGTGCTTGTGTGTGGTCCTGTGCATAGAGCCAAGGTCACAAATCAGTTGAAGTTAAGCAAGGTTTGGCACTGAGAGTTTGATGGGTGATGTGTTTGGCAGCTAAACTCCTGAGAGTTTCTAGGACTTCAGTCCAACCCCACAATGAACAGACCCTAGGCCATAACATATGACTGTTAACCTTCTAGCGTCTTACGGGCAGCTTGGGTTATCCGGGGTAATAATGTGTTGTCACCTTGAGCATACACAAGTGTGTGGGAACAGGTGCTTTATGAATAACCATTATCATCATTTTCATCATATAAACTCCCTTTCATAAAAAGACTTATGATACTCTTAGCCCTAAGACTGCTTTATCCAACAGGGTCCAGTGACTCATGCAGATTGTCTGATCTTTATTTATGGAGCTCACTCATTGACCTTGAAGATTACTGAGAGCAGTGTGGAACATGTAACAATCAGAGCCTCCTTCCACAAAATGATACAAATATTTATGTAAGATCATTTCGCAGAACAAGGCCATGTTCAGACAGTTACACAGTGTATTCAGTTGTTTGTAAGCCAGGTGACTGTATCTTAGGCAAGATGGATTACTTTGGTTGTATCTTTGGCGGCTTTTGAGTATTGGATGTATTTTTGCCGAGATTTTGCCCTCAAACAGAAACAATGTCCCCATTTATTTCATTTGAAAGTGCTTTTGGATAAAGGTGTATCATATGGTGTATTAGGGTGTATTTAAATAATGACTGTTTCAAGGATGCTTAGCTGTCAGTTTTGTATTGTGATGGAAAGCTTTGGTATATTTCAAGCATCATTCATTCTTTTTTATTCATACAATCATTTGGTGCATGGGTGGCCTAGTAGTCTATGGCAATGCAACTTGCTGTGCGGAGTTATTGTAGTTTAAAAATATCCACTATCATCATTCTCATCATATTAACTCCCATTCATAAAAACAGACTTACAATAGTCTTAGTGCTAAGCCATAAACCGTTGATTATGGGCTTGAGTCACAGTTTGGACAGATTATGATGCTTTTGACAGCACCAAATCATGCTTGATGGTTTGTCCCAAGTCGTAGACATCTGAGGTGCGTGCGGGGCCCCACCCCACACACACATCAAGTTGGCACACAGCAATGTCATAAGAATGCTGATAAAAGAGGCATTAAGACAAACCTGCCTCACTTATTGATTTGTTTTGTATGTGTGAAATCTCAAATCGTTAGTGCTATATGATAAGCAAGAGGTTATTTGACAAGTCATTTTGATTCCAGAGGACACTTGAAATTATGAACTTTTTTAGGCCAAATCGTTGATTAAGTGTGATAAAACATGTTTGAATGTGTTTTTATTTGATTTATAACTCTCACCAGGTTTTTAATAATGAACTACTATTGAAAAAGCAATCATCTTAATTCTCATAAAGGTTGTATTTTCATGAACATATGAGGACCATGGCTGTTATGAGAATATTACATCTATTTAGTTACTCTCTTATGTTTCTTTACCCTCATCTTCTGTCTTTTCACTGTCTTCCATCCTTTCTTGTCATCTTTTAAACATGTATGTATTAGTGGATGTACGTAAATACACAATGTCAGGCTAATAAATGGTAGACTAGCAGCTGTGTGTTTTGTGTGATTTCACCCAGCAGAAAATGGGTACCCGGTGGAATACCTTGTGAAGCTACTTAACCTCCTAGGGCCTAACAGGCAGTTTGGGTTATCCGGGGTAATAATGATCAGATAGTGCACTTTAAGCAGGATATCTTGCCAGGAAAAGGTGCGTTATAAATATTCTCATTATTATTCATTCTTATTTTATTATTTCTTTACTGGATATATTGGCATTGTGATTGTGTGTTATTCTGTAGTTTGGGACTTGTTCCTGTGAATAATATTACTGAAACTTTAGCTGGATGGGTGTTGGGATAGACAAGTGTTTGGATTAGTTTATCTGGAGAGACATATTCGCTCATGTTATCAGCTACTGGTGTGTTTGGTCCAGACTGAGTGGCCTTGTGTCCGAAGGATGGTCATCGAAACATACAACCCTGTCTAGGATGTCAGCGCTCTCCAGTCAGATTTTGTCTGGATGAAGTTTACAGTCATGTGAGAGGCATACCAACACCATCAATAAACCCACACCACACTGTACTTGCGTCGACCGCCTCCGTGGTGTAGTGGTTAGAGCGGAAGGTCGCGGGTTCTATCCCCGACCACGTCATACCAAAAGACGTTAAAATATGGTACTTGTTGGTCCCTGCCTGGCGCTTGGCATTAATTGGTACAACAAGGACTGGTTGGCTGGGAGTCAGTATAATGTGTCCGAGTGGGGTATTCATATTCATGCTTCACTGCGGCATGGTATCTCAGTGGGCTAGCACTATAAAACCAGCTTCAGTCTGGGCTAGTACAAGCAGCCGCACATACACACACACACGCATGCACGTCGTCATATGAGCGAAATATTCTCAATCACCACGTAAAACCCAATTTCACCTCACCTCACCTGTACTTGCGTCAATATATTCCGTTGTGCACATGCAGTGTTTGTGCGGCGCCACACACGAGCTCGGCCACTATTAGTAATGACATCGACTTGCGTCCGACCACATGACCCCCTCCCTATGACTTCAACTACAGTGGCGTCGAGCAAGTCTGCTGCTTTGTGTGCTGGAGATAACAACGAACATTGGATAGACCGTGTGGGTCTATACCCGGCCGATTTTAGGCGATTTGGACAATCCACGATGTGGAAGCCACTCTGTTTTTAACACACCACTTAACACGAATGGATGAAGTATGGCAATTCTGAAAGGGTCAGTAACCTCCCTTGGAGTTGTCACCCGTGTTTCCTAAGGGGACGGTGGGATAGCCAAGTGGTTAAAGCGTTCGCTTATCACACCGAAGACCCGGGTTCGATTCCCCACATGGGTACAATGTGTGAAACCAATTGCTGGTGTCTCCTGCGGTGATATTGCTGGAATATTGCTAAAAGCGGAGTAAAACTAAACTCACTCACTCACTCCTTCACGTCCTGAGCGGATGGTCGCAGGTTCGATCCCCGGCCGCGTCAAACAAAAGAAACGTTAAAATATGGTACTTGTAGGTCCCTGCCTGGCTCTCGGCATTAATGGGTACAACAAGGACTGGTTGGCTCGGAGTCAGTATAATGTGTCTGAGTGGGGTATTCATGCTTAACTGCGACATGGTATCTCAGTGAGCTGGCACTATAAAACCAGCTTAGGTCTGGGCTAGTACAAGCAGCCACACATATACACACGCCTGCACATCGTCACATGAGCGAAATATTCATAAGTGCGACCTTAAACCATTTCACCTCTGCTGATGTTTCTGGGCCTATGGGCTGATAGTCGATGGATGACAACCGTCATCCTTTACAACTGTCAATGCCATGCCAGCATTCCTCACACCTATACAACTTGCTGTCTTTGTGCAGTTGTCAGTTGAAGAGGCCCCATATTTGCATATTAACAACGAAATCAACTGATTTTCTAAGTAAACGAGCTGTAAGTACAGTTTGCTTAATGATTGGTACACGTGTTGTACGTGATGTCGCCTTTGATCGTGACACATGTATCTCTGAAATATATGTATAGTGCGCCCAAAGGGTCAAAATATGCATGCAAACAAACGTAACTGTGATGTGACTATACATGGCTATACGGGGGTTGAATCATTGATGTTGTGATACTTATTTCCATGTGTATATTTCAGAGACAACGTTTTTAATATGTGGATATGCTAACATACTGAATGTTGCTCATGGTGTGAACCAGCCCATTTCTGGTGTCCCCGCCGTGATGTTGCTGGAATATTGCTAAAAGCGGCGTAAAACCAAACTCAGTCAGTCAGTCTTGGTGTGAACCAGAGGTTGCTGTTGTTCTTTCGCTTGGTTGTTACCGCCGGGATTAGTTCTAGGCGTGCTGAGGGTCGTGTTCAGGGAAAGCAATCATTGTGATTGTGCATTTTGATACGTGTTGGCTACTAGGGGACTATTTTTTTTATATTTTTTATATATATCTTTTATTATTTTTTTTTGGGGGGGGGACAACTAACGCAATAGCGATAGTCTCAATACAGCAACATACTTTTGCGACCAACTATTGCAATACTATAGTTGTTCTTTCCTTGAATTCTCATTTGAAGTCATTTCCCAAGTGAATGTATAGTTTGTATGAAATAAAAACAAGCTGGAGTAGATCAAGTTAGTTTAAGAGGTAACAGGGGTTGATAACTCTAAATCAAAGTGAACGAATCTGGTACTTCCTGCATTTTGAGCTGCACATTTATCAACGTAAGTCAATCACTAAGATATCGATCGTCACACATGCAATCGATGCATCGATAGTTCTTCGTTTCTACCATCGATTAATTGCTATCGGAGACTCAACCAATGCAATCCATCGATAGTTCGATGCATGGTTACAGATGAGCATAAATTAAAACAAGATCCCGTTTATTTCCGGGTAAAAGTGTGTGTGTGTGTGTGTGTGTGTGTGTGTGTGTGTGTGTGTGTGTGTGTGTGTGTGTGTGTGTGTGTGTGTGTGTTTTGTGTGTGTTTGTGTGTGTGTGTGTGTGTGTGTGTGTGTGTGTGTGTGTGTGTGTGTGTGTGTGTGTGTGTGTGTGTGTCCAAGTGGTTGAAGCATTTGCTCGTCATGCTCATTCCCCGACATGGGTATAATGTGTAAAGTCCATTTCTGCTGTCCCCCGTCGTGGATTTGCTAGAATATATGAATAAAACCCAACTCGCTCGCTCAGTGATGTAATGAAAGAATACCGCCCAGTTTAACAGAAATATTACCAGAAATATTTATTTCATTATTTCGTTATTCATTGATCTGTTGAGTCACGTGCGGTTTATTCCAGAGAGATCAGCCCAGTTCATACATTCGACAGTGTAACACTTGCAAATGTCGACATAATCTTAATCAAATCTTCCTAGTTTTACAACGGTCACAATGTATCATTCACAGAAGTGGAGTCAATACTAGAAAATGTAATAAGTCTAGATTTCCACAGTTTCATGAACTCTTCTAAAAATGAAGTAAGTATCTGGGCTCATTTTCAGTTCATTTCATCATTTTATTTAGGAACAGTTTTTCGGTAAAATATGTTCATTTCAGAGACTAGGTGTTAGTCTAGGATTTAGACACCATATGAAATAATAAAAATATGGCCACTTACATAACGCAGAACTCCACGCAGCAGGGACATGCTCTATGCGAATACAACATGTTGGACATGTTTACCCAAGATAACCCAAGCTGCCTGTGAGGCGAGGAAAATTTAATATGAACACATTTCCCGATAAAATTCTGACATTGCAATGACAAATGACGATTTGACAACTTTAATTAAAGGATCGTCACCTTGTGCGAAGACTGGCGAACCGCGTGGAAAGTAAAGGGTGCCAATGGTTACCGCCAGCAGAGTACAAGTCAACGTACATGTCTGGTAATAGTGGAACATCTAGTCTATGGACTGACTGAGTTTAGTTTTACGCCGCTTTTAGCAATATTCCAGCAATATCACGGCGGGGGACACCAGAAATGGGCTTAACACATTGTGCCCATGTGGGGAATCGAACCCGGGCCTTCGGCGTGACGAGCCAACGCTTTAACCACTAGGCTACCCCACCGCCCCTCTAGTCTATGGAACATCCTACGTACACTGATGTTGGAACAGCAAGAAGAACATGTAAACTAATTGTTGCGTGTTTACTAAAGGAACGTATTCAACTCAAAATAGATTAAGGACTACCAAATCCGTCAATATCACGAAAGATTCACCACAGTAATATACTACTCACACTTTGCTAAGGATCACAAAAACACGCAACTTTACTTAACGTAGATTTTTATTTTGAAATTGTATCCATTTAAAACTGGATAAATAATGATATGGTAACACATCTTTAGGAAAACAGCCACTTTAAGCTAACCGTATGCTCTTGGTGTATGATTAACCATAGAAAATGGGTTTCATGGCACCAATCAACCTTTTTTGCAAATCATTGAACGAGTCACTGACAAGTACACAACACCTGTCTATAGCAGGTATGCGATCCACAAGATGCAATGACATACTGAAACTAAGGATCCATGCTTACAATAGGCTTAGATATTTAAACCAAGTGTGATCCCACATCATAGTTTTCTGTTGAATCAATGATTTGATCTTTAGCAAATTGTGAATAGTTTATGAACAATTCAGGTGCCCTCTACATATTTTGAGTGATATATTTGCCAAGAGAGAGAGTTCTTATTTCTGGGATATGCTATAGCTGTGATATAATGATAGTTATCCAAATGGTTCAGACAGCAGGAACATAATGTGGATTTGGGCTGATTACAAGCTAGATCCTTGGTACTTCCTGGAAGTTTCTTTAAGTACATCTGCATGTGTTTTTAAGGTTTGATTAACAATCAAAGGCAAAGGATCCGTTGTTGGCTGGTTGTGGAAGTGGACACACGTAGATACATACACTCATCCTTGACTTCCAGCACATCCTAGGAGCTTCAAGTGTGCCCCACGTTTGACCGAACACCAGAATATCCAGTAAGGCCAAGAACACAAGATAGATTTCGCCAGTCCGAAAATATTTATCTTCCGTGTGTATTGCAGTTTCGTCGGATTTTACCGTCAGTATATTTTTCATATATCGTTATTCCCCTTTCATTTGTCACAGTCGATGGTTCGAAACCTGTTGGACGACCAATACTGCTTACAGCTCACCACTGTAGAAAAGTCCTGTAACAAAGAACAGATTGTCTCAAATCAAGTAGAACCTCTGTATACGTCTTCTTTACTTTCTGGGGCGGTGGGGTAGCCTAGTGGTTAAAGCGTTGGCTCGTCACGCCGAAGACCCGAGTTCGAATCCCCACATGGGTACAATGTGTGAAGCCCATTTCTGGTGTCCCCCGCCGTGATGTTGCTGGAATATTGCTAAAAGCGGCGTAAAACCAAAACTCAGTCAGTCAGTCAGTCTTTACTTTCTATGCAAAGGTCTTGTCTAGGTATGAATTGTTCATCTTCTTCATTTTCCATATCATGGAAGTATTTTGTCTGTGTTTCATTTCTGTCAGAGTACTGTCACTTCATACATTAAAATTTCTCTTTTAGGTATAATTTCAAGACAAGTATATGGACGGTGGGGTAACCTAGCGGTAAAAGCAGCAGCTCGCCACGCTGAGGACCCGGGTTCGATACCCCACATGGGTACAATGTGTGAAGCCAATTTCTGGTGTCCCCCGCCGTGATATTGCTGGAATATTGCTAAATGCGGCGTAAAGCCATACTCACTCACTCACGTATTGAAAATAAGGACGACAACTCTCGTCTTCTAATCATCAGTATGGGCGCAAATAGACCTCTTATTGGCCCGTGTCGCCCTAAAACTATAAAACCTACCATCATCAGTAATATCTGGCAAAAGCAGGTTTTGTGTGATTCAGACTGGATCATGGGTATGTGTTTATGAATCACTATCAAATAAGGGGGCGGTGGGGTAGCCTGGTGGTAAGAATATTTCGCTCATATGACGACGTGCATGCGTGTGTATGTGTATGTGAGGCTGCTTGTACTAGCCCAGACTTAAGCTGGTTTTTTAGTGCTAGCCCACTGAGATACCATGCCGCAGTGAAGCATGAATACCCCACTCGGACACATTATACTGACTCCGAGCCGACCAGTCCTTGTTGTACCCATTAATGCCGAGCGCCAGGCAGGGGCCAACAAGTACCATATTTTAACGTCTTTTGGTATGACGCGGTCGGGGATCGAACCCGCGACCTTCCGCTCTCCGGGCGGACGCTCTAACCACTACACCACCAGTTTCAAAGAAATACGTACCTGCAATGCACGCTGTCAAAAAGCAAGCTACGTTGCCGGCGATCATGGCTCTCAGAGCCATGGCTGTTAGATCTGACTTCCTAGATGGAGCCATGGCTCCTAATCCTCCGATCTGGATCCCCATGGAGCCGAGATTGCTAAACCCACACAAGGCATACGTTGCGATAACCTGTGATCGGGGCTTTGGAAAATAAAATGAAACAATGTCACTTTTTATTCATTATTTTAGTAAATATGCAAAGTTAAATCTCTATTCCCCGTGGAGAACCAAGAGTGAGTGGGTGAGTTTAGTTTTACGCCGCACTCAGCATTATTCCAGCTATATGTTGGCGGTCTGTAAATAATCGGATCTGGACCAGACAATCCAGTGATCAACAACATGAGCATCAATCTACGCTATTGGGATACGATGAAAAGTGTCAACCAAGTCAGCGAGCCTGACCACCCGATCCCGTTAGTAGCCTCTTACGACAAGCATGGGTTACTGAAGATCAATTCTAACCCGGATATTCACGGGTCCGGAGCACCAAGAACAGATACATCAACAAGTGCATTATGAACGTATTGCATTATGCGTAATATCTAATGATGACAATCGCGGGCATGGGAAGATAGGTGGCAGGACAGGGCCAGGTTCCGCTGGGCTCGAATCTCAGATATATTACCATTGGTCTGTCAGCACCATTACTTGCTCACAGGTTTCACCAAAGTATTTATGTCTACTCCCCTTCGTCATCTGGACTTGGCTCCAACGTGAAACTGGTTCCTTAAGTGTTTACTGTCGTTTACATGGAATGAATAAATGTTTAAAAAGGGAGATCCACAATTCACGATTTCAGCTAAATGTTTATGAAAGCTTGAAATGACGCATGTCTCTCGCGTTTACTGGGTCCCTGATATGAAATCCACCAGTGCGGGTATGGCTCTTACAAATCAAGAAACAACTGGGGTCCTGACATACAAAGGGAAGTAACTTTGTTCTTCAAACTGTGGCGGCTTACAAAACTGGGACCAACAGTGTGACGAAGCCGAACAGTGAAATAGTGTTTAACAGTGCGTCATAATATTAATTTGTTTATGATAAATGTATGAATGTAAATTGAAGGTTAGGTCTTATTTCTTACCAGCATAATTCCACCAACTAAGGTTTGGCCCCAGTCTGTCAAAAAGATGTCGTCATTAGGTTGAGTTACCCAACTGGCGTTAGGTAACGTTGCTGTGTAGTTGTCAAATACGTGACCGTTATCTATCAGTTTCCCCATCTCAATGTACGCCACGAACTCATTTGTAAATGTCTTGAAGCCAATCAACCTCGCCATTCGCCGACAGTCGACAGGATCAATACCCATCACAAAACTGATTGGGTAGAAAACATAGGAGCAGATCAACTGTGGACAGAGAATGATATATACATACCATCTTTCGTTGTCACATGTCAAGGTTACGAGGGTCTAGTTTTAGGTCAGGATGTATATAATTGATGTGGAATAGAGATTTCTGAGTGAGTGAGTTTACGTTTATGCAACCTCAGGAATATTCCATCTGTATGGCGGCGGTCTGTAAATAATCGAGTCTGGACCACACAATCCAGTGATCAACAGCATGAACATCGATCTACGCTATTGGAATACGGTGACATGTGTCAACCAAGTCAGCGACCCTGACCACCCGATCCCGTTAGTCGCCTCTTACGACAAGCATGGGTTACTGAAGATCAATTCTAACCCGGGCCTTCAGGGGTCAAGAGATTTCTGAAACTCCAAGAGGCCACTAGATGCTGCAACGGGATCGACCACTCGGCTTTTGGGATCTGTGTGAAACATCAATTATAATTTCTGTCACTCCTTTAAGTTGTTTGTTTGTTGATTAACGCATCAAAATATTCCAGCTTTATGGCGGTGGTCTCTAAATAGTCTGGACCAGACAACCCAGTGATAACATCTTGATATGATGACATGTGCCAACCAAGTTAGTGAGCCTGACAATCGAATCCTCTTGGGTGGGGCGTCATCCAAATTATGATACTCATTGCATAGCATTAGTACAAAATGCATAACAAATCCTGGAGTTTCTATTGGGAATTCCATGACTACGTGAAATACTCGAATTTGATTGGACAATCAAGAAAATTAGACACCATCAATCCTGGATTGAGAATGCGTCTGATTTCATGACCGCTTCACTGCGCACATATACAACACAGCCGCACTACTTCAGCTTGGCCACCAACATGGCTAATATCAACACAACAGACGTGATTGAAATTCTTATAAAACATTCATCAAACTCTAAACATACAATTATATGATTTTTCCTCCACAATTATTAGGGAACTTCACTATCACATAACCTTGTATTATAAAAATATTCAAACTCAATTACAATGCACAGCCCTAAACATAAACAAACAATATCTAAGTCAGAAAGCCTTTTACATCCCCGTGTATACAAAATTCACAGCAAAACGTCAGTAAACATTTGCATACCTGGTAAGTGGTATATTTGTTTCCGTTTACAATGGGAAATTTGCAAGATAACTGTCAGGCGAAACACCAAATTTATTCAACTCATGCATACTCCATCATGTCCCGTTGCATCGTTCGAAAAATACATGTCAAAAATTGAACCACCAGAATTCTGCTCTTTGTCAGCTTCAAGCAAGGCTATCACTGCTGGTCATCTCTGTGTGTACACTTTGAAAAAAAAGCTTGGTCACAATCCAGTCCCAAATGATGAAAACAATATTCCAAGGTATTCCAAGTTAGTGGCATGTACACAAAGCAGCACTGTCTCTCTTTCGTCGCATGCGGGGGTGGAGGCACGTACGTGAAATCGTGATCAACACTCGCCGGTCATAAACATTTACAGTCTTTGATAAGTTACAGGTCGTAGGTCGATCAGAAAAGGTTCGGCTTCAAATGAAATTTAGAGACTATCAATTCGGTCTAACATTCATCTTTTTTCCAAACACAGTACGTTTTATCTGCTAAGTAGAAGGAGAAGGGTATACATGTATGTGAAAAGTCTCCCAAGGAGATATACCTACTTGGAAGGTCAGGTTTTCAACGCCTACTCTGTCTCCCAAAAATATCAATGAGGCGTCTACGAGTTGGAGCAACGCCAGGAACGCCATGACGTTGACAGCAACGTTGGCAACAAGACTTATGGAGACCGATGCCCCGTTTGATGCAGCCTCGATGACGTTATTTGGCTTGCTGGGGACAGATAATCATGTAATCAATTGAACATATTTCAAAAACTTAGTTTGGTTTTAATTGACCAGATTGTATTGGAGTGAGTGAGTTTAGTTTAACGCCGCACTCAGCAATATTCAAGCTATATGGCGGCGGTCTGTAAATAATCGAGTCTGAACCAGACAATCCAGTGATCAACAGCAAGAGCATCGATCTACGCAATTTGGAACCGGTGACATGTCAACCAAGTCAGCGAGCCTGACCACCCGATCCCGCTAGTCGCCTCTTACGACAAGCATGGGTTACTGAAGATCAATTCTAACCCGGACCTTCACGGGTCAGATTGTATTGGAAGGAAAAGAAAGACAGCCATAGAATTGTGTGTGTGTGTGTGTGTGTGTGAGGTGCAATTGATATATACGCATGTCCAGCATTGAGTAGGTTTTCACTTTCGTCACAGCGTGTTTGATGTTGAGTGAGTTTGGTTTTACGCCGCTTTTAGCAATATTCCAGCAATATCACGGCGGGGGACACCAGATATGGGCTTCACATATTGTACCCATGTGGGGAATCGAACCCGGTTCTTCGGCGTGACGAGCGAACGCCATAACCACTTGGCTACCCCACCGCCCTGTTTGATGTTGAAGAAAAAGGCACAGCGTAATACATTTTAGAGAAGCCCAAGACAACGGGTATGGTGCCAACGAACTTAGAATCATCTTCCAGGTAAACAAGGATTCGAACCCAGGATCTGGTTTCTGGAGTGCCCAGGGGACGCAACTCTACACATTAAATTACGGCAGCCCGACAAACTTGCTAAGATGGCTTGTAACGCTCAGCAGCCAGATATTGAATCTATTAAGCCAATTCCAAGAGATTACTTGTTTGTCATTTCCTCTTCAATAAATGCATCTTGGCAAAACAAATGGGACATTGAAACTACTGGTAGACACATGTACTCTACTTGTCCAGTAGTGAACAAACATTTTAAAATTCGTCGGCGTTGTTGCAGAGATGAAGTTGTTTTAACTCGCCTCAGGCTAGGACATTGTGGTTTGAAGGCATATAGAAGTTCAGTATTTTAGATGAGGAAAACACTGGACACGCACACACACACCCCACCTCATGTCTACTCGGGTGTGTCTACACGTGTATATAGTAAGGAGTTACACGGTCTTTTCGCGTGCATTGTATGCATCTTAGGGCTCTGTCAGTGTGTACTGTGATAACCTAAAAGCTCTATCAGTGTGTACTGTGATGATTGAAAGGCTCTATCAGTGTGTATTGTAAGGACCTAAAGGCTCTATCAGTGTGTATTGTAAGGGCCTAAAGGCTCTGTCAGTGTGTGCTGTGATGACCTAAAGGCTCTATCAGTGCGCATTGTAAGGACCTAAAGGCTCTATCAGTGTGTACTGTGATGATTTAAAGGCTCTATCAGTGTGTATTGTAAGGGTCTAAAGGCTCTGTCAGTGTGTACTGTGATGACCTAAAGGCTCTATCAGTGTGTACTGTGATGACCTAAAGGCTCTGTCAGCGTGTACTGTGACAACCTAAAGGCTCTGTCAGCATGTACTATGATGACCTACAGGCTCTATCATTGTGTATTGTAAGGGCCTAAAGGCTCTGTCAGTGCGTGCTGTGATGACCTAAAGGCTCTATCAGTGCGCATTGTAAGGACCTAAAGGCTCTATCAGTGTGTACTGTTAGGACCTAAAGGCTTTGTCAGTGTGTACTGTGAAGACCTAAAGGCACTATCCGTGTGTTTGGTAAGAACCTTCACGGTCTATAGTGTGCCTGTAGTGTGAAACTACATGGTCGATCTATGCATGTATTAAGGACCTACTCCATCTGCAGCTTGTACACATCGTCCGGGTCTATGTCCGACGTCTCCGTCTCGGGATAGGTCAGTTTGGAGATGGCTAGAGCTGCTGGAGCTGACATCACGGACGCTGCTAGCAGATGGTTGGCCTTCACCTTGAGAAGAAATGATCGGACGATTTATTTTTGTCAAAATGCAAATACAAAATAATTGTCAGGATAAGAACTAAGCTTGAATTATTGAAAAATGCATAATAAACTTGGTAGTTTTGCAAGAATATTCGAGATTTTGGAAGTGCAAAGAGAAGTTATCAAGTGAGGTGTGAATATACACGTAGTTTTAGCAAAATTCCAGCTACATGACGGCGGAGGACATCAGAAATGGGCTCCACACATTGACCCATGTGGGAATACCGGGTCTTCTGCATGACAAGCAAACGCTTCAACCACTAGGATACCTCACCGTCACTCTCATATTGAGAGTCTCAGGAGAAATTTGTCATTTTCCAACTGCGCGTAAGTCTTTCAACACGCACGACGTTCATATAGTTGAATGACATGTGAAAATAATACAAGGCAAGTGTGGAATAACACGTACAATGAACATTTATAGAAGTGTCACGAAAGCGTACATGTGTTTAGTTTTACGTCGCGCTCAGCAACATTCCAGCTACATGGCGGTGGTCTGTAAATAATCAAGTCTAGACCAGACAATCCAGTGATCAACAGCAAGATCATCGATCTACGCAATTTGGATACGATGACTTGTCTACCAAGTCAGCGAGCCTGACCATCCGATCCCGTTAGTCGCCTCTTACCACAAGCATGGGTTACTGAAGATCGATGTGTAATAAAGAACTTGTTAAACTGAATATTCGATGTGACATTAAGTGTAATATTTGTAAATGATACAAATAATTATTCATGACAGGTTACGGCTTATGTATCATGTCTTTCTTATTATTCACCTACACTGTCGGCGACGCAGGTGGCCGAGGGCTCTAAACAGCATTAATTCAATATGAGTTGCGTCCCTTAGACGTGGCAGAATCTTATGATCGTCTGAGACCTGCACCACCTTGGTCTTCTATCCCCAAGCTGATATGCCGTGATTTTACTTGTTGCGAACCTGTGGACGTTTCTTTGTCAACTTACCCCGTACGTAACGTACGCGCCCAGGACGCTGCCGGACACGGTGGCGAAACCTCCGGTCATGACGGCGTGCAACTCCGATTTCGTCATCAACGGCAGAAATGGGCGTATCATGAGAGGGCACTCGGTCTGAAACATTTGTAAATGGCGATTACTTTGGAATTTCGTTATTTTACATTGGCCTGTTTTGGTATAAAGTCTGTGAAACAATTTATCACATACATGAGTGAAACCAGCCCGATCAACTGGATTTCGTCACCAGATAAATTCGTAGGTCCATTCGTGACCAACTCGTGTTATTCCGGAACAAGCCGAATAGCGATCTTCTTGGAGGTTACGGAAAGGGGCGAGTGGTGACGAATGGTGAAGGTCATGGGAACTACTTTCGTTGAGCTCCATACACCAGTGCGATGCCAACTGACTAAAACTATAGCAAAAGGTGCCCCAGAGTATCAACAGAGATTTCACGATGAGTGCCTTTGTAAGCAAACATGGCTTGAAATAATTGGCGCTATATTGTGAATGAAACAGTTCACTCAGGAAATGTATTCCTACGCGCCTTTAAACGTTACCTTATTGAACGAAAATACGAAAAATTTGAATATTTTGAAATTAATACCATATGAAAAAGATACCATTCATCTCATGTCTTTTTGTGTCGTGTATTTACACATAATGTCTCTCACCATTCCAGCGAAGATGTTACCCGCAGCGTTGAGAGACTCGGTCGCCTTTGTGTCCAGACAGAATGCCAGGAACTTGCCCAGTACCCGGATGATGTACTGCATAGCTCCGATATAGTAGAGAACAGCGATGAGGGAGCTGAAGTACACGATGACGGGCAATACCTGCGGAAACAAGGGTGGTGGGTTGACTTTCTGATCCTGTAAATATCATCGGTATCTTTCCATGAGCTTGTACCGCCCTTGGTGGTCAATAAGTAACCACAAAACCCGATTCTGACAGATGTTCACACACCGCTTTCACGTCAAATGAATTTTGGTTAATGAAAATTAACTAAATCGCTGGAAACTGTTTAAGACAAACCCTTTTGACTTTCAAATCTGTTACAATATAAATTTTACTGATAGACGAGGGGTGGCTGAAACGTTCTGAGCGTAATTCATATCTAGACGCTAATTGGATGTTTTTAACTAACCCGGTAGTACATTTCTACGTATATCGAGGAGGCTGGATATTCTCTGCTGAAAAATTGACAAAACTGGCATCCGTGCTATCACCAAATATCTGAAAGGGACTAACTACAAGAGCCGTCCAACCAGGGCAACAGCGCGTCCAAGTTAATGTTAATGAATGGCACTGACTATCTTAGCGCTAAGAGAGCTTCGAAAATCTAGGGCCTGATGTCACTTTATAGGATCAGACCCGTGAAGGTCCGGGTAAGAATTGATCTTCAGCAACCCATGCTTGTCATAAAAGGCGACTAACGGGATCGGGTGGTCAGGCTCGCTGAGTTGGATAACACAACACCAAACAAAACCAAAACGTATGGGATGATGCTCATTTCTTTGTGCATGTCAAGAGTGCAGCGGAGTTTCAGAGAGGTAGAAAGAGCTTTGAAGGAGATCCCAGTTCAGGGACACCTGGAACTTCAACCACTGAGGAAAGACTTGGTGTTTATAACATGCATGATTGTAGTGCCCGTAGGTCTCGCGAGGCGTAACGTCCGGTACCAGACTGCCGGTGGCAATCGTATATTCAAGAACCTATTCTGGTTCCAAATTGCGCAACCGCCAAATTTGACTTTACCAGACTGGATCAAGTGTACGACCATGCTTGGCTGTCACAGCTGTTGATAGTTGTAATAGTTGGCTACTTTGGGGATGGTTAGATCGGAAATTTGTTATTCCTGCAGGAATGACCGACAACCATGAGACCATTGGAACAGGTAGTTATTTGTTACCGGAAGTATTAAAGTAATCAACGTAAGGTCACGCGAAGTGCCGTGACCTTCTTACGGGATCTATAGTTCACTGACGACTCACCGCTCACCAGTCAATACAGTGGGTAACATGACAGTTTTGACCACTTGGTGGAATGGACTTGGCCTTATCAAGATTTTCATCACGCTTAGGAGATGGTCGGTTAACCGACATGTAGTGCAGCCTGGTTCCCTGGGTCCGGACCCAGGGAACCAGGCTGCATGTAGTGGTGCAGATTTTGACTATGAGGTTACGAAGAAGAGAAGCGCTACTTACTTTAAAGGCAAACATGTGGTCTTCATAGCTGTCCCCGAACACAAACTGGGCGCCTGTGTTAGAGTAACCCAGGACCTCCGTCATCCTCTTTCCCAGCCAATCAAAAGCACCGTACCCCCACGCGGTCTTCAGTATCAGACAGGCGAAGATGTATTGGATCGCCATCCCCCAAAAGACAGGGTGCCAGTTCACCTGTCGAGATCAAGGCGAGGTTCCAGATCTGTTATTTAATTTGATCTTTGTCATTGTCTTTGGGATAGGTGACCACAGTCGACATTATGGCTATCACAATAGCTTGGCAAAGCTGTTGATATTTCACTGCGGATATCACCAGGGCTGGCTATAAGTATAGATCATAGACATCGACAATCGATCACTAAATACCGATCGATTATCGATAAATAGCACAGACGTATCTTTGAGAAGAAATGTAACAAATGTCTGAAAGAAATTTATATATTTCACATCACTGGATTATAACCAAACGTCGTCCTGGGCCCCGTTCCTCAAAGCGTCCGTATCGCTAAGATGATCGTAACTCCCATACTTTAACATAGACTTACGACTGTCGTAGCGCTACGATCGCTTTGAGGAACGGGGCCCTGAACCTAATTTAGAAGCCGACCATGAATAAAGTCCTAAAGTTGTATATTTTGTGAGAAAATTAAAACTTTTGTCGATCACAAATGTGAATGCACGACATTAACGATAACAGAATTTTCATATCGATATTCATTAATATTTCATCCCCTATCGACGATTTTTCAGATTTTTGATCATTTAAGCCAGCCCATATTAATAATAATACGGGGCATTTGTAATGTGCTGAATTCCACACCACGGAGGGGCACTCGGAAAGCGCAACAATGTGATTATTATTACCCTAGATAACCCAAGCTGCATGTTAAGCGCTAGAAGGTTAATAGTCACATGGTTTATTCCACCGGATACCCAGTTTTCTGCTGGGTGAACAGAGGCAAGTTTGTACAAACTCACTTGCCTAAGGTGAGACCACATGTGCTTCGTTGTGGGGCAGGACTGAACTCCTCGAAACTCTCAGGAGCCAAGCTGCCCAACACGGTCACCCATCCAACTGCTCTCCGCGCCCAACGTGGCTTAACTGATTTGTGACCTGCGCTCTACGCACATGACCACACAAATAGATGGGGGATCTTTAGTTATATGTTCAGTTATCCTGAGGGACTGAGCAGGTTATTAGGAACCGGAGACATGTATGTCAGACACATACTGTATTTTCGGCCTTTGCGTTAGGACATCCATGTGTTTCTCAGTTGTAATCCAAAACATCAAAATGTCAAGGGAGCAACGTTTGTGCAAAACCATAGACCAAATATTTCTGTCGTGTAATTGCTAGACGTTTTCTATGTTCAAAACATCCAAGCTAGTCGTAAGATGAATGAGACCCGTGAAGATCCGGGATAGAATTGGTCTTCAGCAACCCATGCTTGTCGTAAGAGGGCACTAACTGGATCGGGTGGTCAGGCTGTCTTACTTGTTTCTTATAGGGTATCTGAACTGCGTAGACCAATGCTATTGACTCAGTCATTGGTCTGTCGGGTCAGATTTGATTATTTCCATATAGTTTGGATATAAATGAGAGTGGCAAAGAAACAAACAAAGTAGTAGCTCGTTCGAGAAAGATCAAATATATTAAAACGTTCATATAAAGCTTCTAATTCTTCTTATTGTTTCAACTGTACTAATAAATTGAAAGAATGGACCTACCATTGTCCTGTTTTTGCTGACGTTTTGCGGGGTTTTAATCCATTAAATACCGCTTATCATATGCATTAGGAATTCGCGATTGGATTCTGGTAGTACAATTGTTCAAGAGACCCTACCCTGGCAGGGTCCGTGCTTGTGATGTACATGACAAATATTAAAGATGCGATGCCAATCAGGGACATGAGGTTCCTAGGTTGGTTCATTCCGATCTCCACCCCCGTGTACACGCCGATAAACACAGCCGCACACACGTACAGAAACCTGGAACACAAACAGTGAGTGAGGGAAGGAAGGCACCCCCGTGTACACGCCGATAAACACAGCCGCACACACGTACAGAAACCTGGAACATAAACAGTGAGTGAGGGAAGGAAGGCACCCCCGTGTACACGCCGATAAACACAGCCGCACACACGTACAGGAACCTGGAACACAAACAGTGAGTGAGTGAGGGAAGGAAGGACGGAGCGAGGACGGATCTGTATAGAGAAGCATGTGCAATGTGAATGACCACCCCACCCTTTAAATTTAGGTACAAAGTAAGTGCCCCCCCCCCCTTTCAATGTTATGTACAAAATAAATGCTCACCTCCCCCCTTTCCATATTTCTAAAGCATATTATTGATTCAAATGTACAAAGTTGATGACGTTGAGTTCGGTACCCCACTTAGACACATTATACTGACTCCGAACAGACCAGTCACTGTTGTACCCATTAATGCCGAGCGCCAGGCAGGGACCAACAAGTACCATATCTTAACGTCTTTTGGTATGACGCGGTCGGGGATCGAACCCGCGACCTTCCGCTCTCCGGGCGGACGCTCTAACGACTACACCACGGAGGCGGTCATATATGTTAAGATACAACGGATATACACATCAACATAAATTAAGCAACACCCACATTTTCGGATATTTGCTTCAGTACAAAATCTGTTGACATTCAGTAGTAGACAGTGGTGTTCTGTGTTTAGATTTGTGCTAGATTTAGACAGACAGATCTGGAAGGTACTGCAGGGTGCTGGTCCCAGGTTCTACTGCCACAGAGAGTATTGTAGACATTACTAAACTGTTCCTTGGAAATATATGTGGAGCAGGCTATTGCTTCTCATCTCACATTACCTATCAAGTTACCTGTAGACGAGCATTCTGTGTGGTGATCATTATACCAAGGGATCGAATTGGTTGACACATGTCATCGTACCCCAAATGCGTAGGTCGATGTTCACGCTGTTGATCACTGGAGTGTCTGGTCCAGATCTGATTATTTACAGACAACCGCCATACAGCTGGAGTATTGCTGAGTGCGGCGTAAAACTAAACTCACTCACCCACAATGATATATTACTAGCGACTTGTATTGATTTGTGAATTTCTTGTCAGATTCAGAATCCATTTGTTAATTACATCACATTTTTAGCTGTTTATTGGTTTCACACATAGTTTATTTTGTGGACTGATTCCTGGGGTCAAATTGGGAATCAACATGTATAACATTGTGTTTCCGTTTTACACTATTGCGCTAATTTGGGGAAATACGGTAGACTACACCATTACATTGTCACCGAACAAGGTTATTTTCCTACTGACCATCTGACTGAAATGGAAAATATCCGGCATCTGTTCCTGCCGTGGTATTGCACGCAGCCTCTGTGGAAGCTGTTGATGACGTTCATGACGGAGCCTCCCCCTATACCCCACAGAATGATGAGAACACCAAGGACCGTGACCACCATCAGTCGGTAGGATCCCTCGTCACCGAATCTGGAATAATGCAGGTGGTATGATGTGAGTGAGCGTTGTTTTATGGCGAGTATTTACACACATTGTGACACTGATCGACATGATGGCACCTGGTTCTTTGATGGAGTATTTCTGTTACTGGTTTTTTATATGCAGCTGGTACGATACTGATAGCCAGTTCCTCTTAATGTTTAAATTTGTGTTCTAGAAAAATATAAACAAGTATCATTGATCTCAATTTGATAAATACATGAGATTTCCAATACTAAGTGAAAAACCAATGCGTACACAACTAACATACCTAAAATACATCACTGACACACCTGTAATACATCACTGACATACCTATAAGACGTCACTGACACACCTTTAATACATCACTGACATACCTATAAGACGTCACCGACACACTTGTAATACATCACTGACACACCTGTAATACTAGTACACCACTAACATACCTAAAATACATCACTGGCACAACTGCAATACACCAATGACATACCTATAATACATACTTGATACACCTGCAATACATCCTTGACACCTCTAATACATCACTGACACATCTCTAATACATCACTCACATACCTGTAATACATCAATGACACAACTGCAATACATCCCTGACACACCTGTAATACATCCCTGACACATCTGCAATACATCACTGACACAACTGTAATACATCCCTGACACACCTGCAATACATCACTGACATACCTGTAACACACCTGTGACACACCCGTAAGACATCCCTGACACACCTATTAAACACCTGTGACACACCCGTAATACATCCCTGACACACCTATTATATACCTGTGACACGCCTGTAATACATCCCTGACACACCTATTATACACCTGTGACATACCTGTAATACACCTGTGACACACCTATTATACACCTCTGACATACCTGTAATACATCCCTGACACACCTATTATACACCTGTGACATACCTGTAATACACCCCTGACACACCTATTATACACCTGTGACACACCTGTAATACATCCCTGACACACCTATTATACACCTGTGACATACCTGTAATACACCTGTGACACACCTATTACGCACCTGTGACATACCTGTAATACATCAGTGACACAGCTATTAAACACCTGTGACATTACTGTAATACACCCCTGACACACCTATTATATACCTGTGACACACCCGTAATACATCCCTGACACACCTATTAAACACCTGTGACACACCCGTAATACATCCCTGACACACCTATTATATACCTGTGACACGCCTGTAATACATCCCTGACACACCTATTATACACCTGTGACATACCTGTAATACACCTGTGACACACCTATTATACACCTCTGACATACCTGTAATACACCCCTGACACACCTATTATACACCTGTGACACACCTGTAATACATCCCTGACACACCTATTATACACCTGTGACATACCTGTAATACACCTGTGACACACCTATTACGCACCTGTGACATACCTGTAATACATCAGTGACACAGCTATTAAACACCTGTGACATTACTGTAATACACCCCTGACACACCTATTATACACCTGTGACACACCTGTAAAACATCCCCGACACACCTATTAGACACCTGTGACATACCTGTAATACACCCCTGACACACCTATTATACACCTGTGACATACCTGTAATACACCCGACACACCTGTGACATACTTGTAATAAATCCCTGACACACCTATGACACACCTGTGACATACCTGTTATACATCAGTGACACACCTATTATACACCTCTGACACACCTGTAATACATCAGTGACACACCTATTATACACCTGTGACACACACCTGTAATACACCCGACACACCTATTAGACACCTTTGACATACCTGTAATACATCCCTGACACACCTATTAGACACCTGTGACATACCTGTAATACACCCGACACACCTGTGACATACCTGTAATACACCCCTGACACACCTATTACACACCTGTGACATACCTGTAATACATCAGTGACACACCTATTATACACCTCTGACACACCTGTAATACATCAGTGACACACCTATTATACACCTGTGACACACACCTGTAATACACCCGACACACCTATTAGACAGCTGTGACATACCTGTAATACACCTCTGACACACCTATTAGACACCTGTGACATACCTGTAATACACCTGTAATACACCCGACACACCTGTGACATACCTGTAATACACCTGTGACACACCTATTACACACCTGTGACATACCTGTAATACATCAGTGACACACCTATTATACACCTGTGACACACCTGTAATACATCAGTGACACACCTATTATACACCTCTGACACACCTGTAATACATCAGTGACACACCTATTATACACCTGTGACACACACCTGTAATACACCCGACACACCTATTAGACAGCTGTGACATACCTGTAATACACCTCTGAAACACCTATTAGACACCTGTGACATACCTGTAATACACCCGACACACCTGTGACATACCTGTAATACACCTGTGACACACCTATTACACACCTGTGACATACCTGTAATACATCCCTGACACACCTATTATACACCTGTGACACACCTGTAATACACCCCTGACACACCTATTATACACATGTGACACACCTGTAATACATCCCTGACACACCTATTATACACATGTGACACACCTGTAATACATCCCTGACACACCTATTATACACCTGTGACACACCTGTAATACATCCCTGACACACCTACTATACACCTGTGACATACCTGTAATACATCGCATATCCGAAGTAGCCGATGTATCCCGCCATGAGGAGGAACTTGATCACCATCCACACCGCCTTCTCATGTTTGGTGTAGGCTGACGTCACAGCTGTCTGTAGAGTCCCCACCCCTCGGGAACACAGGTTACCCCGGTCTTCAGGTTCCTCGGGTTCCTCGGGGGGAAATGGTACCTATGGTCATACACAGACAAGCGCATATCGATGAATCTCAAAATTCGTAGCGGGTAGTGTGGACGAATGACACAAAATGTTGTCTGAATGTTTCAGACCTCTGGTTACCCATTCCTGGTCCAGAGGCTGAGTCGGTTCCTTCAGGTTGTGAACTGGAAGATGTCGGCTCCAAGTTGGTGGCCAAAGTAACCCCAAACGTGAACACTTGGCCTTAGGTGAGGCTTTGGTATTGGAATTTTTCGGGATTGGATTTTGAATCAGATGTTGCTTAATTTATGATTATGTGTATACATAATTTGTCTGAAGTTCAGTTTAAGAATGAAATCCTCGGAATGAATGAATATTGTTTTATGACATTATAGACATTTTTTTAACAGAGTAGACTCGGAATCCATACATTCATATAATGGAGGAGATGAGCTCATGATGACGGATCTCCTCCTTCCCCGTAATTTACGGAATGAGGTTCCTGAAAGGCGTTTAGAAGTTGGAACATGAATGCATGACACGTTTTCTATGGATAACAACTTTCAGAGCTAATTCTAGCTTCTTCATCGGGAATTTTATCTTTAGCTCACAAAATCTACAGAATACGAATTACAAATAAGTTTGGTTTTTTTTTTCCAAATCAAAGGTCGATAGGTTGGTATATGTCGATCTATTCCGAAAGATTGACATGAAATATCTACTGACCCAATATTTTTACCGTTACTGTTATAAACTGTTCATAGTTCGCACAGTTCACTCACTGTTCATAGTATACCTACATTTCCGTTTCTCTCACAGTCCGAGCTGTCATTCTCGAACGCCGGGTTAACCAGGACCGACATTTTTTTTTCTGTAAGGCTTTTTTCAGGCATCGTCTTCACATCTGCATCCTCCATATTGCTGAATGCAAATAAAACTACGTTATAGGTGAGGCTGCTCGGTCCGTACTTATTTCAATGTTTCCCATATTCCGCCACCCAGTGAATTTTTAATCCAACGTGATAAAATATGATGTTTCAACTTTCCAAGCCCCTATGTACAGTTATGCTCTGCTGTGATAAAAAGTATACACTAACCTTGTACACTCATAAAAAAACAGGCCTTTCTACATCTACATCAATTTACAAAATGTTTTGGAAGCAAAGCGACTCAATCTACATCATCAGCTTATCTAAATACTGTAACCAAGAAAACCCCGTGAAGATAGAATTGGTCTTCAGTAACCCATGCTTGTCTTAAGAGGCGACTAACGGGATCGGGTGGTCAGGCTCGCTGACATCGTATCCCAATTGCGTAGATCGATGCTCATGCTGTTGATCACTGGGTTGTCTGGTCCAGACTGGATTATTTACAGACCATCGCCATATAGCTCGAATATTGCTGAGTGCGGCGTAAAACAACAAACAAACAAACCAAGAAAAAAGACAATATTTACACGATTAGTGATTTTTTTCATTTGTTTTTGACTGTTAGTTAAGTGTGGAGATCAGAAAAACATGAAATAATATGGATGGCTTAAATGTCAACGATTGTGTGCAGTATTTCGAGTTTCTGGGCCAGAGTACAATGTATCCGCGCCCGTGATCACATTTGACGTAGGTACTCAAGGAACAAAGCGTATCATTGTATCCACATTTCTTAAAGTTACGAGACTGTTCCCGTAATTGTGGACGAACTGCAGGTCGCCTACAGCAGAGCCCGTCTGTCTTTAAACGTCGACGAACGGTGCTCCTGGATATCCTTACATTGTTAACATTGAAGTGTTCTGACTGAAGATCTGCTGCGTTAAGGAACCTGTTACGTAACACAGTGTTAGTCATGTGCCTATCATCTCCGACTGTTGTGACTCTGGGGCGACCTGGTCGACGTGCACATTTCACTGACCCCTTGACACTTACAATAGCACTCTGACTCACATTAAAGCGGACAGCAACCTGCCGCTGAGTTTGACCAGATTCCAAAAGGCCTATAGCCTGACCCCTTTCAGCAAGTGTCACAAAACGTCTCATTTTAAGCTGCGACATTAAGTAGCAGGTGGCTTTCCATTTGACAATTTGAATAAAAAATATGCCATTTGTAACAGAATGTATCGGACGTTAAAGAACGTAATAATGATATTTCAACGGTCTGGTGTGTCTTTCCATACTGTTAAGAGAGTTTGTAAAACATTCAGTTGTATATATATTTCAAACAAAAACGAAGATTTTACATCTTTTCAGAAATGTATTGTTACCAATAGCTTGACCCTTCATTAATGACGCCGAGTATATATACATTATACACACAATAGTTCGTCACGTCTTTAATCGTTTTGATAAAAGTGAGTGAGTTTTTACGCCGCTTTTAGCAATATTCCAGCAATATCACGGCGGGGGACACCAGAAATGGGCTTCATACATTGTACCTATGTTGGGAATCGAACCGTGTCTTCCGCGTCATGAGCGTACGCTTTAACCGCTAGGCTACCCCACCGCCCCGTTTTGATATGAAATATATTATGACAACGTTTACAGCTTATAAACACCCATCAACTTTTGAAGCTATCATTTTATTTTAATATAATTCTTAGCAATTATGTAAGACCTGCACACGTGATACAATATAATATTCAATCGTAAGTCGTCACGGAGATTACACTGGGTTAAGAAATACCATTAATCCTAAATCATGAGTATTTGCATATTGTCTGTCTGTCTGTCATTTTAGCGAGAATTATTGCTTTTCACTGTGGAGAATAAGCTAATGAACAAACCATTACTTGGTTTCTTTTCAATAGAGAAAAGTTTAAGAATATGTCTATTATGTAACTCCGCTGTAGAAGATGAAATCCACTTCACGTTTGTGTGCCCAAATTATGTTGATTTAAGAAAACAATATATCCCAAAAAATTTTATGTTAAAATATCCTACAACTGCCTTTGTTTCCATTCTATCCTCTTAAAATGAAAATGTGATAAGTAATCTAGCGCATTATGTAAAACATGCTGTTTTCTTAGAAGCAATATTTTATCTGAACTGCAATTTTTGTGAAATGCCTGTAACATGTGCTGTATACTTGTATAAACTTGCAAACCACAAATGAGCTTCACACACTGAACCCATGTGGGGAATCGAACCTGGGTCTTCGGCGTGACGAGCGAACGCTTTAACCACTAGGCTACCCCACCGCCCCCCTAGATTTTCGAAGCTCTCTTAGCGCTAAGATAGTCGTAAGTTAATGTTAATGTATGGCACTTACGACTATCTTAGCGCTAAGAGAGCTTCGAAAATCTAGGCCCAGGACTTGTATCGTTGTTTGAGATTAACATCATATTCAACAGTATTCCGGGCACATCACGATGCGTCAGCTGAAGGTGGGAGGAAGACCGACGCGATGCGGGTGTTGGACTTGTACCACTTTGATGAGTCCCCACGAACAGCGGTATGGTGCCGACAAACCTAGAACACCCGTGAAGATCCGGGTTGGAATTGGTCCAGCATCCCATGCTTGTCTTATGTGGCGACTAACGGGATCGGGTGGTTAGACTCGCTGACTTGGTTGACACAAGTCACAATCTACATCATAAGCTTAATATCTAAATACTGTTACCAAGAAAACCCCAGTGAAGATAGAATTGGTCTTCAGTAACCCATGCTGGTCGTTAGAGGCGACTAACGGGATCGGGTTGTCAACTTTGTGTACTGGTGATTCGGTTTTTTTTTGTTATTGTGAGAGCGTCGGTTCGTGGCCCGCATGAGACTGAACCCATGAAACTACTAAAACTTGAACATCACTGAGGAAGGTGAATCACAAATATAACATTTGTTACTTAATTTATCTTGCATATGCTACAGTCACCGTAGAACCAGTCAGTCTGTAAAATTAGGAACAACAGAGAGAATGAACTCAGTCAATATGGATAACATGATAGCGTGACAACCTGAAACTTCTGTTTTCGTAATATTATCTTGAAAACTAACTTTAAATCTTTCAAACATTTATCTTCATATTTCAGTCAGTTGGCACAATCACGGTCTTCTTTAATAAATAAATTTAGAAATTGTGTAAATCAGTTATTTCAGAAATAGTCTTAATTAGTCATATTACAAAAGGACAGACGTTACACATTGTCTGTTACACATCAAGAGATTTGCGTCACACATCCATTATTTCATGACAAGGTTAAAGGGACACTACCTACTGGGGCCGGTTGACTATTTGGAGTCGAGGATTAGTTCGCTATGTTCAACTGAGAATAATCTTCCGTAGAATAATCATCATATGGTATATTCATCTGCGCCATGACATGTGATGTGGCGGTAGAAATGGTTCTGGAATAATATAAATTTAACATTCCGGACCGGCCAACTGACTCGAGCCATGCATCCCTTTCCTCATAGTTAACGTGGACATATTATTAGCAGGAAACACACTTACCGTTCTCAGCTGAATTCCGTGAATGGTATTAACTGTAAAACCACCCGAGATCGGCCTTGTGTTCAGGGTTGAACATGGCCGCCTGATAACATCCTTGAGGTCAGGGAGACTAAGTCGGTCAATGATAAGTATGTATGTCCTACCCCCAACACACCCCACGATCCTCTGTAGCCAGGGAGGGTATTGCCAGACAACACCAGTCGCAGTATAACCTGTCAACTCTATAATTCAGGGATGGTGGGTAGCTTAGTGGTTAACGTGTTGGTTAGACACGGCAAAGACCGGGTTCTATTCCCTAAAACTCCACTCAGCTAATAGCCCAGCGGATAAGTGATCAAATTGTGAAAAATATATAAAAATCTGGGAGGCCTCTCTATCTTTATTTAATAAGAAGGTTATAAGCTACAATCATGCCAAATTTCATGCTTGTAACACAAAGTGCACAATTCAGTGAAAAGAACTGGACTTATCCGCTGGGCTATAATTGGTATAGGCTCACTAACAAACTGTATTGCAATATATTGCGATTCAGGTATCCGTATTGTCATATATTGGGAACTTAAGTGTTAGACAGGGAGTGACCCTAATTGTGCATGTCAATCCTATTTCCTACACTATAAGTCCCTACACATATATATGTTATGGTTCTGATAACAGCAGTCTCAAAATCAGGTTGCATAATCATGGATTCTATTTTCTTTTCATACAATGTATAGTATTACAGCATGCCGTTTTGTCTTCGAATAACGAAGGAAGACACTTGTAGTGAATGGAAGTATGCGTAGATTTTAAATTAAACCATAAAGATAATCACGAAAACTTCATATATGTTCTTTACCTAATATACCGGTTCTCAGAAGAAAATATTGCAATACATATCGTTTGAAAGGCTTATTGCGATATACCGATATACCGGTAAAACCGTGCAGTCCTATAGCAAACAAACGTCAACACTTGAGGACCATTCGTTATTCGTGGATAAAGAGTCTTGAGATATCTTTTGATATCTTACTGCCAAAATATTTTAGCCTCAGATTTTTACACAACACATATATATTTGTTAGCTGGGCATGATAGATGTTTATGACATATCAAATGTTCCAGTTCGTGTTTCAGGGAAAACATGGTGTTTTGTTTTGTTCCCATAGCTGGAAATGTCCCTTCGGGTCGAATGGAAAAATGTCGCTATTGGGGATGGTCGGAAACACCCTTGAGTCGGCGGGGCGTTTTTGTTGGTGTTGTGCAACAGATAGCGATGGACACGTTAATGTCCAAGACCACATACTGCGTCATCGGTTACGTGTGACCTTAATCTCGAGGGTATACACTGACATATCTTAGGTCATAACATGTATCGTTGGTTATCGAATATATGAATTTGGTGGACAGATTACGATATCAGTTTTAAAGTTGTAAGGTTCTCTGATGTGTGTAACATGATGTGTTCACAGTACCGAGTTAGCCAATCCCCGTCAGGTCACTGTAATGGGTGTTGTCAGGTTGGCTGTTTAACGCCGAAATCAGCAATATTCCAGCTATATAGTGGCGGTCTGTAAATAATCGAATCTGGACCGGACAATCTTGTGATCAACAACATGTGCCTCGATCTAAGCTATTAGGATACGATGGCATGTGTCAACCAAGTCAGCGAGCCTGACCACCAGACCCCTTTAGTCGCCTCTTACGACAAGCATGGGTTTCTAAAGATCTATTCTAACCTCGATCATCACGCGTCACTTTAATGGAAGTTAACACTAAGGATTGATACTGCATGTAGCTTGAAACATTTATCAGCCAGATATTAGGACGATGAGATAACAAGAGATTGACACTAGGGGTATCATACTGAGGCTTGTACAAGGAAGTGAGCCGTGTTATTATATAACTTTAGTATATATCAGGTCGTATCAGTGAAACACAGTAGCAGGTGTACGGTGCTGGCAAACCTACAATCATAACTGAATCCTGGTACAGCTAAGGGACGTAACTATATATCATTGCTAATAAGGAGTTTCAAACAAATTATTGTGAAATCAAATAAAACTTTGCATAACACAATTTGAAACTGCAACAATTTGTAGATTGTTGAAATTTGAGTACATGTACATCTTTCTCAACTAGGTTACAATTGGTCTCACCTTCTGAAATGTAAGGGGCGGTGGGGTAGCCTAATGGTTAAAGCGTTGGCTCGTCACGCCAAAGACCCGGGTTCGAATCCCCACATGGGTACAATGCGTGAAGCCCATTTCCGGTGTCCCCCGCCGTGATGTTGCTGGAATATTGCTAAAAGCGGCGTAAAACCAAACTCAGTCAGTCAGTGTTAAATCTAAATGTGTAAGCATAGAAGCTTAAACTTAATGTGTTCAGTACTAAGATTGACTCTTCCTTCTGTATAATTTCGAAGCAAATAGAAATTTGACATATTGTATGTTGTTATTCTGAATATAAGTGGATATTGATAGTTTTTATACTTAACAGGTCAACTAGTATTTTATTACTAATTCATCAAAGTGTCCCTGTGTAATGAATTAGATCATTTATATATGCAATGTCATTTTGATTCCACTCTTTAAAGAAAATAGGCTTACCATCATTGCACCAGACTGATTTTGGTCATCACGCGGCCTAACTAATGGATTAACATTATTAAAACAATTTAAGCTTACTGACCACCATAATATCCTTTTAACAGTTATGAATTTTTGAATGTGTTTAGTGAAATATATGCAGCAGCATACATGTAAATTAGATTATTTTATATTCACTGAATTTTCGAAAAATATACAGATATGCACATGTTATACCATTTACACTCACCACCAGGTGAGGCGAGGTGAAATTGGGTTTAACGTCGTGCTTGAGAATATTTCGCTCATATGACGACGTGCATGCGTGTGTATGTGTATGTGCGGCTGCTTGTACTAGCCCAGACTTAAGCTGGTTTTATAGTTCTAGCCCACTGAGATACCATGCCGCACTGAAGCATGAATACCCCACTCAGATACATTATACTGACTTCGAGCCGACCAGTCCCTGTTGTACCCATTAATGCCGAGCGCCTGACAGGGACCAACAAGTACCATATTTTAACGTCTTTTGGTATGACGCGGTCGGGGATCGAACCCGCGACCTTCCGCTCTCCGGGCGGACGCTCTAACCACTAAACCACGGAGGCGGTCTCACCACCAGGAGACTAAACATATTTGGACGGAATGACAATTGATTCCTTGTGTTGTCAGGTTTAGATCTCCAGATGAAGGGTACAGATGTTGACATTTTCTTTTACAGTTTTCGATGGGCTTGGTATCCTACAAAGGGGTAGCCTAGTGGTTAAAGCGTTCGCTCGTCACGCCGAAAACCCGGGTTCGATTCTCCACATGGGTACAATGTGTAAAGCCCATTTCTGGTGTCCCTCGCCGTGATCTTGCTGGAATATTGCTAAACGCGGCGTAAAACCATACTCGCTCACCGATATACTACAATACAAAAGATTAAGCTTCCGTAGCAACAATGATTTTAGTTCATCATCACCACACAAACGTCGGGGGTCTCCTTGCCCAGATTTTCCCTATTTTCATCTTATCAAACTAGGTTTTTAAATCAACCATGTCAGTCATAATTGTAATCTTCCATTAACGTATGGTTTTTACGTCATCAATATCAACTTAGCTTTTTCAGTATCAACAACGCTGTACTTACAGACGTTATCTTCGGATCCTTTATGTAAAGGATCCTTTCTGTACATTACTGATGCAGATATTTTATCATATCCAACTTGCCACCCCACCCCCAACCCCTCCAACACACACACGCACACACACACACAAACACACACATGCACGTACACGCGGGGACCTCTTGCAACTTTGAAAAGCGCAGGCGCAACCTTGAAGACTTGATACTACTTAAAACAGAAAAAAGACGTTGCCACATTAACATTATACATTACATCACTGAATTAGTTCTTACACTGCTGGACGCTTGTTGACGTAGCTCTGTTTATATCACCTGAATCAGAGATAACATATGGTACGCACTTCAACTACGACACTGACGTATGATATAGGTTACACGAGTGCAGGAACACGCTACGGTCGCGATGAAGACGACGATGAAGATTGTATTAGCGCTTCAGGTTGATGACATTTCGCGCTATTTCGTAAAGGCGAATTGAATTTCACTGGGATGCCCATTGGAAACAGATCCAGATGCAGCCTTGTCATACAACCATGATATCAAGCCTTGTATGTATTTAACAACATTATGTGTTAATACACTCTTCAAAATAAGAAAAGCATAGGTGATTTTCAGAATATTTGACTCATGAAGCTGCGGCAAAAACAATACAAATATACTGTTTCTTTCAAAAACGTCATCTTTGTGTGATTGAAAACAGCTTCAGCGCCAAAAAACGCGGCAATTTTAGCTTTCCCCTTGTTTCAGAAACGTTTGAAGAAATATTGGCCAAAACGTCACCAAGAAAACATGCAAAGTTAAATGCACGTGCAAGTAAGACAAGCATGCGGTATAGATCACTGTGAAAAGGCAAACAATGTGTGTAATTTTGTCATTCTTTTTTTGCCTGGAAAAGAGGAAGTCATCATGCCACGATTGAGTGCCGTCAATCGAAACATTGCTATAGGTCGCCTTGAAGCTGGGGAGTCGCAGTCTGCAGTTGTCCGACATTTCATCAGAGCACCATATGTCGTTTCCTGCAGACCAATTCCGCCCAAGATCGCCCGTAAAAGCGGCGGTCCAAGAGTTACCACCCAAGTCCAGGACCGCTACACCCGGGTTGCTCACTTGCATCATCGTCCTGCCACAGCCGCGGAGACTGCACAACGCATACCTGGTTTGAGAAGAATGTCCGACCAAACTGTCAGGAATCGATTGCGTGATGTGAGCATTCGACCAAGAAGGCCAATTGTCGCCCCTGTTTTGAGAGACTTCCATCGGTGCAGTCGCTTTCGGTGGTGTCGTAGATTCCGGAACAGGGACCTTAGAAACTGGAGGCGAGTCTAGTTCAGTGATGAATCATGATTTCTTCTTCACCGGCGAGATGGAAGACATCGTGTTTATCGTCGGAGAAATGAACGTCTTGCCCCTACTTGCATTCGACAGGTCCGCAGATTCGGTGGAGACAGTGTCATGGTGTGGAATGGGATATCCAGCACACAAAGATCTGATTAATTGGTGGTTCAGGTGAAATCGACAGAAAATCGGTACATCAGGTCCTTGCACGTCACCTGCTTCCGATTATGGACCGACTGAGGGAGTTGTGCCAGCACGACAACGCTACTTCACCTACAGCACGCATCACAGTCCGCTACCTTGCCAATTCTTACGTCAATGTCTTGGCATGACCTTCCCGATCACCAAATCTAAACCGGATAGAACACCTATGGGATGAACTAGAACGACTTTACGGCAACGTCAAAACGTGCCTTAGACACTTCCATAACTGGCCATCTCATTGCAGGAGAAGCGGAGAAGCGTCTGTGCCAAGACGGCGCCGAGCACCACACTAGTCATTCTGAGATCGTTCGCGAGTTATTCGCAATTTATCTAAAAAATTATTGAAATTCCGATAACAATTTGTTTCGTTACATATTCACGTATGTCACTTACACAAACGTATTTTCATACATGTTCTGAACTTGGACATTGAAAACATCATATCTCACACCTCGGATTATCTGATAAACATGCGTCAACGACGGACAGCAACCAGTTTCAGTTATGATGAAGTAGAACTCGTTGGGCAAAACGAAGAAAAGACATAATAACAGTTAATACTAGGTAAGAGGACCTCAGAAAAACAGTGACACCAGGTGTCTGAGTCGTGCACTTACCATACCTTGACCATCGGTTTCTGTAAATGACGTCAAGTTAAAGGCAACAGTGCGAGAACAGAAGTGATTTCATTGGTCCAGTGATGTGCTGACCATGGTCACACGGTGACATTAAAAGAGGGACTAACATCACGAGGGTCAGATAACTCCTGATAACAAACCACAGATTCATGACTCCCTAACGTTCCACGATCTCTGGGAGTAAGGGGCTCCAAGTACACGTCCTTAATCATTATCAGCCAGCACCAAGTAGTGTTGTGAGTCGACCACACACATACTAAAGGGAGTAGGCAGTGCTATACCTACATTGGAATGTACTCGAGTCTCCCACACAGTGAGGATTCTGTGCTACAACAGGTTCATTGTGATCATCGTGCAATACGATTTAAAGGCACTGTATCACACCACACTTCTCTAAAAAGAAATAATGCATTTCTGTCAGTAATACTATCAGCCATCAGGCAAGCTACCATATAATCTCCCCAAAAAAAAAATATTTAGATTACAATAATAAAGTTACAAGTTCGAATGAATTAATGCAATGTTTTAATCTACTCTCGCAGCCCTCTACCGACCGAACATTATTTCAAGAGAACCCCATAGAGTTATGTCCCTTGGAGCGCTCTTCACGAATATCCTATGCACAAATAGTCATTGAAACCAGTTCGGCAAACACCGACAACACCGCAAGCGACAGTTTTCGATGTACGGAGCAATTGTTTACATTCCATATATGGCAAGTGTTCTCTGTTTGGAAGCTGTTCGCCTCGAAGTTTGAATTATCGATTTCAGGCAGGTCGTACGGGATAATGCGTTATTTCTTGTATGAATAGGAAGCTAAAGTTAGTGCATATGCCCCAATATATATGTCAAAAATGTGTGACATTGTGTCTTTAATGGATCGCACCAACAGGCAAGGTGACCTGGTAGATGTTTGTGTCATCGCAGGATGCTGATTGTGATTGGTGATCTAGGTTGTTGCTCATTATATCAGGAAGTGGTATATTTGGTCCAGACGTAATTTACATCCTGCTTTCATGTAGCTGAAAAAACAAGTGTGAAAACAAACACAAAACATCCACCAAGCGATCAATGTTATGAACAAAAACACAAAAGACAAGCTGGATTGCGAGATGATTATATCGGTACACCAATCAGATTGCAATCATGATTAGATCGCTACACCAAGCAGATTGCAATCACGAGCAGAGCATGAGTAGATCGCTACACCAATCAGATTGCAAGCATGAGTAGATCCCTACACCAATCAGATTGCGAGCATGAGCAGATCGCTACACCAATGAAATTGCGAGCATGAGTAGATCGCTACACCAATCAGATTGCAAGCATGAGTAGATCGCTACACCAATCAGATTGCCAGCATGAGTAGATCGCTACACCAATCAGATTGCGAGCATGAGTAGATCGCTACACCAAGCAGATTGCAAGCATGAGCAGATCGCTACACCAATCAGATTGCAAGCATGAGCAGATCGCTACACCAATCAGATTGCAAGCATGAGCAGATCGCTACACCAATCAGATTGCAATCATGAGCAGATTGCTACACCAAGCAGATTGCAAGCATGAGCAGATCGCTACACCAACGAGATTGCAAGCATAAGTAGATCGGTACACCGATCAGATTGCGAGCATAAGTAGATCGGTACACCAATCAGATTGCGAGCATGATTAGATCGGTACACCAATCAGATTGCGAGCATGGTGATAACATTGTATTCTAAACTCTCCTACGAATAGTTCTATGTAGCATTTCCTTTTGATATTATAGGTCCGTTTTGGGTGATTGTAAGTAACAGCAGATTGAGGCGCTCGTGACATCCCAAGTCTCCTTCTCCTACTGGCAATCAAGCATCGAAGTTTCAACATAGGAATTTTCCGCTATTTCTCATGGTGTGCCTGCGGCAATTCTTGCAGATTTAGAAGAAACCTTTGCTAGAACCTTTCGTCCAACGATTATCCAGAAAATCGTCAAAGGAGATCATGTCGTGTCTCCTTGTGACCCGTGGTAATGTTTTGACAGAGTTGTTTTGCTAATTGACGAAGGTGGGTGAGAAGAATGGATGAGGCCATCCATGAATATCGACCGACCGGCAAGGGGATGGTTATCAACATGTGGCACGACGGCGATAGAGAGTACTTAGTGTTTGCAAAGTTGACCATTAAGTGTTCCGGGGACTGGAGTAAAATCCAAAACGCCATCACTGAGCCCCCACCAAAGGGTTCAGCTGCATCCATAATCCCCTGGTGATATGCCTCTTTACGACGCTTCATACGCGACAACGGCTATTGGTAACGTGTAGAAGATAGCGACGTTCATCAGACCAATGAACCCTACGCCATGCGGTTTTCACGACAGTGGCAACGATTGTTATAATACAAGGTAGCCATTAGGTTTTCAAGTATAGTCTCAGGTGTTAATACAATTTACAAAATGATTTTCCTACAGTGATAAGACAAGATGCTATGTGTGGTCCTTGTGATCAGAACAACATTCTGGTTTGAAGGACATTTATACAACGTTTCGATATAAATATACATGGTGAAATCACACATTTCACAATGTTTTCAGATTTGTTTATTTATAAAATCATAGCATACAATACAGAAAGCTAATATCAGTGTATACATGATATGCATCAAGTTTTGTATAAGGATTAAGATCTGGATTTCATACACTTTCGGTTTAACCAGCGAAAGCTTTAACCACTAAGCTACACCGCCTTCAGGCAATTTCCCTGAGATATGTTAATACATCCAGATTACTAATATACAATTGGTGTTGTAATACAATCCCTCGCCATTATAGAGTCACACTATGATGTAATAGTGTTAAAAATATGTGATCCCTTGGGTTACATTCTATAACTTACTCACGAATCCCCACTGTAACTGAAATGGTGTTGATTTTGAAATTATCTAATAATTTATTTAACTAAGATTTTCGTCTGAATTCCTGCTCTAAAAGTCTTTAAAACTGATCTTCCTGCATCGGTCCAGTAATTGAACTAAATACGAAATACGTTTCCTCTAGAGCAGTTTCGGTTTTGGAATTTTCTGGACTGGTGACAATGTCAACATACAAAATATATTGCTTCACAAAAACACCTGATTCTGTCATCAACGTTTAAATGTGATCCTACTTCTGGAGGAGCTGTCGGGTTCTAATCTCGTAATTGTTTCTACTTTGTGGTGGTTTTGTAGTATAATATATATAATACCATTCTTTTAACCCACGAAGTAATGTGTCATACATCACCGGAATAAAGACGGTATTGCAGGTGCAGCAAGGTCTCGTTTTAAGCCCTGCTGGATCTTTACTGATTTTAATTCATAGAGTTCAAAGTTGAAGGAAACTTCATACAAGTGTCACGTTGGGTCGACCCATCAGCTTAAGGCGCCGAAATTCGCTGTGTGTGTGAAATTCGAGTTGCTTCCCCTAGACCTGCCAAACTTCTACGATCTGGAGTTCTAATCCCGATCTGCCTTTATCATGTTTCCAAATATTTCTTCATACGTCGTGATCTAACTGAAATACTCATCAATATACATAAAACATACAGCCTGTCCAGGACACTAACATGAAAATATCTGTTGAAATGTGTCATAAAGAGTATATACATGGATCACTGACCTGTGCTAACTTGAACATGACAGCAAGTGTTAAACATCTCCTCCTTTCTTATACCTCATTAACCTGTACAGTTCTTATCCGTTTATCCCTTTGCAAACTCTCTGGCTTCAATCAACTTATTGCCAAGTTAGTTGTGGTAGTTCTGCTGTTACTGTATTTTCTTTGTTGCACGCTGTAGACATACATCTGCCTCTCCTACAACGTAAATATTTTGTAAAGTGTTTTGACTGTGCCTTACAAGTCATAAACTTTGTGTACTTAATTGTAAAATAATAAAATAGAAAATAAACGAGGGAAATTTCATCTAACTCGTCTGCAAATCGAATCTGTAATGAATTTCCTTATTGTCGGTTTTCAAACCGTTTTCAACATTATCTCCATTATACAGATAAGGTGAGTGAGTGAGTTAAGACTTAACGTCACATCGACAATATTTCAGCCATATATACGGAAAGATCTAAATATGATCAGTTTATTTGTAACCACATTCTTTTCAGAAATCCAAATGACACTTCTTTCAATAGTTTCAGTGTAAAATCCTGCATCGCATTTTCAGATTAAGACATTTAATATGAATATATTTATAGTTTCTGAATAAATGTAGAAGAAGCTGCATCTCATATACTGATTGTCAACAAGGCGCTCACCATTGGTTTAAGACCAAGGCATAATGCACCTACAACTTGCAGGACTAACATGCACGTAAATATAGGGTTTAAAAAAGTAATTTAATACACCGAAATTCTTCTCCTTCATATTTCTTCATACAAAGTAATTCTTATTTATTGTGACAATATTCCACGTTAATTAATTGACAATATATCGAGACAGAGTTTACAAATATCGATCATCCTGCCAGGTAATATATTGCACACTACTAATGACTGATAGAATGAATAAATAAGGACGTGCAGCTGTATATACAAATATATATAATAGTCAAGATTTTCACGATAAAAAGATATGGTGAAGGAGCGGCACCTTGTATAACGGCCAAGACTTAGTGGCTTCAGAAATCTTGTTGTGACAGGAAACAATGCAGAGTAAACCTTTCGCAAAGATTCGTTATCGTTAGATCATTCGTTTTCAAATATATGTAACAGATATTGCAGTTACGGTTTCATACAAAGTGAAACTTTTGATTAACAAGTTAAGCTTTCAAAACTTCGTTCATATATCCCCATCCGCAATACCATGTTCTTAGCTTAAGTCATCACAGTATCGCTTGTTCACAGGTCTCCAGTGTAGAAAAGACCTGCAACAGACAGACACGATACGTCAAAGAATACCATTGGAATATACACTGGTAGGTTGTGAAGTACTACCAGGACGTACGGAAACATGATAAGACCACATCATTCAAAGAATGTTTCTCATTGCCAGGGTTTTAATCGTAGATTTTTTGCTGTTTTAGGTTTGGCTAAATTTGCTGATAATCGCCAGTTGCAAATAGAATGATGTAAATCCTGCTGGGCCCATGCAGATAGCACAGGCCCTGTAAGTCCCCATGTTATTATTAATGTTTTACAGATTAAAGATGAAAATGCAGCAGAGAGGGTTCGGGTGATCCTGGCACAGTCATCCTGGTAAGGCTCACCATCAGCTCAGGGCCCTTGCCCCCCTCTACACGCAGCCCAGACAGCGAATGGGACTTCTCCCAGGAAACACCCACCAAGAACTTTCCGGAGAATATGAAGGCTCCCCAACACTGCAGCCTTCTGCATTACCCAGCGTGTCAGAAGGGCTGTGCACCCGGTGGAGAACCCGGGCACTCTTGCGGCCCAAACCAAGGGCACCGAGAACAATGGGGAGCCTGACGACAGTGTATTATTATTATTATATGATATTTATATAGCGCACATATCCAGGCAACTAGTGCATGCTCAAGGCGCTGGTAGTTTTCCCTCAATCATTGGATGTCAATCTCAACGGCACATCGTATTATCAATCTCAACTCCCTGGGGAGTATACAACTCTTGCAGCCACTAGGCGCACCGAGTTCTTGAGGCTCTCTCATCCTTACGAGGTACCCATTCACAGCTGGGTGGACTGGGACGCATAGTCACAGTACTTTGTCCAAGTTCACTGCACGTTGCTGTACCCGCTTGTTCCTTAGCATGGTGATGTCCCTTTAGCTGTTGGCGATCTACTGCCTGTTTTTATATTGTACTGTTACATATAATGATATATACTGAGTCAAAAAAAAAACTTCACAAAATGTAATTTGAAAAATAATGAATAATCTTTCTCTGATGATACATCTATGTATCCGAAATGGGATCCCTATCTTTCGACTCTAGAAAAACGTTAGCAAAACCCACTCAAACCCATCCATTCGTCGTGCAAATGACGTTAGTGCCAAATCAGGTTTTGCACGTGCAGTCGATCACGTGATCTTCGCATCGAAGTTTTCTTCATATGCACGTGTTTGCATTGGCCTCAAGAATTGAAAAAACACTTTTAAACCACAGTTCTAACGGTACTTGAAATGCCACGATTGTCAAATGGGCAACGTGAACGTGCCGTTGGCATGTTGCAAGCGGGAAGATCAGTTATTGACGTCGCAAGAGCAATGGGATGCAACCGTCGTACTGTGTATGACTTGCGAGGTCGTCTACAACAAACTGGCACCACTTCTGATCGCCCAAGGTCGGGTCGTCAACGTGTGACGTCACGAGCAGAAGACCGTCAAATCGTCCTACGTCACCTACGTGACAGATTTCTGCCGGCTACACGAACCAGGGCTGAGATGTTTAGAGGTCGACTGTCCTCACAGACCATTCGAAATCGATTGCGGGCTGCCAATCTCCATTCTCGACGTCCATATCGTGGGCCAATATTGACGCCGTTTCATCAACGTCAACGTCTGCTGTGGGCCCAACGTCACCTCCGATGGACCCAGAGAGACTGGAATCGAGTCGTCTTTAGCGATGAATCCAGGTTTACCCTCAGATTCGCGGACGGCAGGCATAGAGTCTGGAGATGACGTCGTGAACGGTATGCCCAATGTTGTGTACAGGAAGTCGACAGATTCGGGGGCGGAAGTTGCATGGTGTGGGGTGCTTTCTGTGGAAACAACCGTTCCCGACTTCTGGTCATCCGTGGAAACCTCACAGCTGCTGCTTACCGCGACCAGGTGCTCACCCCTGAACACGTTCCATTCATGGCGGCTCATGGCCCAGGTCTACAGTTCCAGCATGATAATGGTCGGCCGCATACCGCGATGTTGACACGAATTTCCTTCAAAACGCCGGAATCAACGTCATGGACTGGCCATCGAGGTCCCCTGACCTTAATCCAATAGAGCACGTTTGAGATGCACTTGGGAGATGGTTTCGTGGTCTTAGGAACCAACCTCAGAATTTGCAAGAACTTGGCGCTGCCTTGCAAGAGCAATGGCGCAGAATCTCCAACCACGTGTTCACAAGCATCAGGCAGTCGATGAGGAGACGGTGATTGGCAGTGGTGAATGCGCGGGGCGGCCATACACGATACTGAACTGAGAAATTTCGCATTTTTATTCTTGTGACTTGACATTCTGTATACCCATGTTTTGGAACGGCGGCGTAGCCTAATGGAACTGATTATGGCACTGTCAGTGTATCGAGTACATCACACAGATCTCAGCAATGAAATAACAATTTAACCATCTTACCATCTCTTGTTCTTTTATAGTGCCCTGAAGAAAGAATGTGAAGTTTCATTTTTGACTCAGTATTATGGTTACATACTGGACTTAAAACAACCTCTCCGAGAGTCTTCTTATTTAATAGACCTTTGATGACCTTTTATAATACCAACATGCATTTACTGGGCATACAAAGCTTTTGTAGTCACAGTGTGGCTGAAATACTTCCAAAGTGACTCTAAATTTTACTCACTCACTCACTCACTCTTGGAACTTGAAAAAACGAGGAAAATAAGCTGTCAATGAATACAGACAAGAAAGGTAACAGAAAATAGCAATTAAGGCCAGTATATGTAGACAAAAAGGTCAACTAGAATCGAGGAAACGGTTACTGATGATAGAGAATATATATAGTAAAATTAGCCCAGAAGCACAAAGAAACAACGAAAGAGTACACGAGAACAAGTTTGTAGATTGTGTTTTAATGTAAACCGTATCTTCTGATAGCGTGGGGCGGTGGGGTAGCCTAGTGGTAAAAGCGTTTACTCGTCACGCCGAAGATCCGGGTTCGATTCCCCACATGGGTACAATATGTGAAGCCCATTTCTGGTGTTTCCCGCCGTGATATTGCTGGAATATTGTTAGAAGGAGCGTAAAACTAAATTCACTCACTCACTCAGATAGCGTAACTGCTTGATTTATAACTCCCCCGAAACCCAAACAATGTGTAAATTTATACTTATCCCAAATTGCTTGTTAGGGGTAATAGGCTTAGCAATGATACAGATTTTCGCGAATCCAGTGGTAACCATCACAAACACATGCAAAGACAAGTAAATTATCCACCTTAAAAAACACTGGATCATATAGTTACAGTGATGTACCCACCTGCAATGCACGCTGTCAAAAAGCAGGCCACGTTGCCTGCGATCATGGCTCTCAAAGCTAATTGCGTCAGGTCCCCGCTCCTAGATGGAGCCATGGCTCCTAATCCTCCAATCTGGATCCCCATGGAGCCGAGATTGCTAAACCCACACAAGGCATAAGTTGCGATAACCTGTGACCGTTTCTGTAAGAATGAAAATGTTTATCTTCTTTTAGTGTTTTCCTTAGACATATGATCTAAACCACCTGTATCGCTTCAGACTTCCTCTCACACTAAATAAGAGGCGGCGTGGTAGCCTAGTGGTTAAAGCGTTCGCTTATCACACCGAAGACTCGGGTTCGACTCCTCACATGGGTACAATGTGTCAAGCCCATTTCTGGTGTCCCCTGCCGTGCTATTGCTGAAATATTGCTAAAATCGGCGTAAAATTATACTCACTCACTCACACTAAACTAACACGTCTTGTTATAACTGGAACACTGTCCACAAGGGCGAAAAACAACATTCACGAGTTGTAACGGATCGAGCATGGACCAGACAAACCAGCTTCGCCGTAGGCCGTCAGTGTAGGCTGACACGAAATCAACAGTGTAACCGAGCCAGTGTGAGTGAGTGAAGTTTACACCGCTTGGTGTACTCCAGTTATATATCACAGCCAGACAGCCAGGAAAGTCTGAAATGATGGAGATCTCGGACGTTTACCGCTTTGTTGAAACCCACGTCTGTGGGTGTGGAAAAAACTGAAAAGAAAATCAGGGCACCCTGCAGGGATTTGCGCGATCATAGGTTCCTGGCGTGACAAAGGGAGACAAATTTGCACAGCGAACTACGACCGCTCGTTCTCCAACCGAGTCAGAGTGAGAGCAGACCACCGAGTGTGTGTGCGCGCGCGTGCATGCGTGCGTGCGTGCGTGCGTGCGTGCGTGCGTGCGTGTGTGCGTGTGTCTCAATGGGCTAAACTTGTGGTTAAAACTTTCCCTTGTCACGCCGAGGACACGGGGCTGGAATCCCACATTGGTACAATTTCTTGTGTCCTCTGCCGTGATATTGCTATACTATTGACAAAAGCTGCGCACACTCACTCACTCACTCACTCACTCTTGGACAAAAACAAATCGTTACTTACCAGCATAATTCCACCAACTAAGGTTTGGCCCCAGTCCGTCAAGAAGATGTCGTCATTAGGTTGAGTTACCCACGTGGCGTTAGGTAACGTTGTTGTATAGTTGTCAAATATGTGACCGTTATCTATCAGTTTCCCCATCTCAATGTACGCCACGAACTCATTTGTAAATGTCTTGAAGCCAATCAGCCTGGCCATTCGCCGACAGTCGACAGGATCAATACCCATCACATAACTGATTGGGTAGAACACATAGGAGCAGATCAACTGTGGATGAAGAAAACACACACAATCATTCTTTTATATCCAGGACATGAGGTCTCATGATTGCTCATGATTGCTACAGATGATAGAATATTTATCCACCCACAGGGTACAATAATAGTTTAAATACCTACAGGGCCCGTAAGTAGGTCACGGCACTTCGCGAGACTTTACGTTGATTATTACTTCCGGTGACAAACAACATTTCATACCTTTTCGAATGGTCTCATGGTTGTCAATTGACAGTAAGGAACCGATAATCCTTGCAGGAATAACAAATTGCCGATCTAACCATCCCCAAAATAGCCAACTATTACGACTGTCAACGGGTATGACAGGGAAGCATGGTTGTACACTTGGTCCGGTCTAGTAAAGTCATGTTATGCAGTCGCGCAGTTTGGAACCAGAACTGGTTCTTGAATATACGCTTGTCACCGGGAGTATCTTATACCGTCTCGCATGTCGCAAGTTGGCGCGCGCAAAGGAGCCGGGAACCTAAGAAAGAAAGTTAACTTCCAAATCAGTACTGCCTTAGTTTTATCATTTATTATTATTATTTAGTATTGGCCACAGTCGGTTTACACATGACTATCTGCTGAAAACGGATGGGGATGGACCCCCAATGTGTGTCTCTTGCGATGAGTTTTTCACCATCAAGCATATTCTGCCTGACTGTGTGGACTTATCGTCTGCAAGGGACTCACTCTATGATGCAACAAATCTGAAAGATTGTTCTCCCGCGTGAGCGCTCATCTGATAGTGAACTACCTGAGGGAAGTTGATCTGTATCATAAATTGTAACTGTGTAATGTGACTAACAAATTGCCTGCCTTTAAATTTAGTGCTATGCCTTTTTCTGTCTTTAAATGACAATGTAATGAATATATGTTTTTGAAATAAAACTCATTTTGACTCTGTACTTACAATGTTTATTAATGCAGACTTGTTCTCGTCACTATATTACGGAAATAATGGCGATGTGACGTAAAGCCCAACTCAACCCAACCCAACATTCAAGCATAAACATTTAACATACCGGGAAGGTCAGACCCACAATGCCGACCCTGTCTCCAAGAAACGTTAACGAGGCGTCGATGAGCTGCAGCAGCGCCAGGAACGCCATGACGTTGACAGCGACGTTGGCAACAAGACTTATGGCATCGGAAGCTCCTTTAGAAGCGGCCTCAATGACGTTGTTCTGTGAGCTGGAACAAAGTGTGACTACTGGGAAAAACGTCATAATTGCGGACGTTAACAAATCATACGCAGCAAAGTAGGTAGATGTAAACATAATGTCACAAAATCAATGTATATGAAATATAAACTTGACCAGGTTACTGTTATTCACATCTGTAGTGAAATGGGTTGGGGTGTCACGTGTTTGAGGGGAGGTCATTCAAAACACAGTTCTGTCCAACAAATATCTAACTACAAGTCCCTAATTAAAACACAATGATGAAACAAAAGTACATCACGAACAACGGAATGAGACAGACATGAGAAAAAACCCACTGACAGAAAAAACATGTGCTAAAGTTGAAAATAATGTGTTGAAAGAAAAGATTTATAGCGAAAAGAAATAAATGGCCTGTGAAGAACCTACTCCATCTTTAACTTGTAAACGTCTTTCTGATTATCTTTGGTGATCTCCGTCTCTGGATAGGTCAGTTTGGAGATGGCCAGAGCTGCTGGAGCGGACATCACGGACGCCGCTAGCAGATGGTTAGCCTTCACCTTTGTGAAAGATAATGTCCTTGATTCTCAATGTGAACTCATAGCCGTTATTCTGGAAAATTCTTTACAAAGGTCAATCCCCTGGCTATTAAGCATGTCGGACATGTTTGTTCGTGCTTTCGAATACTAGATGATCCTCAGATTGGCAGCACCTCATCTGTGCTAAACGTCTAAAGCATGCATCACTTCGGGCATCTGTGACGTAACTGGAATACTTTTGGAAATGGTGTTAATCTCAAATGATAGAAGTAAGCACTACGAGGTCTCGTTTTATTAATCAGCCCTTATTCTCGAAACGTTCGTAACCCTAAGAATTCTTAACTTTGATCGTAGCCAATGTGTTAAGAATGGGCTTAAGAAGTTCGTAGGGCTACGGACGTTTCGAGAATAGCTAGCCTGATCCAGAATTAATATAGACTTCTCCACAATCGCATCCGTCCTGAACGTGAAGGAGTCTGTTTATAAAACAACTGTGTACGTTACTTGTTTACGTCAGCTCACCCCGTACGTGACATACGCGCCGAGGACGCTGCCGGATACGGTGGCGAACCCCCCGGTCATGACGGCGTGCAACTCCGACTTCGTCATTGTCTTCATAAAGGGACGTATCATTAGAGGAGCCTCAGTCTGAAATACAACCACGAGAGATATCAGTAGAGCTGTACATAGGGGTTCCACACCAGCAGGGTGAACTATGCAATGCCTTTGACTTACAACCCTTTGCACGAAATATGCCCTCATTTCTTGTCTTCTCAAACGTACATTCAGTTAACTTATCACCATCTGTCCATCATACCTGGCCAGTGAAGACTTCAATCCGCATCTGGTTGCAGTCAGCTGACAGCTGACCACCATTTTGTCCGACAGCAGAAGTCTGGCTGACTTTTCAGAAACGTTTACATTCCATTTTCCAATCATGGTGAAAAGGAATGAAGCTGGGCTACAAGCCAAATCACGTTGTTTTTGACGTACAGTTGGTTCATAAGGCAAATAATTCGGGCCACTGTCATCGGAAATGTCCCGAAACAATATCATGACTGCCATTTTCACAGCTGGTTTTGACAGACGTTTTGAGAGTTACCTCCCTTACTTTGTTAATAACTCTCCACTGGCGAGCCGTTACTTCCCATTCTCTGTTCGCTCACATTTGTTCCTGGTACAGTTCTTCGGATTCTTTACGTTATGTTCACGTTAGATACAGTCACAGTTTGCTCTCGTAACGCAACGAAACGGCAGACCACCAGAGCAGATAATGTTGAAATGTATTTATGCATTAGTGTTTGTTTTAATCAGATTAAAGATTGTAATTCTGTCCAATGAAATTACATTAGACAGCCATTGTTCTGTACTTGTGTCCTAAAAAGCAGTAACATATGAAACACAAACTATCTTTCTTAACAAAGAATACATAAATAAGGTAGGTTATTTACCGTTGACATGGTGTCCAGGTAGATATGGTTTTCTTGTTGGTTTTATGGTGGGGTGGTTAAAGCGTTCGTCCGTCACACTGAAGACCTAAGTTCGATTCCCCACATGGGTATAATGTGTGATGCCCATTTCTGGTGTCCCCCGCCGTGATATTGCTAGAATATTGCTAAAAGCGGTTTAAAAGCATACTCACTTACTCTTATAGGAACACAAGGTCAAGTGCAGCGCATGGTGATCTGATTATTTGAGGGAATCAAAGGAAGTGGTGATTCTATGGTGTATTTAGTCCGATAGGACGTACGCAGAAAGCAGGATAGGGGTATAGGGCCCGTATGTAGGTCACGGCATTTCTGGTGACAAACAATGTTTTATACCTTTCCGAATGCTTTCATGGTTGTCAGTTGACAGTAAGCTACCGATAATACTTGCAGGAATAACAAATTTTCGATCTAACCATCACCAAATTAGCCAACTATTACGACTGTCAACAACTTTGTCAGCCAAGCATGATGGCACATTTGGTCTGGTGTAGTAAATCATATTTGGCAGTCGCGCAATTTGTAATCAGAACTGGGTCTTTAATGTACGCTTGTCACCGGAAATCTGCTACCGGAAGTAAGCTTGACCCCGTCTCGTATCCGCAGGCGCAACAGACCCAGGGAACCAGGCTGGTCTCGTATATTGCAAGCTGTCGCGCGCAAAGGCAGCCGGGAACCGTCTTAGTAACGGAAGTAGCGGAAACTGCCATTTTTCCGAACATCCCATATAGATAAAACAGAGACCATATAAAACTTGTGGACAGATTGATTTAGCCAAACATTTTTAGAACATTTTCATTCACATACCCTCCAATCAAGAACAAAGAATCTGATTGGTAATTTGGAGGAATGGAGCGAGTCCATATACACGTGAAAGTGATGAACTGTTTAATCGTCACCTGTCCAGCGAAGATGTTGCCGGCGGCGTTCAGTGACTCCGTTGCCGTCGTGTCCAGACAGAATGATAGGAACCTTCCAAGTACCCGGATGATGGCCTGCATAGCTCCGAGATAGTATAGCACAGAGATGAGGGAGCTGAAGTACACGATGACAGGCAATACCTGTGGAAGAAAAGAGACTGGAACGATTTTTTGCCTCTCGGGATGTCGACCTCCAAGAGTCAAAGAAAGAAATGTATATTATCTTAAAGCAGGTACCGAAAGTACATTCTGTTACTACCTAAAGCCATTATATGCAAATTTAAGTAAATTTATCATTTAAGTAAGAATGAGATTCTATTCGTTCACCGAAATAGTTTTCCTATTCCAAACTAGGATATTTATCTTAAAAGAATCGATGGTGTCTACTCGTAGTTACGGAACAACATATTATTTCTTGAGCGTTATTCTTTCAAAACATGGTATTTTCATTCGTCATTAGAATCCTTCACAGATTTTTGTAACAATACAAGTGTCGGAGAGAGGACAGCAAACTGTCACAAGAATGTCTTACATAGACATACAAACACATAGATATGGTGCTGACGTTACATCCACGATGCATTACGTGTTTGCCTGCTGTACTTTCCCTTCATAAACTTCACCCATTACATATAGTATGACCAGAAATTATTGAGAATTTTAGGAATATGTTTAATTGGATTTCTAGTATAAACAATCATGACCAGCTATCAAGTGCTTGGTTTCATTCAAGAGAGACAACTCCGTTAATCCTTTTTCATTAGTTTGTGAAGAGTTATCCCCCTTGTTTACTTGCTAGCAGACGACATTTTCAGTTATCCTCAGTAGGGATGATTTAGAGAAGAGAAAGTTGAATTTAGAGTATTAAACCAAGGACATCAGATCAGCTAAAGTGATTTCAAGTAGAACAGGCATCCCTTTTGTCCACTGTTTATCATGTTTTGAAAAATATTGCAAATGGATATGGCATTGAGCACCAGGGAGGCGCAGGTAGGCCCAAAAAATTGACTGTCGGTGACAGGAGGCGGCTTGGTATTCTTGTTTCTAAAAACAAACGAAGGAGTTCAGAAATCTTAAGGCTGGATATGATTGATAGAGGAACTGTGGCTGTCTGTAAGGAGACAATTAAAACTGAGCTGCATGCAATGGGTTGGCAGAAAAGTCGAGGAATTCCATCACCGATCATGAAACCTGACCAAAAGGAGCGAAAATTGAACTGGTGCTTACAGCATAGAAATTTTAACTGGGACAGTGTGATTTTCTCAGATGAAAGTTCTGTGTGGCTGCTTCCTAATACACTGAAATTCTGGACCAAACAAACTGAAAAACCTTTGTATCAGCGCCCAAAGTACAGTCCGAAATTTAACGTGTGGGGTAGCATATCTGTGTTTGGGGCAACGCCCCTCTGTGTATTTGAAGGGAATATGAACAGTGAGCGGTACACAGATATTCTCGAGGGACATTTACTTCCATCTGCTCACGTGTTCTATGGACATTTTTGGATTTTCCAGCAGGACAACGACCCAAAACATCGTTCAAAGCATTCACAGGCCTGGTTTCGGACCCAAAATTTGACATTATTAGATCGGCCAAGCTATATCCCTGACCTAAATCCAATAGAAAATGTTTGGGGACTTATGAAGGAAAGTGTCAAGAAGAAAAATCTGACAAATATTGCTGAAATGAAAGAAGAGGTGGTCCGATATTGGGACAGCATGGACCACGACTTTCTAACTTCTTTGATCAGTAGTATGCCCCGCCGCATTGAAGCCTGCATTGCTGCCCATGGTGACTTGAGAAAATACTAACTGTTCACCTGTCTTTGAATCTGGAGTTATGTTCTGATAATATTCACATTTAATACGTGAGTAATGAGTGAAAAAAATAAAAATATTTACAATCTTAAATTCTCAATAATTTCTGGTTGTAGTGCATATGCCAGAGCGTTAACATGAGCATAAAGAATCGTAAGCCAAACATGAATGAACAGACTAAGACCAAATCATTCTGATTTATGACTGGCTGATCGCGCTGCAGATATATTCTATATTTTACGAAGCGTTAGTTACCTTAAAGGCAAACAAACTTGTGGTGAGGTTCTACATCTGTTATTTAATTTGATCTTTGCCGTTGACATTGGAATAGGCGGCCATAGTTGGGATTATGGGTATCAGAATAACACGAGGAAGAGAGTTTTATGGATGTCAACTTCTTTATCATGGGGAACACAACATTTCGGAGTGTAGTTTTATTCCTTCGTCCTTATGTATCCTTCATAATACCACGGCAACACTGTTGATATTTTACTGCTGAGATCACCCCTATTGCAGTATTGGCATATCCTAAAGGTGCAGTTTATGGGGGACTGTATGGGGTTATGAGGAAGTGTTTCTTACCTTGAAGGCAAACAAATGGTCTTGATATCTGTCCCCGAACACAAACTGGGCGCCTGTGTTAGAGTAATCCAGGATCTCCGTCATCCTGTTCCCAAGCCACTCAAAGGCACCGTACCCCCACGTGGTCTTCAGTATCAGACAGGCGAAGACGTACTGGATCGTCATCCCCCAAAACACAGGGTGCCAGTTCACCTGCCGAGATCAAAGTGAGGTTCTTCATGTTTAAAGAGATTTTCCTCCAAGCTTAAATTCCATATGTAACGCACTGACACACACACGTCATATGGCATGAGAACGCCAAGGTACTATATATTTACCCTGGCTGGGTTGACGCTTGTGATGTACATGACCACGATAAAGGCCGCGATGCCAATCAGGGACATGAGGTTCCTGGGTTGGGTTACCCCGATCTCCACCCCCGTGTATACACCGACAAACACAGCCGCACACACGTACAGGAACCTGGAACACAAACAGTGAGTGAGGGAAGGAAGGAAGGAGGAACCTGGAACACAGACAGTGAGTGAGTGAGGGAAGGAAGGATGGGATGAGGGACAGAACCTGGAACACAAACAGTGAGTGAGTGAGGGAAGCAAGGAAGGAGGGACAGATGAAGCTCGAACACAAGCAGTGAGTGAGTGAGGAAGGAAGGATGGACGAACGTGTGAATCTCGAACACAAACAGTGAGTGAGTGAGTGAGTGAGGAAAGGATGGACGGACGTGTGAATCTAGAACACAAACAGTGAGTGAGGGAAGGATGGAAGGAGGAACCTGGAACACAGACAGTGAGTGAGTGAGGGAAGGAAGGATGGGATGAGGGACAGAACCTGGAACACAAACAGTGAGTGAGTGAGGGAAGCAAGGAAGGAGGGACGGATGAAGCTCGAACACAAGCAGTGAGTGAGTGAGGAAGGAAGGATGGACGGACGTGTGAATCTCGAACACAAACAGTGAGTGAGGGAAGGATGGACGGACGTGTGAATCTCGAACACAAACAGTGAGTGAGGGAAGGATGGACGGACGGATGAATCTCGTACACAAACAGTGAGTGAGGGAAGGATGGACGGACGGAAGAATCTAGAACACAAACAGTGTGTGAGTGAGGGGAGGAATAACTTAGGTCAAGACTACACATCGTATAATCGATAACTTGATCATTCGATCACCCAGCTTACAACCGAGAGTCTCCTTAAGACAAAACCTGTAGCTATTATAGCCTCCACATTGCCACGCTACCACTTAATACGAACTTGATATTTACGTATAACGTATATTTACGTATAACCGTTTGGACGACACAGGACCAGTATGCTATGGAGGATCTGTACTGATATTTTATACACTCGACCATCTCTTTGCTCAAACTATACAGTGTCTTCGACAGAGGTCGGCGGTTCGATCCCAGTGTCTTTACAAATGACATAACAAAGTTGGCGCCTGGTATAAAAGGAGTGGATCAAGGACTGGTCGGCAGTCATTATGCCGTGCCTGTCTGGGCACGTCCATGTTACGACAACATTGTGGCCATCGCCATAACACCCCGCATAGTCAGGACAAGTTTATGCAAACACCTTTCATGTCCCCTTGCCAGCTGTCTTTATGGTGTCCGCCGGGGAAAACCACATTTGAAACTACCAATTGCCGCTAAAGCCACATTTCCAGTACAAACCTCGGTGCCGCGAATCGCCGAGAAAGCAACAACGAGTAAGGGAATCAATACCGTCTTTCAAATAAGCGTCACCAATTGATCACAATGGATTAAAATTGTTTTAGTGACTTGGCTTTTGTTTGTTTAGTTAATTAATCTTTTGATGTTTATTTTGTTCTTTAATCTTGCATTCTCTGATTTTATTGTAGATTGTATTATCTTAATTTCTATGTATAGAATCTGTTCTGAGATAAAATGATAAATGCTAATGGGTCATTCTATGGAAAAGGGCAATTTCAGCTTTTGCTCTTCAGAAATTCTATTTGTATTTTTTGTATTTTTTATGTGATCATGTAAACTACTTTGGTTTGTATGACTGGTATATTGCATCAGCAGAGAAGGTGGGGTGAAATTGGTTTAACGTCGTGCTTGAGAATATTTCGCTCATATGACGACGTGCATGCGTCATAAATTGGACGATTTTGGTATTCGAACCTGTGCCAGCATATCATCTTAGAAATGTAATGTACTGGATGTTCAGTATCATTCACTGAACAGAGATGTGTTTAAATGTGGACTGACCATCGGAGGGAGAGGTGAAATGTCCGGCATCTGTTACTGCCGTAGTATCGCAAGCAGCCCCCGTAGATGTTCTTCATGCCGTTCACGACGTAGCCTCCCCCTATACCCCACAGAATGATGAAGGCACCCAGGACCGTGACCACCATCAGTCGGTAGGATCCCTCGTCACCGAATCTGGAATATTACAGGGTGATAGTGTACGCACATGTGTATCACCGTCAAACCTACACTATACTCAGCAAAAAAATAAACGCAAAGGTACACAGTTTTGAATTATCTGACGGAGTTTTGCTGATATTCAAACTCAATGAATATAAATATGAATACCTCGTGTCTACATACATCGGGAGGGATTTGTTCAGGTAGAATATAGTACGGCTACAAATATCGAAAAAGTGGGGGAAAGCTGAAACGCAACCGCGTGGGTGCGTGGTATAAAACACACCAGCATGGAATGAACGTGCAACATGAGGTGAGGTGAGGTGAAATTGGGTTTAACGTCGTGCTTGAGAATATTTCGCTCATATGACGACGTGCATGCGTGTGTGTGTATGTGTATGTGTATGTGCGGCTGATTGTACTAGCTCAGACTGAAGCTGGTTTTATAGTGCTAGCTCACTGAGATACCATGCCGCAATGAAGCATGAATACCCCACTCAGAGACATTATACTGACTCCGAGCCGACCAGTCCTTGTTGTACCCATTAATGCCGAGCGCCAGGCATGGACCAACAAGTACCATATTTTAACGTCTTTTGGTATGACGCGGTCGGGGATCGAACCCGCCATCTTCCGCTCTCCGGGCGGACGACGTGCAACATGAATTGATTTGGGTTTGTATAAGTCTGTCGTTACAACTGTACAGCAAGCGTAAGTAGAAACATTCCACGACTGACGTAACGTTAACGCAACGCAACGTAACAACGCCATCGTCCGACTGCAGACATGCGAATCGGCTTCGGCCGTAGCCAGGTTTTTCCACATTTTAAGACTTTGGAACCGTTATCAGAAGCAGATCCGCGGACCTGTCACAACTGCAGGGTGGGATTTGTTCATACGGGATCGCTAATTATGCGATAGATACAGCAGAGCCATCTCTACAGCGACAACAATACCAAGATTGCGTGGGATTTCAACCCCAGACAGTGAGGAATCGGTTGTATGTCTCACAGTCTCTGGACCGCATTATGTCCCCTACTTCCTAGCCCTCCCTGCAATGATAAATACTTGCAGCAAATTATAATAAACTTGACGTAAATTGTAATAAAAACGTAAATTGTAATAAAAATTGACGTAAATTGTAATACGCAAATTGTAATAAAAATTGACGTAAATTGTAATAATTTTCGTTGCGGTAAAATGTAATAAATATTTATGTAAATTGTAATAACAGTTTTAATCACTCGTAAATACGCGGGTGTTTGTTTTTCGTTGCATTTCATACATCAAATAAGCTTTATAGGGCGATAACTCAAGAAAGAAATGATGGATTTTGTTCAAATTTGGTACCACGGTATATTGGCGAGATTCACCGACACAAGTGAAATGGAGTGACCTTGAGATAATTTTCAAGGTCACAGCAAAAATCTGAGGCTTTTGCCAATATGATGATTGTTAGCGCGTTAACCCAAGACTGAATTGACAAATATTAGCTAAATGACGAAAATGATATTCGTCCTGATATATAATCGATATAAACTGTCCTCTGTATCATGTCTTTTCGCAAACATCTTTTGAGGTTTTGATATGTATACATATAAAGTGGGGGTGGGGTAGGGGTGGGTTTCTAACGGGTATATCTAACACACTTGCATGCATGTAGAGTCGGAGAGGTGGGTGGGTGTTCTAACGGGTATAACTACGAGGGACGTTCAAATAGTAGCCAGCCTCACCTAGAATATGATACAAATGCAGCTGTTTTTATGTTTTATTTTTCTACATATTATCTGTCAGCCTTAAGCAAATTGGTTTTGCTATGTTGCAGCCTCACGATCCCCATTTAGTGAGACTTTGTATCTTGGCTTGGTACTCCCAAAAAACGTAAAATCTGCAATAAAATGCATCACAAACTTCAGGAAACAAATATGCTATGTTTGAGATTGGTAGAAGTCGGATAGAATCAACCTTAGATATTAAACTGCACAAAAAAGCAATTTCAAAACTACAATCGCTTGTTCAAATGACTCCCCATTCTGTTTACTAAAAGAACTCGAGAAAGAAATGATGGATTTTGTTCAAATTTGGTACCAAGGTTTATTGACTGGAGATTGGAGATTTACCGACACCGCTTGAATTAAGTGACCTTGAGGTCATTTTAAAGGTCACAGCGAAGGTGTAACAATTTTGCACATGCCAAGCTTGGTAGCCGCGAACTCAGGAAAGCATTAATAGATTTTGATCCAATTTTATATCAAGGTGTATTGGCGGGATTCCCCCTACACCAATTGATTGGGAAACTTGTGCTCATTTTAAGTTCACAGTGAAAAGTGTTTTGCACATGTCTAACTTTTTAGTGCGAAAATACAAGACAGCATAAATATGTTTTGCTTAAAGGTAGTACTAAGATGCGTTGTGAGTATCGTTTAACGCCAGTCGAATCCAGTGACCTTCGGATTATTTTCAAGGTCACAGCGAGTATTCTTGCGATATCTCCAAACCTAATGGATGGAATTTGTTCGCATTTTGTATCAAGGCATCACATGACAGTTTCGGTAACGTTTACATAATTTTCAGGGTCAGACAGAGGATAATTGCGACATTCAGATATCGACATGTGACGGGGGTAATAGCTATGTTTGTGACAAACGCTTTGTCATTACTAATTTTCAAATTTTTGTTAGCATATGGTTTCTATAATTTCATGTTAATTCTACCAGCTGTGAAATTATTCGTGACACGTCTTAAAAAAGCCAGAGATTATTTGTGCATGTTTCGAAAATTAAAGTTATTTGTTTTTCATTATGGAGTTATTCTCGATGACGCAAGGACATATTTTACGAGCAATAGCTTTCAATAATTTAATGTTATTTCTATTACATTTTGAAGTTCCTCATAGCATATCCCAAAATAACAGGATATTGTTTGTTTACGCTTTGAAATGTACGTTTCTTCTTCTTCATTTTCGAATTATTTTCAATGTTGACGCAAGGATATATTTGAAGTCAATTTTATGTTTTGATCATATGTGATTTATTATGATTTATGTTTCGATCATACATTCATATATTGCGTTGTCATAGTTTAACCTGGTTCGTATTGTTTTCTTCATCATATTACTACATATTATTGTATTTTTATGAGAGGGAATTTTAAGTTACATTTGCTAAGGATATCATAAATCTCTGGCGCCTGGTTATTCCTTGCCACATAGCAGTCAATCTGTCTACTCATTTGTTGTATTTGATTGATGCTTTAAAATAAAATGTAAAAATGATATTGAATTGTATCATTTGCTTCAAGGAATCGATCAGATGTGCTCGTTATCAAAGTAAAGTCAAAACTTCTTTCTGTAAGGTATACAGTGGAAGTTGACACCTTAATTGTTATGGGTAGACCAAAGAAATCATTTATTTAGTTTCACCGCTCAAATACAACAAAGAATTCAACGGGTGGCATTAACCTCAAAGAATGATAATAACAATGCTTATAGTATACGAGGGCAAACATATCGGGAATAATTTGTTTTCATGCGATATGCACCGGGTAAAATATCACTTTGTCATGGTCACATAACATCATGAACAATGTTATGACGCCACGTTGCTTCTAAGAAGCCGCCTTCTAAATACAACGATGACGGGGAGCCTGCCTTTGTTGGGAAGTAGATTATCGCGTAATTTCCGCAATTAAAGACTTCGGTAATAAATAGAAAATTATATTCGTGACCATAATCATTCTCTTCCCACAGAGGTTACTCCTGTCATATCTTCCTACATAACCTCTGTTCTAATACGACCCTTTCTTGGTGTCAGCGTTCAAGGCTCGTGATTGGAGACAAGCCGATTTAGTTGTGCAATCAGCGACGTTGTTTCAAAAGTGATCATTCGCAAGGCCTCGGTAATTTCCGTATGCTTCGGGAAAACTAGAACCTCTTCCCGAGCGCGATGCGCAAACGTTTCTTCTAGACAGAACTCAGTCATGTAATGGCGTATCAATGGCGTCTCCATCGCCCTCGTTGACAACGGACAAGCTAGCCATTAAACGTCTTGTGTGTAACATCAACACTATTCCCCGACAGATGGGGGATATTTGTGGCCCCGCATTTGCTTGTGTTAGTCAAATTGAATCTAAGTCGATGTAACACGTGTTCTGATTGGATAGAAAGAAGGGAGATAATTCGTGTTGCGATCTTTTGCCGCTAGGGGATTTTACGAGGACCGGGAAATATGGCCGTATTAGAACAGAGGTTATGTAGGAAGATATGACAGGAGTAACCTCTGTGGGAAGAGAATGGACCATAATATGCTAGGTTAACGACCTAAATATCGGCATATCCCTTCTCTGGTTCCGAAAATACCAAGATTTAGGCAGTTGTGTTGTAAACTGATATTTATCTTCTATAAAGTCGGCTATATTCAAACCATGAGAAATGTCGTCAAAAAATTATGTCTGATGACAGTTACCAACGTCCCAATAGTGTCCATATAGTTTAGAAATCTATAACAATAAAGCACAACCTCACTATTTTTTTTGATAAATGACAAAGGATTAATAAACCATATTAAAAGGTTTTCAGGCTTGAAGGACGAAGCTCATTAAAATCTAACATCGGCCAACATTATTGTGATATTTTGTAAATTTCCAGGTAAATCATTAATATATACAAGGAAGACAAATTAACCAAGGGCAGATCCTTGAGGAACCCCTGCAGTAACATTTAGTTTTTCATAATGTTCCATTAACAGAGACACACTGTCGTCTATTAGGGCCCGGTTGTTCAAAACTCGGTTATCTTTTAACCAGCCGTTAAGTACATTTAACCGACCGTTAACTAATAACAGAGGGTTATCTTGTTGTTCAAAACTCTGTTAACTTTTAACAGGCTGTTAACGTGACGTTAAGTTAACACACCTAAGGACCGCCGCTAACTTTTTAACAGTGTGGTTAACTCGCAAATGGCGTTCATGGCTAACACTGCTTTCATGAGGCCAGTTCAGCAAAGAAAGGATAGGGTG